AACCAGGGTTGACAATGGGGGACATAGTGCTTGTGAACACATGCGGTGTCATGCTCCCGTGACTTTATGCAACTGCTTCGAGTGTTGGGCAGTTAGTGTCCAACGAGAAGGACTGTGGTGATGATCCAGGACACTTTAACATTCTACAACATGTATGGACATTTATCAACATGTGTTCTAACTGCTGATTCTCTGATCTGTGTTGGTGATTCAATGGTTTTGTTAAGTCCTCTGAGATGACTTCTGTTGTGATATAGAGCTATACAAGAATAAATTGTATTGTAAATTGTATTGTGTGTTTGCCGATGCGGAAGTATTGTTTAATAATAAAATAAACTTATTGCGCACCTCCGTGAACACATACTACTGTTATATAAAGTCCGTGGAAGGTCTCTGAACACAGACACCCTGCAAAGCTGCATTATTGGAGAAGATCTTTACACGAGAAGCCGCTAGCATCAGAGCCGGCCGGCTACTTCCGGCACTTCCGGCGCATGTCAGGACGTTCTGGTGTGAAGTCTCGTGCGTCTGAAAAGTAGAGAATGCGCGTCTGGTGAGCGAGGCTTCAGCGTTTGCGGTCTAAAAGCACCACTAGACTGTCATTTTCTTCACTTTAGATTCCAATTCTCGAGATTTATACATCGAAAAAGTCAAATTGTGTAACGGTATAGATCCTAATGCGTTATCCAAGAATAATTTGATCTGCGAGTTAGAACATAACCTGCCAGTTCAGTGTTACAATCAAGATTTTGCACTGCTAAACAAAAGCATGGATGCCTAAACTTTTTCGTCTGTGGGTGGGTCAAGGAACTCTGAGTTAAGATGCAAATCCTGCATCATAAAGAGCCGTGTAAGTAACGATTGGTATGAAGTTATCATTACCTCATCCCTGAAAGTTAATGAAAAAAAAGATGGGGATGCAATAACTGCACATTGTGACTGCATGGTAGGGTAAATAAATAATCCTTCCATGTAAAAGTGTTTGCTAGTGAAATGTTAGCGAGCCACTTTTCCTGCGTCCTTAATGCGAAGCTCCTTTATTAATCTCTTCACGAGGAACCCTAAAGTATTCCTTATCGGTTTCGCAATTTTATCGCTTAGAACAAACTAAAACAACACACGCAAAAGGCATATTCAACACGCTGCTCTAGTAAACAACTAGCTCGACTGACCACTTCGTGATACACATAATGAGGCGGACGTGACGTCAATTGCAAGCAAGCAATTAAATACATTTATCACCAAAAATTGAACTGATGTAAAAAAAAACAATAAAACAGTACAATAATATAATTTAATATTTTGATATTGATTATTCTTGCGTATATTTGTTCTATGACTTAAGAAAATGTTTTTTTTATGTTTGACTCTAAAAAGCTGAAGTTGAGAAGTTTCTTTCAATTCAATGAAGGGGCTTTAGATGTTTAGAAGCGACTTCTTAATCCAACCCACTTAAAAGGAGCTATACCCGTTTCTGCAAGGTTTGAATGTTTAGCACCGCCCCCCAACTCGCTCAGAGGCTTCTCATTTCCCCTACGCTCTCATTCCACAGAGCCATCTAGTTTTATTTGCGATCTGATACATATGCTAACATTAGCATTAGCGCAACTTAAGCTGTACAACAATCACTGATGAAATGGCACAAATGCAACGCACTGCTAACAAAATATATAACTGAAAGATTACCGCTAGTTCCGCGTCCGAAAAATTCGAGCATAGATAGTCCGAGGCAGTCCCGTAGGTCTCTCCCATAGACAACTCTCTACAGAGGATACGATGTAAGCTAGCCATGTTTACCTGGGCTTTATTTCCCTCTTCTCTTCCTCACTGTGGTGTCATTTGGGCTGTTTTTCTGTGTACGCAGTTACAGCAAGGAGTTATAGCCAATTCTGCTAATAACATGCTACTGTGTTTAGCATCGCTGTAGAGCAGGGGTGCTCACAATTGTTCACCATGCGAGCTACATATAAAATGATCAAGTCAAAATGATCTACCTACTACAAAAATGCAAAACATGTATTTCTAAATATATTGAGGATTCTTTATATCTACAATGTATGTAGATGTACATGCAAAACCGCATGATTTATGAAATAATTTGCATCCACACATAACCAAAATCTGCGTTTTCAATGACATAACATTCCAAACATGCGCGTCCTCTGACGTCCTGTCCTGCGTTGGGGAAAAACCACAGAAGTGGGCGGAGCTTTGATGCAGACGCGGTACTTCTACAGTCATAGTAGAAACTCAGGGTGAAGACATTATTATAGCTCCATGGTCAAGACATATGTTTACAAGCACTGACCCCCGTCCTCAGCCCTGGTTTGATCCTGGTTTAGCTCCTGTTTTGGTTGTTTTCGAGCACGAGCCCCCGTGATCACTTTGCTGCTCTCTGATGTGGAGGATGTCCACTGCTGCGAACCGCTCGCAGCAGCGGACAGTTTTTTAAGGCAGTAAGATCCATGCTTCAGTGATCAGAGGTGGCACGTTTTGTTTGTTGTTGGGGGCATACTGTGGCGTGCGAAAACGCAAAACTCTGGTTAGCTCTGTCTACACGCAAATGCATAAACGGATATTTTTTTAATGTCATGCAAGCAATCTACGAATATTACCTTTGCGATCGACTGGTAGATCGCGATCGACGTATTGAGCACCCTTGCTGTAGAGGCTAGAGGACTCATCAGGATCTCAGCACTTTGAATGGCCTAAACTCATGCTTATGCTGAATCAATGAGCTCCAGTTTTCAATTAAAGTAGTTTTTAATACAACTTTAATGTAGTTATACAGATTTTTATTAACTCAATAGAAAAAAAAAATCATTTTTATCGGGGCCCGGGGGAATATATTGTTATCGCAATATTGGTGCGTGCGATATCCACATCAAAAATATCCGCAAAAGACAACAAAACAGACACATCAACATTCAACAAGAACAAACAAACAAAGTATATTAATATATGCATTTGAAGGTCATTAATGTTGTTCTTATTTTTTTTTTATTTCTCTCTTGCGTTTCAATGCAGATTGCAATTTTAGGTGAAAGACAAAAATATCGCAATAATATTGTTATTGCAATACTAAACACTCAGAATAACGCACTAATTTCTAATATTGTGCACCTCTATTGTACATCATTATGCATTGGTTTCATAAAGCGCTTTTTTGACACGCAAAGACACTTCACATTGGAATATTCATTGGTAAATATTTAAATTACTACTGTAGCCACAACTACCCTGGGGCAGACTGACTGGATCAAAGCAACTGGTAGGGGTCATGGTTGGCTGCAATATCCTCAGCAATGTGGGTGAAATGTCTTGCCTAATTATACAACAACAGTTTAGCACAGCCACAGAGCTCTGCCATCACAGTACTAACCAGGCCCTGCCCTGCTTAGCTTCAGAGGTCTGACAGGATATGGCTTTCACATGCAGGTGGCACCCTGCTCTGAAATAAACATCTTGATTAATTATATTTCTAACTATTTAAAATAAAACATGTACACTTTTCTTGACATTTATAAAAAGTAAATTAGTCTCAAAATCCCCTTTCTGGTGATTATTGACAATGAAAAGTTGAGCTATAGAGGCAAATAGAATATGTGAAGGTCAAATGCTAACTTTCCACCCATGTTTGTTTTTATATTTATTACTATAATATAAACACATTTTATATTTTTTCTGAATTGTGTATAACACTTTACAAGTCACAAGTCAAATTTCAGCCAGTGAGAACATTAGGGACTATACAAGACAAGTCAAAGTGTAGAGTGACTCACAACTTAACATCTCCAGGGCTTGGTTCTCTGTTCATTTAAAAAAAAGGTTAATATTAATGAGTCAACGAGGAACGGAACGAGGATCATGTGCAAAAAGTGTCTCAAAACCTCAAGGTATGCACAATGTGTACAAAACTGACAAACCTAGAAACAGTGAAGTTGTAAATGTATTACAATCACTGGGGTCAATGATTGTCTCACTTCCAAATATCACCTGACTTCCTCAACCTGTTACATCGTATTTCTAGCACAATGGCCCACTTATTAGGGCATTAAAAGACAAAATGGAACGAATAATGTTAAATAAACATAGACCTATTATATCCTTTCACAATAAAAAGCACCACAGTTCGAAAAGTACATTAATAAAATAAGTCGTCCACGTCCACACTCAAAGCTAACTCAAAGCTAGCCTAAGTTAGCTTTGAGGTGTGCAAATGCTGACGTGCGGGGAAGCTTCTCAAACTGTCAAATGTGAGCACACAACTCATTACATCAGCCTAAATACTACCTGGACCTCTATACTTGGCAGTCTACACGTATTGAAGGGTGCTGAACTGATAACTATTAAGGAAGCAAAGAAGATACATTTAAAATAGAAAAAAACAACCTATAGTTAATCCATTCAACATTATAGCAGTCGTTACAGGCAAGAAACCAGACAAATAACGATTCATCCACCGCTCAAACGTAGCTTGTTAAAGATTAAACATTGCATTTCTAGAGTCGCCTTTGCAAAGTGGATATGGCCCCTAAACCTGCTCATGGTGCAGTTTCGGCCTCCTGTAAGCATTGGGATTACAAACTAGAAGGTAGCCTCTCAAGACGTTAGCCAACTTGTGCAATGTTTTAGTCGTGTCAGCGCAGATCTATCGTTGCAAGAATAGTCTCAGTGAATACAAGGACCAACTACCATGTATCTATATTTTGGCTTAAGTGTTGTCATTGAGTTTAATGAGCATAATAACCGACTATGCTAAGCTTCACATCCTTAGCACAGCAGGTACTTGGCACCAAGTCTACAGCAGTAATGCTAGGATAAGCTAAGCTAAGCTAGCTGCTGTCAGGCTCAACCCCGGTCCACTCTGAACTGCGACTTCCTAAGGTGCGCCCCAGTCAGTGTTGTCAGCGTAAATGTGCACCAAATAACCACTCATATAACAGTGATTTAGGCTACAGATTGTTTCCAGCAAATTGTCAATACTCTGCCTTACTTACACGCCGGAATGATGCCGGATAATACCAGGAATCGTCTCTATTAGCAATTGAAGGAAGAACACACTAGACATGCAAAATGGTGGCTACTCCAGCCTCAGCACATCTACCGCAGGCGGAAGGTTACACTGACAGAGCAGAGGTTGTAAAGCAGTGCGGGGCGCTGCAGAGCCGAGATCAGTCCTGTAGACTGCGCACACTGCTGCTTCTCCCGGTGACCAGCCTGCGTTTGAGAGAGCAGCATGGGTAAGGTGTTTTGTGTTATGAGAATGATAGCGGATTACCAGGCCTATCAAAGCTGGCTTTACGCCGAGTTTCTTAATAGACGCATGACTAGGTTCGGGTGAGGATTGTTGATGTTAGTCTTCGATGTAAAAATCGTGGTAAAAGCATGTTTGACAGGCGTATATTGTAATTTTCATGGGTGCCTTTGAAAGCCTTACTCGAAATCGGTTATCCTTAATACTGACAAGTACAACTGTATACATGTAAAGCAATGATAAATGTAATATTTTGTTGAAGACCCAGCGGATGAATACATTTTACCTGGTCAAAGTCGTACTGCGGTTCGTTTACTCGTGGCACCAGTGATGACGAATCCAAAATACTTGTTATACGTACAGCGCCAACTAGAGGGATATATGTTTCATTACAACTGTATAATGTGATTGGGAAAAGTAGCACGAATGAATTGCTCCAATGAACACAAAAACGACGTATGATGAACTATAATAAAAGTTTTCTTTTTGTTTTTCTTTTATCTACACGCGTGTATATTAGTAACAGTCAGGTTATATTCTTTCAACAGTAGAGTCGTCACAATATGTTCTGGTTAGAAGGTCATAATTATTAAACAACCCAGCTTCTCAAGTTGATCTTTTGTGGTGAATCCATAAACTCACTGATAATAATGGATGGATTGAAAATTGTATTTTCTCCTTGAAAAGAAATCACATACTCAGAACACATTTTTTGGTTCTTAGTTAGAACCAAGGCCAGCAAATCATGCTGTGATGAGAGAAGCATAGGTAGACTCAGATGGTTTATTTTTCATCAAGATTCCAGGCAAAGACTCAATAATGGGACTCAGGCAAAGACAATAAATTACAAACAAACGAGAAACCCTACAATCTTTATAATGCCCAATCACCTATGCTGCATCAGAGAACAAAAAATATATAGTCTCTATTATATACAAATAAAATCAGCATGAAATAAGAATTTGAGTAATATGTATATGTTTTGATGTGACATTATAACCACGGCATAAGGTATGGATCAGTCGTCAAGTTACATTTACAATCAAGTTCTTGATACTTTTATCTACTACCTTGTATTTCTTTGTAGCGTAATGTTTTCCCGCTAGGGGGCGCTAGTTTATCTTTTTTTCTCTGGGGACCGAATACATCCATGGTTAGACTCCTGAAAAAGAACACATGAACCTGTTTTATATTGATACATGCGTATTCAACAAATCTTTATTGTTGTTGTTGTTTAGGTCTTTGGGTACGTTTAGTATCGTTTGTAGCAGTGTAATTAATGCATGCATGAGTAACTAACTTGTCCTTGAGACAAACTGGGTGGAGTCCCTTGTGTCTATTCATTGCTTGCGCATATTTGTCACAGTTCCGTGATGTTGGAGGTGTTTACAGTTGTGTGGTAAGGGGACGTCGTGCTGTGTGTGTGTTTTGCGTGTGTATGGCCCAGAGTCACTACGGCTGAGAGGAGGCACATCCAGCGCTGCAAACATGGAGCATGTGCATCATTCACTTGTTAGCGCAGTGGGTCTGTTCTGACCCTGTGCTTCTGACTGCTCCTCAGTGCGGATTACAATACCCTCATGACGGGTTTGTCGAAACTTCCAGCGGGAGTGGACAATACTATGTCCAGACGAAAACCAACCCACCCCTACAAAGTTAACTGGAGGTAGCCTGTTTAATTTGTTATGATTTATGTACTGAGTAATTGTGGTCTATTGCGAAGCTGTTGGCCTAATTTAAATGTATTGTATTGTTGTGACATACATTTGTTTTTAGCGTGGATTTTGCATTTATAACAATATAAAATAAACTCAGATTTAGCACCTTTTGTGGGGAGAACTTGAGCTTGGTTTTCCAAAGGATATTGAGGACTATGCTATTATCTATGGACACATATTCTGCTGCTCTGTATTATCATTAGTAACCTATAGTTTAGCTTATGTTGAATACATATTGGTGTTATACAGTAATCCCACGTGTCATTTCTTCCATTCTGCAACACACCCATCGGTTCAGTTAACTAATAATACACAACATGTCTTGCAAAGGGCTGTTTGTTGCTATAGTTGATTTTTTTCAGGTTAAGTTGTCTCGTCTCTTGAGCCAGATGGAGTCAGAGGCTGACAGTTCAAACAGGCTTGACACTCTCACAAAAAACTCCAGACAATGGCACAGCAGCTCCCAGCCTTACTTGTGTGCACTTTGCTTTGACTCAAACTTTACTGAGGAGAACTAGTTGAGTTGAAGAAATACTATATTTTTAGATTTCATGTTCACACTTTAAGTTGTAGTCCCACTTTATGATACCAATGTGTTTCTTCAACTTTCATAAAATTCCTTCAAAAATGTTTAAGCTTCTGTAATTTCGGCACAGTGGAACTATTAAATGCATTATTTATTCATTCTATAACTCATTTTAATTTTTCTTACTCCCATAAGATGATCCTTAATGTGAGTAAATAATATGTATGGGTCAGAATTGTTACTTAAATCATGTTAAGAAAAAACTACTGCTTGCTCACAAATGTTGTTTAATGTTATATTTTCTTCATAACCGGGTGACATTGAGTTGGAAGTAGCCTGTTGCTGTCTGTCGAAAGAGGCCCCTGTGTTTCCTTATGATTCAGATTCCCCATTGCCATTTTGGAGTTAAGTTTTTGCAGACTATCTTTTGTTTGTTTTGTTTTATCCCCCACCCCATACCCCCCCTCCCCTGTCCTTCTAGTGGCTGATGAGCCTCTTTGTCTGGATCCAGTCAGACACATGCGTCACCTCCTGCCTACAGACCCTCACCATAGACAGATAAAATCACAGAGACTGGGAGGAGCGAGCAGGGGCAGATGTATGGACAGACATGACGGGGTGCTGCTGAGGCATGACAAGTTCTAGAAGGGTCTACAAGAGCCATACATCACTCATTGGCTGAGAATGGCGAAGCCATTGTAGTTATTGCACTGCAAATGTGAAAAAGAGACCAAATAGCTGCACCACTAAAACTTTATTGTGACAAATAACATCTTTAAGATACCTGCTATCACTGGTATTTAAACCATACCTGGCATTAGGGCTGTGACAAAAAATGTAAAGATTGCAACCGACTTTGGTAGATCTTTCATTATTGACACATGCATTACGATTAGCGGATCATGTGGCGAGGGGCTGAAGATGAGTTACAGGAGAACAAACTGAGCCATAAAGATGGGCAGCTCGTGTCTTCACCTGGTTTACGCCACAATGTGTTCTCACCTTTCAATGCAATTGGCATAAATATTATGCCCAGTGTTGATATGCAGAGCTGCTTTGAGCTAGAAAGACGGAGCCAGGCTTTTTGTGTGTGTGGGTGGTACTGAGAGTGGAGGCAGAATGGCAGAAGGCTCATGGTGTAAAGTGCAGGGTTTCTATCCACTCCCTAGGAACTGTAGTATGGCTGTCAAACATTTACTGTATTTGATACGTGGGATAAAATGTGTTTTGGGAAAAGCATATGAAATATGCTTTTAAGAGATACTGTAATTAGAATTAAACCCATAATAGACATACAGGATTAAGATGTAGGTTGATGTGTTAAAGTGTATTTCTACTGAAATTAAATCAGCACTAAACAACTTGTGGTTGCTTTATACTTTCTTAGTATTCTGTAATGTCTGAGTTTCTATGTCATTGTTTGTCGCCGACTCCAGGGCCATTTCAGCCAACAGGCATGACTGGTCTCCAGCACACAATCAATATGGAGGGTCGCGAGGACTTCACAGAAGAGAGTGAATGCTGCAGCACCAACTCCCAGGAGGTCGAGGGCCAGGACAGCCTCTCAGGTACTGACCCTTACAGGACAGAGTCACAGGACGTCCTAGAACTAGCCCTGACTGTATTGATAGGGCTGTGTTTGCCTCCATAGAAGACAGTGACAGTGACCCTGACAACCAAGAGGAAGATTTGTCATACAACAGCTCAGCTGACGACCTCATGAGCACTGACAGAGTGCAGTGCCGCCTGCAACGAGCAGGAGTCAAAGAGGTCAGAATCATAATCATGTGTGCATAAATGGCACCCATTAATTGTTGGAATGAGCCAGCATCTTATGCTTTACATTCTCACAGCTGTATTGTATTTGCTGGGTTTTATGTTACTCAGGAGAGCTTGGACAATGGAGACCACAGCACTTTTGCTTGTCCTCTCTGTTCACTGGACTTTGACAACCCTGAAAAACTCATCACTCATGTCTACCAGGTGAGAAAATTGGCATTTCTGACCATAATATGTCAGTAAGATGTTTTGAACTTGTTTTTATTTTGTTTTCTGACCTTTTCAGCATACAACCACAATGAGCAACAACAAGAGTTATGTATGTCCAGTGTGTGAGCGCGCCTTGAGTTCACCGGGCTCTCTGGGAAGGCATCTTCTCATCCATTCAGAGGACCGTCTGTCCAATTGTGCAGTCTGCGGGGCACGCTTTACAGATACCAACAACTTCAACAGGTTTTACACAGCCTCTACAAACATAAAATACTGGCAACTAATATCAGAGCTGTTTTTTATACATTTTGTATAATAATATTTGATAATTATTCAACAAGATCATTTTGTATTTGTAATATCAAACATAAAAGTGTCACGTGTCTAAAATAAAAATTACTTCAGAGCCATGTGAAAATATGTCTCACATAATGTTTGACAAATCCTGTGTTTCAGGGAGAAGCTGAAAGAGGTTCTTGACCCAAGCAGACTGGAGGTGAGTGGAGGCAGTGATATGTGTTCTCTGTCTCTCTCCAGTAGTCCCATGGGGAGCCCCAGCCCAGTGGGACGTTCCTGCCATGGACCTAGTTCAGCTCCATGTCAGCTTCCTCAGGGCCCATGTGTTTCCTCTGGTCAGGAGCCCAGCCTCTGCCCGGGTCCAGGACACATTTCCAGTCAGTGCCAAGGACCCAGACCATGTCTGGGCTCTGACCAGACCTTCCCCTCACTGTCCGACAGCCTGCTCTGTGAAGGCCCATCGCTGGCATCAATTCCTGAAGCTCTAAACTCCTCTTCCTCAGGCCTCCCTTCCATCTCAGACATTCTCAGTCCCTTGCCTGTTTATCCAGCAGGAGTACTTCTGGTGTGCAACAGCTGCATGGCCTATCAGCAGTTGGTAGAGGCTCAGTCGCCAATGAGAAAGTGGGCACTACGAAGAAAGAATGAACCTGTCGAAGCTCGTCTGCAACGTCTAGAGCGTGAACGAACGGCTAAGAAGAACAAACGAGCCTGTGAAAGTGAGGAGGAGCGGGAGCTGAGGAGGCTCCGGGACCGTGAGGCCAAGCGTATGCAGAGGATGCAAGAAACAGAGCAACAACGAGCGCGAAGGCTACAGCGGGACAGAGAGGCCATGAGGGCCAAGAGAGCCAATGAAACACCAGAGAAAAGACAGGCCAGATTGATCCGGGAACGAGAGGCAAAGAGAATCAAACGACGACTCGAGAAGATTGACCCAGCTTTGAGAACTCAGATAGAGCATGACCCCGCGGCTATGGCCGCTCTCACCGCAGATATGAGTCTGTTCCAGTTCCCCTGCCCCCTGCCTGTCCCCTCCATCGATAATGGTTTGTTCATGAAGTTACCCTGATTAGACCAATCAGAAGACATCTTTTCATGACCATAACTAGCCTCTGCCCTCTGGCACACAGTCAGGATTATTCCCAGCTGCTTGTACAACCATCTTATATCAACTTCATGCACAATCTGCTTTCTTCTGAAAGGCAAATGGCTAAATGAAGTTTCTCATTTATTGTGCTTCAAAACGTCTGAACAGGGTTGGATGATTCATTATGTTGTTAAGACATTGTGATTTACCATATGAGAACAGGTACTTTTCAATGTCTGCTTTTATGGAAATTTTGCACATGTGCGATCGATGATGTACCTCTTTTCAAACTGCCAACTTGGATTCAACTTGGAAGACTATCTACCTCAGCTGGAATTACGAGTATTCCTCTCGACTTGGTTTACAGCTACAACTCCAGGCTCTTATCTGTATTGTACAATTACGTAATTATGCATGTTGTAGGCACTTTTATTTGTAAAGACTGATTCAGAAACATCCCAGAGTTTATGTTTGGCCATGCACATCCTGTCAAAAATGTATTTGCATTATTTCTATTGAAGGATTTGTGAAAGCTCAGTATGTGCTGCTGTTGCTTGATAATGCATCTTTTACCTCAGCTTTTTTGTCTTGACTTTGGAACGGTGATCATATGGGCACAACCCCATGGTATCTGCTAACGGGTAGTTTGGTGAAATACTTGAATTTTGTTAGTTTTATTTGTTTATCTCGTGAAGGTAAATCAATCATTATAATGCATTATTTGTAGCTTTGTGTCTTGTATGAACGTAGAATCTGAGTTGGCAACGTGAGGTTATTTCAGGGCATTAAGAGTTGTTCACTCATAATACGTAAATCTTTCATTCAAAAGTATAGCCACAATGTTACATTATTGTTAATAGATAGATTGATCCCGTAGGAAAAATGTCGGTGTTCAGTAGCAGTAGAAGCATATCCATCCATACAAACAAAAAAAATAAATAGATAATTATCTGGGCTCTATCATAATACAAGACTATAGATCTCATCTAATTTTCCTGCCTGAATTATTCAAACTATATTATTTTTGGGAATTACAGTACATGTTGCCAACTAAGCACCAAGGTATATCTCTATCAAGCTCTTACAAAGCATTAACTTCTATGCAACATACACAATATATTAGAACTATGCAGGATGCAAGTTTATTTATTCATGATATAAATGAGCTTCTCAGGCAATCTAACTCTATAGAGAAAGGTTTACACCTTGACTCTTTGGTCAGAAAACTTTAATACAGTGCAATTAACAATGGATGGTGTATTATTTTCTCACTATTGGACAAACACCATCCTCGTCACATTAGACTCTACCCACAGAGCGCTTTCTTCATCCACTTATGAATACCGAGTATTCTCTATCGTTTTGATCTATGTGATGCCATTTTGGGGAATTCCCAAGCCCATTGGTTCGAGACATGAGAAACAAGACATTTTGTTTCTATGCATGACCCAAAGCCTCTGGCTCGTTCTGCATGATGGCAAAGCTGCATCCCTTAAGTTAATTTTGAATAGGTTTAACTATTTGTGTCTGTTGTTACAATAATCAATAAAAAGGGATTACACTACGAGGATGAGATCACTGATACAAGTGGGCATAATGGGTTTCCTCTGCAGAGTGGCTGAGCGCTCTAGGGTGAGGAGCTCAGTCACATGGGAAGAGCTCTCGAGTAAAGCAGCTTTTTCTCCACGTCAAGAGGAGCCAGTTGAGGTGGCTTGGGCATCTGTTTTGGATGCCTCATGGACTGCCTTCTTGGGAGATTTCCAGGCATGTCCCAGGGGTGGAAGACTCGCTGGAGGGACTTTCTCAGTTGGACTGGGAATACCTCCCTGGAAGATCTGGAAGAAGTGTGTGCGTGAATAGTAAAAAAAATTTTTTGGATGGATTACACAAGCCTTTAAAAACAAGTTATGTCCATGTTTACAACTATCCATGGCCAAATGAACAAGCTAAACTGATGTTAAATGTTACGCTGACGAAATGGGTTTGGTGACTCCTGAAAGCCTTTGTGCGACTTTTGCAGTATTGTCCATAACTTGGTGAATGTGGAAATAAACTTTGATTTTATTGCAATAAAGCTGCCTGGTTATTCAAAGTACTTATGATGGGCAAAGTGAAGCCGTGGGGAATGCCTGATTAGAACTGAATGATTTGTGGCTTCAAAATATTTCTCCACTGACTTCTAGTAATGTAAAATGTAAATGTGCACTTTATTGTCCCCTCTGCATTTGACCCATCCTGATGCCTCTTACGGCTCAAGTCAGGAGCAGTGGTCGCCAGACACGAAGAGAACATGAAACTCCACTCAGAAAGACCCTGCTTCGACTGGGATTCGAACCCAGAGGCGAGAGTGCTATACACTCAGCCACCGTGCCGCCCCGTACTAAAACGTTACAACAGTAATTCAACAATATAATGAGAATCAGCACCTCCAAATCCGAGGCCATGGTGCTTGACTGGAAAAAGGTGCCTTGCCCTCTCCAGGTGGGTGGAGAGGTCCTTCCTCAAGTGGAGGAGTTCAAGTATCTCGGGTCTCGTTCACAAGTGAGGGAAGGATGGAGCATGAGATTGAAGGCGGTCGGTGCAGCGTGCGCAGTGATGCGGTCGCTGTATCGGACCGTTGTGGTAAAGAGGGAGCTGAGGCGAAAGGAAAAGCTCTCGATTTACCAGTCAATCTTTGTTCCCTCCCTGACCTATGATCATGAGCTTTGGGTAATGACCGAAAGAACGAGATCGCGGATACAAGCGGTCGAAATGAGCTTCCTCTGCAGAGTGGCTGGGCGCTCCCTTAGAGATAGGGTGAGGAGCTCAATCACACAGAAGGAGCTTGGGGTAGAGCCACTGCTTCTCAGCGTCAAGAGGAACCAGTTGAGGTGGCTCAGGCATCTGTTCCGGATGCCTCCCTAGGGAGGTGTTCTGGGCAAGTCCCGGGGAAGAGCCAGGACACACTGGAGGCACTATGTCTCTCAGCTGGCCTGGGAACGTCTTGGGGTTCCCCTCGGAAGAGCTGGATGTGTGGGTAGGGAAGTCTGGGCATCTCTGCTTAAACTGCGGGGGAAGCAGTTTCAGATCCGTTTCAGTTTTCAGATAAGTTAAAATAAAAATAAAAAGTCTGGCTAGTGGAGTTCTTATTGTTTTTATAATAGATCCATGGATTGGATCCTCTCCCTGTGAAGAAGAGATTTTTAATCAAGACTTGGTACGACCACAAACATTTTTTGAGTTGCCTTTGGAAAACTTCATAAAAACAGTGCAATTATCAAAGGGCAGTGGTGTTTGTTTTCTCCCAATTTATCCTGGAGAAAATTGCAACATCTGGTTTGCGCTGGAAGAGCAAAGGGGTTATCCTAAAATGTCCATTTTATCTATTTTTAATACTCGTGTTACAATAAAAATAAAAAAAGCATTGATTTATATATATTTGTTTCCACAATTAAAAAAAAAATTACAATGTTTCAATGTGGACGGATGGTGAGAGTCAGATCCTCAGGTGTTAATGGAAACCATATCGGTTCTCCATTGTAAAGTGCATTGTGTGACCTTGGTTTGCAAGATATTGATCATACGCTGTAAAATGTTAATTAAATGGAAAGAAACAAGTCCAGTATTGTGTAGTAGTTTATATTTGTATATATTTTTATATATATATATATATTTATATATTATGTTGCGTTGACATGTGATGTCTCAAAGTTAGCTGTAACAATAAAAATACAATATCTTTGTGTCCTTAAAGTACATAGTATTAAAACAGCAAAACAAAACAACCCTAAACAGTCCACAGAGGTACAAATATACAGTACAAATCTATTATTCAAAAAGGTACAAATAAAAAGCAACAAAATAGAGATATTAATGCTTTGTTAAAAGGTGAGGGGTTTGCTAACGGAGCACTTTGGGTTGACAACTCTAAGGCTTCTCATAAAGATCAATACATATTGGTAACAGTACAATATAATCACTGAACAAAGATCATATAACCTGGATTATTGTTAAAGATTGAATGTTACATGTATATCATTGCATATATTCGAGGGATTTTTTTTTTTACTTTATTTTTCATAGTCACATCACCCAAAAGCAGTCAACTTGTGCCAATAACAATGTAGATATTAAATTATTGACATTTAAACTTAAAGCTGTAGCTATGTGTGTCATTTCAATAATTATGATCATCAACCACAAGATAAAATTCACCTCGGCAGCTCAATAACAAAGAGATCACATTTACACTACCACCAACAGACGACTCCTCTAAAGCTAGCTAAGCCCCAATAGTTTCAAAACCGTATAAAATGGTCAGTGAAGTATTTTAGTATCAGAATGACTACATTTTGTGTAAGAAAGCATTTGAGTAGGCAATCGGGCACTGGCTTCTGTTGATGCACTTGAAAGTGCAAAGAAAACTCAGTTAAAGAAACAATCTGGGTTTTCTAAAAGGGAACACCATTTCACCTTCACACATTGTAAATAGCAGTAATTTAAGGCATTATCAACAGCATCTGCAAAGCAAACATTGACCTATACAAAAATACAAATCTACACACGTGATTTCTTTGACTGTGTGCTTTACATTTTTAGACTCTTCGATTTACCAACACTGAAAATGTGGGAATTAGTGCAATCAATTACAGTAACAAACTGTCTATGCAAAACCCACATAATATTCATTAAGATCTTGGTGGTTAGCTCTGAGCAGAGGGCAGATGAAAAGGCTTGTCTTAACAAAAATGAATTTGTTTTAGACGTATATAAGAGGTAAAGCCACAGGTGGCTGCTTACACCAAGGATGCGAACTGAGAAAGCATTCTCTGAAGCAGCTTAAGTCCAAATGATTACACAGAGAGAAAACATGACATTTGGTTCGAATGGCTTACTGCTTTACCAGTAAACACAGAATTACAATATTTTGTATAATTGTCCTATGACCAAACAGTGCATATAGTGCTTCTTTCTACAGCCTCAGAATGATCTTTGTCTGTTATTGACAATAACAATGGAGTTTACTGCATAGTAAAAGTAGATGTTGTGAAATTTTTAAATGTGCATTGCTTACAGCATTACTTATGGCAAATTTCCAAAAGTGTATTTTTCCTGAAAGAGTTGAACTATTGTATATTGAGTAGATGGGAAGTTTTGATAATTAATGAGAAGTGGGATTTCCTTCGACATAGATAGCGCGCTGAATATGGCCAATAATGCACATTTTAAGTGCATGTAATGGGTGTGACCTGAGTTGGGACAGGCAGTCAACAACACAGCACAAGCACAGAGTTATCTACAGTACATGAAAGTTAGAGAATAGTAATGTTACAAAGAGTGAAATGGGAATGTCTGTATGTATGTGGAATGCACTTTGATTTGCATGATCTAATTGCACTTACTTTAAACTTTTGGATTTTTGTGCAGCATTCTGCAGTGTTAATTGTAAACAGTTTTACATATGTTAGTAACTCTTACCACATATTCAACCCATTTCAATTTAAACAAGCAAACATGTGCAACACAAGACAGTCCTCTTATGCTTTATAAATATGGGGCTAAAAGTCAACAACACATTAGGGGGGAGCAGAAAATATTTAACATTATTCTAATAGTGAAAAGCTACACTCAATTTCTTTGATGAGCAAGAATGTAGATTTTAACTACTGTTGTCAACCACTAACTTCAGCCCATACAACAGAGAACGTGTTTTTTACTGGTTGTTTATATTCTCACCATTGGGGGCGTGGGCCATTTCAGAAAGAAATGCACCTGCTTGACACTTCCGTGACCAGTCAAATCACAAATGGCATTTAGTAAGACATTTGTGAAATAACGTGGTATTAAGTTTTATAATTTTTCCTATTTATAAATGAAAACTTATTTACAAAAAACACAACTTCAATTTACAAAACATTCAGTGGAATGTTGATTGTGTTTAAATGTGTGTAGTACTGTACTGTGCCCATTTAACAGAATAACTGAGTAAAGTGGCAAATTTCATTTTTGGACCAGTTAATCTTCATTTGTGATTATGGAACAAGCACATATCATAGAATAATTTAGAATTGATGAATTGCAAAACCCCAACAAAGCTGCAGTTAAATTTACTTTTGGCTTCTCAGGATAAAGGTTCTTAGGAGTGGTGTGATAATCTGATTCTGAAACAACTGTTTATATCATTGTTTCATTAAAATCACAATCCACTCAAATGCATTTCCAAAAAGCAATCGGCCTTAAATATTATTCTGAGATTCATGCAATATAATATAATAATATGTAATATGTAAAGCAATGGCGTCTATGGAGAGGAAGAAAGATTAATGCCACATCTAAGCACTATGCTACATATTACTATATTACAAACGTTATCTCCACCTTAGCAGGATAGTAAACCACAGGTCCCTACTACACACACTGAACATTTTGTTTTATAAATGTGCAAAACATCAAAACATTCCAAAGCTACATTTGCCCTCCATTTTCCTTTAGCTCCATATCCCTCTGCTACTTCCCTGCATTGGAACGTCCCTCAATAGACAATTTGACCTCCTGAGGGATGAAAGACGGGCGTGCCGTGCTCACTGGAGATCTCAAGCCATCTTCTCCCCTAGCACTGTGTCTTTGGAGACTGGGAGAGGACCAGCGTCTCAAATTGGCAGTTCCTTGTCCTGGTGCTGTCCCTTCTGTGTGCAAGTGATAGCTGCTGTGGCTTCTTGGATGCTCTGCAGAAACTCTACTTGATCTATATGAAGAATCGATGTGACCAACGAACTGCTCTGCATCCCCTTTCTCAAGTCCATCTTTGTCTACCTCTCGTTGCCTCTCTCTGTACATACGTTCAAACCTTAACTGAGATGAAGGCCGTAGGGAGACAGGCGGCCCCATGAGCTGATGTGCAGACCCCGGTGTAGGCTGACTTTTAGTGAGCGTGTTGGAGATCGCTTGTAGTTGTTGGGGTTGGGCTTGTGGCAGTTTCTGGTGCTGCTGCTGTTGTTGCTGCTGCTGCTGCTGCAGAGTGATGGACACACAGACATCTCCTATTTGCAGGTGATGAGAAGGTAAACCATAAAGCTGAGCTGTGCGTTCAGGGTTGCAGGAAGACCAGCCTTGTCCAAAAACAAAGAAAGGATGCTCAGGAGGAACATCGATGGTGACTTTGCTTTGCTTTTCTCCAACTGTGAAGTGAAGTGATACAAAGCCTGGTCTCTGCTGGCTGGCATGTATGTTTACCACCATGCTAGAATCAATCTTTAGACCTCCGCTCAGCTCTGCACTTCGCACAAAGTCTTGTGTCTGTAGGTCCTCTACACGTTTAAGTTCACCCGTAGCAAGTTGTATAATGGCCCCCTTCATGAAATGGGATGGGGTGGAGGGTGTGTTGGAAGCAAGGCCCTGAGTCAAGTCAGTGGTTTGGGCATGGGGCTTGTGAGCTGTGTTTGAGTCCCCTGAAGATCTTTCAGGGAGGCACACTTTGGCAGAAGAGTCTGAGGCTTTAAAGCTGCAATTAGGGATCTCATTATTCCCTTGTCCTGGGTAGTTATGGGTAAGTGCGGGTGACTGATGCTGAGCAGTGTACACAAGGGGAATAAGCATTGGTTGACCATTGGCTATCAAACCTGCATGCCCTGATGACATTGGCTGCTGTTGGATGCTGTTCGTTTGAGAGTCTTTCACAGATTGAGCTGGTGGTGCACTATGACTGTAAATACCTCCTGTATTCTCTCCATGGACATCTTTACTTCTTTGGGTGCTCTGAGAGAGATTCAAAGGAGCAAAGGAGACCTCTTTTCGACCCATATTAGAGACCAAACGACCAACTACTTGCTGCACCTAAAGCACAAAACAATTTAGGATTAGTTCAATCTCAGACCACAAATACACACACAGAGCATTGAATACCATTTAAGTGCAATAAATATTGTAAATCATCCAAGTAAACAACATGTCTAACCTCCAAGTCACTGTCTGGGGTACTCCGCTGACATGGTGAACCTCTGTCTTCTGGATGACGCATCTGCAGAGATTTATTCTGGATGTCTTCTTGGTTTGAGAAGTTAGGTGTTGACTGTGGCAAATGTACATTTTTCACAGAGTGGGTAACATCCATGAGTGCCTCCCTAGATCCATGACAATTGTCCCTTCCATTCATTTCTCGCCCACTTGACTGATGAATACTAGAGGCAGTTGAGGCCCTAACCCCCTGTGGTTGGTAAAAAACTGGTGCACTGTGAGATGCCAGCTCTGTTCCAGATAGAACAGAGCCAAGATGTTGCTGAGGAGCTTGCTCTGAAGGCAGCAACAGGGGAACACCAGATGGTGGAACTTTAGCAAATGAATGACCCGCTACTTGTGGCTGAGGAGGTGGGGAAACTACGCCTTCCTGCACAACCGGAGGATATGGTAGCAAGTGAGACACTGCATGAGGCTGGGAGATTGAGCCAGTGGGAGACATTAATGAACCTGGTACAAAACCAGGAGGTAGTGCATAGGGCACAGCATATGGTGAGGTAACAAACTGAAGGGAAGAATGGGGAATTTGAGCATAGCCAAGCGGATGGGGATAGGGAAGCCCAGGATGCTGCAGGAGTGGCGAGTGTACAGTATAGGCTGGTGAAATGTGGCTTAACACTGGATGGAGAGTGGATGGCGTGTAAGTAACAGATGGTACCGCTAATTTGTATAGCATACTGTACTGGTCAATGGGCACTGCTGGTAAACTATCTGAACTTTCCACACCATAATGTGCAGCTGACTGAGGTCGCAACCACTCTCCAGGTTTGATTCCTTGTATGTCACTGTTTGGTGCACACTTCTGAGGTGAAACGACTTCATCTTCTCCAACAGAGTTTCTACCTCCTCCAAAATTCACACCTGGTCCTGGCCCCGGTCCTGGCCCGCTATCTGTAACTGGCAGGTCTCTCTTCTTAGGAGGCAGACTCTCCTGATTGCGCTCCTGAGCTGGTTTCATTGCAATGCTCCCAAAGAAAGTACAGTAATTTTATTGCACTACAAAAGAGAGAATACTTGCACGCCAGTGAGCTTGCACAGAAACCATCTGCAATATCGTCTGGTTGTCAGGTGCCAAATCACCTAAACACACACACAATATATTGATTAGTTAAATGACAGAAGCCACCAGCAATTGTCAATATGGCAAAAAATAATGCCCTACGGTAAGTAAAACAAACATCCATGGTTACTGATATCTTAATGTATATGACAGGATTTCAATTTCTAGGCAATTTAATTTGTTGAATTCCATCTAAATGTAAAAAAAACCTTCGTCCTACACATACTGTATATATTAAGCCCTACATAACATTACATCATCTTATTTAAAGCAAAGTATAATAGAATAAATATGATGACTATTTTTCAGTTAAAAGGGTAGCCCCACACGCATTTTAACCATAACTTAACATTTCCATGTATGTAGAACTGTTATTGCAACTATTTACTTATAATTATTTACTATTTACCAATTCTTTTTTATCGTTAACTAACGTTCGTTAACAACATATAAATGGATGTCAAGAGACGCACACGCGACATAACAGACATAACTGTGGTTTATTAATAGTTGGTAAAGTTATTTTTTTTTAAATTACTATATATACTTAATGCAATTCATGACAGCCTCCAGAGCTCATTGCTAGTTAGCCACTCGAGCTAGCAGAGCTGCAACTCTCCCTCGCCTTAATACAACTACAACTAGCTAGATTGTAATCTCTAAAGATCCCCGATATAATTACATTTGCTATCTTAGGACACATACCTCTAAATGTCATCGCGAATGGAGTTCCACGAGGAAAAATCCGATATGTCAAAGAACAAATGAATAAATCAAGGCTAAGGAGTCGAGCCCATTTCGGAGGCCGACAGAGGCGCTCTTCAATGACGTCACTGCACTAACTCGATTTCCTGTTTTTACCATGGATGTATTGGTTTTTACGATCAACAAATGAATGTATCAGATGGTGTGCGTTTACGCCATGGATCTATTATAATAACGGTTTATGCATGGGGGGATGGGGTGGTACTGGACTTAGCTCTACTGTCTATTTTCTCAGATAGATATGTGATTCATATAATTTATCCGTATGCATTTATCTGTTTTTAGGCATATGTGAGATTTTTTTTACAGGAGGAAAAGCCAACTATATTCTTTTAAAAAAGCAAGACAAATTTGGCTGATGGAGACGAGTGTTTCAGTTTGCGCCCTTGAATGCGTTGATTTTAAACAAACATAGTTTATACTGGGGAGGTACCACAATTACCATGCATTTATAATACGCAATAACAGTCATTGGGAGGGCTGCTGTATAAAGAATATACATACTTTATTACCATAAGTACATGTCTGTATAGTATACAAACTTATGCTTACGTTTTGTTTTTTTTACCAACGGCAAAACAAAATTTGGTGCAATAAAAATATTCAACCATTCATTAATTACATTGTTATTAACTTTACATCAATTTGTATTTATCATTACACACTACGTGCAACACAGGCACATTTGTGTTAAATACATCTACTAAAACACCTACATTGCAAAAAAGTGCTTCTGGTTAGACCTGGAAAAAGTTTCCAATTTAATAAAAAAAAAAGAGGAATCGCCATCAACCACACAAAAATCTGGAATATACACCTAATATCTATAAAAATCTAAATGAAAATGTGCCAGTATTTGCAAGCAACATCTCACTGCAATAAAACACTTTGCTTTACCAAATATTATTTTAACATGTAACCCATTATGAACAAAATAATTATGATCTAGTTTTGATAATTAGTACACCGTCTATTAAATCAACAAACTGACTGGTAGATGAGTGAGCTCAGGGATTAAACAATCAGATTGTATCATTAAGAGTTTCAGTGGAGAGCCATATCTTTGCACCATTCAGAAACTTGCTGATGGGAGTCCCAAGTGTGCTACGGCGGCACAAGTTTCCTGTTGGTGTGAAAGGAAATGATGAGGTAAGAAAGTCTGGAAGTGAGTGGGGCTCATCTGCAGTAAAATACATGCGTCTCTGCTCAGAATGTGGTGCACTGAAGTTCGGCTCAGGTGTGAAACTAGAACTTGGTCTTTTATACTGCCTAAGCTTCGACTGAATCATTTCAATCTCATCAACTAGTTGGCAGAGATTGTGGTATGTTGTTATGGACCCTCCTTTGGCAATGCAGGCTTCAGGAACCCAACGTAAAAAAAAAAGCTTCCAAAGCGCTATGTGTGAAGGCAAAATCATTGGAACCAACAGACCATGCAGGTCAACAGGTCGAGAAAACCAGTCTCTGAAAAACATCTCTGACGGGCTTTCAACCACGTCTTTTACAGGTGAGAACTCTGGCTTCAGCTCAGACATAAAAGACGCTCGGCGAGCCAGTGTTCCATCTCCATCTCGGAGGCCATTTGCAACAGACACAAGGATTCCTTTTACAGACGCACTGTAGGCTTTCTGGAACAACAAGAGATGACAAGATGATGACTGTCTGCTCTTCTAATGGTCAAACCAAGACCTTCAATTAATATCCATTACAAACCTTTGTGCGTCTAAACGTTTTCACTTCACCATTTTGAACACAAGCAGCACCTTTTCCGACATACATGGGGTTGTTAAAAAGGGTTTGTTCTTTGGCAGAGAACTGTTGTGACCATTCCCAAACTGGAGGGAAATAAACACTTTGTTCTTCCCCTGGAGGGATAGCCTTTATCTTGGCAAACTCCTGTTAGAAATTAAGATTTAGTTTAATATTTGTATCAGGTACTATATCTAATCAAATTGCATACTTGCCAATAAGTGCCGAGTACGCTGAAGACTTGAATTGAAAAGAAATGTACTGAAGAATGGAATCCACATGCTATCAGTCAAAACAGTCAGGTAGGTTCCTGTAAACTCAAATGCAGCTGGATATTGATTAGTCATTTGCCAGACACAGTCCAAGAAAAGTAAGAACATCGGGCACTAAAAAGGGATACAAAACATAAAACATTACATTATGCATACATTCAATGTAGAATAATTAGGCACTTTTCAGATATTATACCTCTTCCTTGTCATTCTTCTTTAAGTGGTTGCATCGGTCCAAGAAGCGATGTCCAGCCATCACCCATTCTTTCTGCACCAAGCTTTGAAAGCCTGAAATGCTTCGATATTGAGGATCCAGCATGAGCTGCACCAGAGAGGAAACAATGCAGTTCAAGTCTCGATCTTCTTCCTCTGTCAAAACAAATATTACCACTTACATATGTTTTTTTGTAATTGTTATTAGAATCATGGTTAACTTTGAAAACTGGCTGATAATAAAAATCAAAAGCACCTGAGATTATAACTGAACTACCCTTTCCCTCCATCAAGTAGACAATCTCTGTGGCCTGCTTCAGAAAGGCCCTTATGTACTCCAGCCAGCGAGAGTTCTCAATACTCGAAAACCATCTCTCCTCTAACTCTTCAAATGGATCTGAAAGGAGTCATTACATTTTAGTTTAGCTCTAAATGATATGAATGTTCAAGAAAAGAGAATCAAACTCACCAATCACACAGATTTGTCTAATTTTACAAAATGCACTCTGAATGTCCTGGGTGTTCGGTAAGAACTTTTCCAGGTCAACCCGTGTGACCTCACTGTGCTGCGGGTGGCTTCTTGTGACAGCATTGAGGATCCTGTAGGATACAACATACAGGCCATCTATAGAGTTAAGTGCAAGAATACCAAAAATGAAATCACCAAAATGTACTGACCGTTGCTCAATTTTTTTCTGTTGTATCGGATCAGCAATGTTTGACATGCGCACAAGGGCACTACCATTGGGGTGATTCCAACACCAAAGCTAAAAGTACGAGGTAAAACACAGGATACGGTAAAAACGTGGCGCCTCCTTCTCATGACCGCTTTCACCAGCAATGAAGTGATAGACTAGCAAAAGTTATTTTAATATGCAACTTACAGGTAGGCGGCTGTCCATAAAATATATAGCGAACTGCCTTAGATCTTGATCAGCCAGAGATGCTGGTACCACGATGTACTCAGGAAGACTTAAATAGGAAAAACACACAACAGTTAGTTAATTAATGCTGATAATTGATAATAAACAGCCCTTTTCTCCGGTCCATTTCCAATGCAAAAGGGTAAGTATTGAACAACCTAATATTCTAACCAACCTTTGGGAGATGCCATAACGCTCATTGATGGAACACACTCTCCACTCTGCAGCTCCGGTTCTTTTAATCTCTCGATCCCAATCAGAAGGACGATCAAATACAACAGTTTGTAGACCCACTTGAGGCATCGACCAGTTCTTTTCGCTTTCTGATGAATGACATAAGTAATATTTTTAAATGTGAAATGTTTTTTAAAATATATACTTTTGTTTGATTATATTATATTATATTATGTGTGAGCTACTGTGTCTTTTAATCAAACCTTTAAGTTCATGATATCGTCGCCCTTGATATTCAAAGCCGAATAAAAGGTGAAGATCGGCAGGATGTGAATAGTGAGCAATAGCAAGGCAAACCTGGAAGACATCAGAGAAACCTGAATATGAAAATAACACTAAATCTTTCAATTTTATTGTTTGAGAATCCAGTCTAAATCTTATTGAATGTGTCTGTTGGTGAACTCTGGGGCACATTAGGCTAAATGTGGAGACCAAAATAGGAAGCGAAAGCACTAATGAGGTGCATCCTGGTCCACAAGTCACCTCACTTACCCCACCGGCTTAAATAGATCAAGTCATGAGAATTGTTGCATTTGCATCTGAAGTAAACAAAAGGCCAGTAATTGTGAATACAAGTCTTATTATAAATGTCAAATAAACCATGTACGTGAGATTTCTATTTTAAATTACATTACATCTACTACATCTTTTACCTCAGCCTCAGACACACTTACAGATCTTATATGACTTTTTCTGATTACAGATCTACCTACCTATTATTTATTTTGTTACCTTTAATTAGGAAAGTCCTACTGAGACCAAGAACCTTTATTCAAGTTAGTCCTGGACTAATTGCAGATCTAAGTAGAAAAAGAATGGACATGATGGCCAGATTATTTATGTTAACCTTTTTTATTATGGGTCACAAGCATAGACTGTAAATAATAACGGACGTAGTCACTCCTATCTCCGCCGTTGGAACGAATGTGCCAACACGTTTGCCTTCTATTGGGCTTTTTCAAAATGGCTGCGGGCAGCCCCTCCCACAGGAAAATGTGAAAAAACGCATTTGCGCAGGCGTCAGCCGGCACTAGCCCCATTCATTAAACGAGTGCCTTCTGAAGTCACAGCGGCTAAAGCGGCTAGTGGTCCAAAAAATATACTCCCCTCAGCATTGACACGCATCTGGAACATCGCTTTGGGCCAAGAGCCGACTTTTGAACCATCCTGTAAAGCCATTTTCGAGAGGAAAGAAGATGCCATACAAAAGCATTGGGTTATTCTCTTTCTGGGTCCACCCCCATCGGCCCGGAGTGGTATTGCAAGTATGTCAGCGCATGTGCTTGTGGACGTTTTTGAGCCAGGACCTACCACCGCTGGTCACAAGCCAGGTATCCAAATAGAAAGCAGAATTAACTTTACATTATCATTTATGCCGTCTGGTGACGGTTTTATCACCGTCTAAACCCCAGCAGTTGAAGCACATCAGAGATATCAGCCAAGTCTGTTGATCTACAAGCAGGGGCACTGGCAACAAAGGTTGGTATGGTAATTGCAATGACTTTGAAACCAGTGAGACTGCAAACTACTAGGGCTGTATTTAACTAAATAAACTCTTGCTCGAATAAAGACAGTGTGAGAGTTCCATTAATTCATATTTAAATACAGCTCAACTCTTTTTATGAAATGACATGTGATTTTGGAAACATGTAGAAAGTTCCCTATCTACCCTGATTTGGATGTTTCAGTGACTAAGGAAATACAAAATGCCACATTGTCCCTTTATTGAAGCTGCGTACCAGGACTGAGCACAGGGACACAAAGCCTCTGTGTGTCTGGAGAAAGGATAGTTTCCCACTCTGCAATTTCAATTTCATTTTGGTCAGTTTCTATAGGTTAAAGAGAAATCTGGAAAATAATTACAATGTCCAACTTTCAATGATGGGAAAGGTTCCAATGAAACTAAACAAAAACACAGTTTTGGTGTTGTAGCAGAAAACGTATTTGTTCAAATGAAAAAAGGGACAATATATGGACTATGTTATGTTTTTGGATATATAGAAAACAACACCGGTATCAACGATAGACTAAGCAATGGAAAAAGAATTCTTTATCGCAGTTCTTACACACTGTGACGATACTTCACAAGATTGATTACTACCTCATTTTAAATGATCGCACTCACCTTTTTGGCACTTTCTGGACCAGCCTCATGAAAACAAAACCGGATCACCCTCAGGTCTTTGCAGTACAAGATGAGCTCAGTGGGATTAAACTTCAGCTTTTGGTTTGAACCCAAGACTTTCTTTTTGCCCTTTGCATCATTAACTGAAATAAAACAAGAATTCAAATACACACTGAAGTATAGACTTAGTTAGTAGCTAGACCTGGTCCCTTTTACATATAGTTACTGTATTGAGTATACACTATGGAAAAACTGCATCTTCTTACAGTCTCACTTAGGAAAATAACTTCCTAATGGAAAGACTGGAGATAAATGAGAGGTTTAATTTGAAGCACTGCACCACTCAGAGTTTGGGGAAATCATGATTGCAAAGTAAGGCACACTTTCATTGTAAAGTTTGCCTAATGCAGTACAAGCCTTTGTCTGTAACAAAGAATACAGTCTCAACTAGTAGTCTAAAATAAAATGTACCTGTTACAACTTGATCCAAGCAGGTCAGTGGGATGTCATGTTCTCCAAGCAAAAGGTGGGACAGATGAATATTCTGTGATAACAAACAAAGCAGAAAAGGTTTTGATGACCATATATCTTTATGGTCATCAAGCTACCTTTATTGGTTCTGAACGTACTACATTCACATGTAAAATGTGATTAAGACATCACTAATTAAAAACCCCTCCTACATCTATATTGTTTGTCACAATTACATTTATTAATGAAGATTTATATTGGTTGATAATAGTCTGCACTTCTAAAAGTGTGGGTGTTCTTCCACAGTAGGTAGAGTGGAACGATGGCTGGGCCTCCGATCATCTTTCTTCTCATTTCCCTTGTACATTTTTTAAGTCCTGCCTACAATCTGAAAGCGCTTTCTCACTTTTGTGACCACACTGACAAAGACGTTTACGGAAGTGCAATTTCCCTTCCTCTGTAACAGATGCATGCAGACCTTTCTTTGCTTTAAGATGGTTTTGTTCAGGTTACAATTGAATGTGAACATTTCCAGTAAAATGAGGAAAAAAGAAATAATACCTGTTTTGGAAAAACTTCTTGAGGAATGAATGAAACTTTAAAATTGGTGCAGATCAACTTTCCCCAAAGATCATCCTGGCCGTTTTCATTGCCAATGCATTTCTTGACAAAGTTCACTTCATTAACTACGATCTCCCCTGGAAACCAAACAAAACATTGTTAAGCATGCTGAATTAATAGTCTGATCTCTAGTTACAGTGTTCTAGTGTTGTAACAATACTGACATTTATTTTTATACTAAACAAAGACATTTTTGTTCCACATTGAGACAATACTCAAATTAATATTTAGTTTTAATACTAGTATGATATTGATGAATGTTATTTTTTTATACCTTTTTGGTTCACTTCATTATGAGTGGTTAAAGGCCCATTTTCACTATGCAAACAAAATTATAGTGGTCAGATTGTTTTTGTATTTATAGATTTCACAGCTGTAAAACTTAACCCAGTTTGGTGATGAGAAATTGGGATTACTTCAAAGGAGCCCAGCAGAGCCAATGACAGACTGTGCAGCAATTTAAAGAAAGAACGCTTTTGAATAATGTTGGACTAAGTTGTAGCTCTATTCACATGTTTTTCAGGCGTGTCTGCATTTAAGTTAACAACAAATCTCTGACAACCTGACAGACTGCTCTGATACTGCCCGTATAACCTGTTGTGTGTTTTAGTTGGACACTTACCCAAAAGTAACTTGGGCTCCACCTTTTTGATGGGCGGATCAATGGGCTTCTCTGTCTGGACAGAAACATGAGAATGGGAAAAGTAATTTATTTACTAAAGGGTACAGTGGATGTTAACTTATTCTGAGTTGTAAATAAATAACAAATCTGACAGGATGGATTTTTCACTCGTGACAACTTCAAGAAAATTAAAATCTAAGTCGTATTGCAATGTATTTAACCAATAGCACAAACACATTAAATACTATATGTATAAAAGTCATTTCAATTCGTAATAACATGTACAAGAAACTGCTTTTTTGCCATAAACCTTTGTTAGAGCGTTACCTGCACGGGTGGGAGGTATGACTTGAAAGTTGGCTTTGTGGGTTTTGTAGAAAACATAGTTTAATTCAGCCCTCTTGATGTTTATACAAAACACCAAATTAAAGGTAAAACAGTTTTCCAGTCCTCAGCTTGAAAATGGCATCACTCTTGTTGGCTGCATCTGTCCTGGTCGGTCGAATGTGGAACTATGCGATCATGAGTTCAGCAGTAAATACGCTGAAAAGTTGACAGGACGCAGAGACGTCAGCGTTAGCCTGTTAGCTAACAAGCTAGGAACGATCAAATCGAACTGAACACAGGAAAAAAAAATGCATTATCAATCAGGAGTCGTTGGGTGTCTCCCCGGGGTATTATTCATGAAAGTATTATATCAGTTGTAAAACGGAGAAGTCCTGTGAAGTTACTTCCTGAAAGTTTCACTCTTCAAACGCTGCACTTTACGCAGTAAAGGATTAAACGCCATGTTTATGCGGAGCACAGACAGTCCCCGCGGCCCGCCCTTCTTCCGGACTCAACTGTTGCTCCTGCACCCAAGGGTACCACCACCACCGTGTACACATTTAACATGTGTACATCCCCCAATGTAACCACATTTAAAGGGACTGTAAACAAGAATAAGAAGGTCCAAATGAAGCCGACCGTTTTATTGAATGTATCATCACAAAACACAGATATGCAGTGAGCACAGAGACGTTCTTAAAGTACGTGTAATGGAGAAAGCTCTAAATAACTAGTACTGGCGAGAACTGAGAGGTAATGTTGGTGTTGATCCACTAGATGGAGGCAATGTGCAAACATCCAGTTCTGTACTGAAGGACTGGTCAGACTACTATTCATGTTGACTCTGCTCTACTATACTATGCTATATTATACTATCCTTTACTATACTGTAATATACTATACTGTATTATACTCTACTGCAATGTACAATATTATACTATACTGTACTATATTATACTATACTATACTGTACTGTAATATACTAAACTTTACTTTACTTTGCTTTGCTTTACTATAACACTACATTACAATATAAATATATAATACAATATAATGTAATATAATCATCAGGGAAACTCGTAAACTTAACATGTTACTTGATTGCGCACTGCGCATGCGCATCACCTGGAGTCTAACCTCATGAATATTTAAAGTTCTGAGCTTCCCTTCTTTTGATTGGATTCTCTGGCGCAGTTTCCTGTGTAATGTTTTTGGGCCACTGTGCTCCGTCTGTAGTCTGCAGGATGGACTCAGGACAGCACTGAAGTGGTTCCTTCAAACTTTGGGGATTTTTAAGGGAATATATTTCTTTGAGACGTGGATTAAAGTAACTTGTTCAAGAGAAAAGCGACAGAAAAGCAGAGGATGGTAAGTGGAAAACGTTCACCAACTCGTTCTCTCCACTGCCGCTGTCCATATCTTTAACTTTGGACTTGTATTGACTTCATGCTGCTAATGTAAATTATACTGTTATCCTTTACTTTAATAATATTTAGTTTGTCGCTCTACATTTAACATGTCTGCATGTTTTGTTTAACTTTGTAATTAAAACCTTTACTATGTTGTAGAACTGTATTTTATATAGGACTAAATGCCTCCCTCCCAGCTATACAATAAGTGAGTAGATGCTCTCACATTTAGCCCACAGCCCTCTGTTAAAACCGGTTTGTTCTGTGACATAAGACAGAGAGCCAGTGCCAGTTGTGTGTGTGTGTGTGTGTGTCTTTCATGGACAGGTTTTCCTGGTCACAGTATGACACCACACCACCCCCATCAGCTGACACACCTAGATTTATGTTACTGAGATATTTTGCATTTCATTAGTGTGTTTGGGCAACAGGTCTCTAATCCACTATCAGTCCCACCTACATGTGCATCATTGGCCAACACACTACTGTGATGTTTCCCAATATGTCTTGGTTTATTTACTGTTACAGCTAAAATACAGTGGCTTTTTCCTTTTTTATTCACAACATTATGCCGGTTTTAATAAGTCTCTCTTCAGATGTAGTCGTATATTAAAGTAGCCAGGTGGATAACAATTATATGTAAGTTTATAATGTAATTACAAAATAAGAGAATTTCACAATTGTCTGAAATGACAGACGCCGGTTTCACTGTTTTGCTCTCTGCCAGATGCTGTGTGTGACAGCAGATGGTTTGCATTAGGGCTTCTCCTGTTTGGGAGGTGTGTACTGTGTAACCCCCATCTTTCCCTCACTTCAGACCGATCATGCTGCAGAAATGTGTTCAGGAATTCAAGTTCTCTCTGTTCAACAGGAGACCAGAATCCTTCTGTGGACCTGGGGAACTCGTTAGGCCTGTCACTGTTCACTTTGCCCTCACACAGTTCGGACGTACAGAGAGTATTTTCTTGTATATTTATTGGGCATGGAGCATTTTGGTCTCAATTCCATATGTTGAATGACAGGGACATTATCTGTAGGTTTTTCATAAGCATTTTTTCAGTTATTATTAACTGGATTTATTTAGACAATAGGCACAGACGTAACCTGCCACATAATATGTGGCCAATGCAATTTATTAGGCTGCCTTTTAAATTTATTTTTTTTTAAAATCATATTTCCATATACAAGGAAATAGCAAAAAATAATACAACCTAAACCATCCCAAATGACTTTTCTTGACTTCCCAGTTTTGTTTATAGGTGAATACATCCTTCAGTTGTGGATCTTCATGTTTACCATTCCCAGTCATCTTTGTTGCTTTGTCATTTAATCAAGCATGCACATATTTTGTGTGCTTGATTGGGACAATTTGTTTAATTTTTTTATGTTTTTATTTATTTATAATATAATATATATATATATATATATATATATATAAGACATGACTACACTTTAAAAAATGGAACTACAGTCAACTACTATCCTAAACGAAATTCCCAAAGAGATCTCCTGACCTGGTTCAGGTTTATATTACTTGCTTGAAACACTATGCACAAAACTGAAGCCCTGAGGTTTAGTTTTACATTGTCTGGCATCTCTTTGCTATTTTGCTTGTACTATAGAACTGACCATAGAAGGTTTGAGATTTTGCAATGTTTTCTCATTAAGATCTATGGTCCCATTTCTCCATGGATACATAATGATCAGTTTGTTGTGGTGACGTATGATGGCGAACATCATTAGTTGTCATAATGTTATTGTGTACTGCCTGCTGATAAATGGGAGGGATAGGTGCTCAGCCCTGCCTTTCGGCAGCAATATGATCATGGTCAACTCTCAATAACTGGGGTGTCACGCAAGAAGGACTTTGATTTGTTATCACAATATGCAACTCTTTTGATTTGTTAATAAAAATATCTATTCTATTTTATCACGCTCGTAATTACTCTTTTGGAGTTAATGGTGACTCCATCTTATCAGCTAAGCTGCACAGTTGTGAATCATTCACAGAATACATGCAATTAGATCACCATAAACTGACCAAGTCCATTCTTTCAACTGAAGAGCATTGTTGTATTTATGATGCCTGTACCCATCTTCTTTTGTGCTGGGAAATAAAAACATAAAAATGATTTCATTTATTTAAAAATAATAGATTGTTTTTGGAAATCCTCTGCACAATACCAAAAAGAAACTTGAATATGTTGGGCTCTCCTACAAAAATGCAGAGCCAATGCATGTCATGATCCTCCGTTTGAGAGGCAGCTTCCACCTTTTGGCAACCATCTTGATGGTGGCCGTCAGACCAGCCAGGAGGAGCAAGGGGTCTAATTTTTAAACATCCTTGGATGACTACAGTTATATGAATAAAAATGTAAACCTGTTTACTTCAAGATATACTCACGCACTTGTAGTAAACGTATTAAATTAATTAAGCCCTTTTGCATGGGCCTCAATGAATCACAAGGCACCGTGATTTTAAGCATATTGTGATATTCTGAATCGTTACACTCCTACAGAGGTATTTTGGCTCACTGGTTGCTGAAGAAGGAGATCTTGGTTTGACTAAGTTTGGGAACCCCTGACCTGGGGGAATGGGTACTCTGAGGGTCAACACGAGAAGGAGTCACTCTTGCATATGGGATAAGATGGGAGCAAGAAGCTCCCATCTTGGGTTGGATTGTGGATTTGTATTGCAGTTTTCGTCATGTTTGAATTACCTTTCATTTGGTATTCCCTATATGAATCCACGCACAAACAAAATTTTCCAGCTAAGGCTACCAACATCTAATCAACATTGAATCGCATTTGCATTCCAAACTAATTTTATACACACATTTTCAGTTATAATACAAACCCATAGTTCAACATAATTTAAGGGATCCTGGCTTGAAAAGTTGCAGAAACCCTGCTCCAGAATACATACTAATACATTGTCACAGGGGACACTTTTAAGATTTCAGTTGGTACTAAAAACCATCATGTTGTACGTATCTATGTATAATATTAATACAGAAAAGAGGGTGGATTTATGTTTTTTCTTTTTGAATGAACCAGTTGAATAACGCTGAGGATGCACACAATTATCGCAGACTTGGTGGATGTTGCAGTTCTTTGGAGATTCACACGTGTTTTTTTTCCTCCCTTGACCTGGATTGGATGAATGTCTGAGTCAGCACTTTGAACATTGTACCAGTAAGTGAGGATTGCCAGGGTGCAACAGACCCAGACAGTGGGTGCACACTCTGCTTGGAAACTTAGACCACCACATTATGTCATTTTGCATCGAAGAGAGAAATTCTTTGAAAAGCCTGGCCTTCGCATATCATCTCTCACCAGGGCTCTATCCTGGCGGCTACTTGAATCTGTCTTGATGATTGTTGAGCGGACAACCTTTGTAGGCCCCCTGCTTCATAAATATGAAGTTCTAAATTATCCTTCTATACAGTTTGTATACAGTGCATGTCATAAGAGGCATTGGGCCAAGAGATCAAATGCAACTTGACTTCATCACTCTTTTTAGTATTTAGCATTTGCACTGTACTTCCTTCACCTAAGGAATGCCATTTTTTTATCATCAGCTGTAAAATTTTCCCATGAATTATGTTTAGATCATTATTCCAGATGTGCTCATTACTCAAATAAAACCTTCTGTTAATATCGCCCAATACAGGTCATATTTAGAGGTGGACCAATATGGGTTTTCTGTGGCCAACAGACTGTTTTAAAGGCCCAAATTTAAAGGCTTTTATTTCTTCAATTTAATGTATTTGTTATAGTCTCAAATCACAACAGTAGAATTTCTTCTTTCTTTATAGGTGGATATGATTCTGAAAGAAGTCGGTCTTAATGTGCTGCTTATGAATTAGGACATCTTTGTAGGTCATTACATTATACCTGTCCTTAATGGATATTGGATCTGGAATTAAATAATGTGATTGATTTCCTGATAAGACTATCTTTGATATGAGGTATAACATGCCACAATCAAAAACTTCAATTATTGTTGTAATCGGCCAACAGAGATAAAAACACGCTACTGCATTCAACCTAGTCTCGTGGCATCAGACTCTTTACTTTTATCCCTTTCTTTTAATCAATCTATATATAGCTATCATGACTCATTTTTCCAGCTATTAATTTCTTTGGTGTTTATCACTAGTTATTGTAGTTTCATATCTGTCAAGTGACATTTAACTTGAGCGTTTATGCTTTTTAAAAACCATAGTTGCTATTCATTTGTATAGTAATTGCTGAATGTGTTAGATTTGGCCCCTTGTTTACTGTATAGTTTTGTTAATATATTCAAGGGATACTTCCTATGTCCAACCAGAAACATGGCAAAATTCATTTGTTACTTGGCTTACTTTTGTTATGGTGTGGAATTTTGATTATTTGTTCTTCAGTGTTGTCCGTGTGTCCCTGTGTGTATTTAAACCCTGTGCTCCTCTCCCCCTTGCTGTTGGTTGCTATTCTGTTTTTGGCCCTGTTTTGTCCTGGTTTGAGTTTTAAGTTCTGTATCCTGGATTTTGTTTTTGTTTATTCAATCTTATATTTTGGCAGTCCTGCATTTTGGGCACTTCCTCCTTTTCAGAACGTGACAACTTTAGCCTAATAATTCCATATTAGCTGCTGTTCTTGGTTAAAATACAAACCTGTTTATTTGTGCTCAGACTGCTGGTGTTGTCATGGTCACTGTAGTCCTTCAGGAACCCCCCCCGGGTCTGTGTGTGCGAGTCAGAATCTCTTTTGCAGTTCATAAGCAGTATGAGGGAAATTTTGAGATATTCTGTGTAGACTATATTTAATGTTGTTCTTAATTTAGCTAAGATCAGTGTTTTGGATCCTTTCTGCAACATTATACGTTAGAATTGATTCATTAAACGCTGCAATCGTCAAAACACTCAAAGGATCCAAATTTTTGATCTTTTCATTCAGCTACACTCTTCATTCCACACATAGCTCAAACTAGGGTTAAATATAGCATGGTAAATTTCTTTCTCTTTGGCAGAGGCGGTCTTTTTCTATTTTCGAGGAGGACTTTCTCATTGACTTATTTGTGTGGAAGAAGCTTATGTTGATGTTTTTGTTCTTTTTTTTTTTTTAAGGCACTGTCTTAAGTTTTCCCGGAGGCCAAGAATACATGCATGTGAAAAGTAATGAAATATAATGTTTATTTATATAGCACATTTTACAGACCAAGGTCACCCAAAGCACTTTACAATGTTCAGAGTTCAGATATTGTTCCAATCAACACACAGTGATGATGGAAGTGAGTCGCCGAACACATCGCATCAGCCCCCAATCAACACCATCCGTTCACTGTCTCATTTACATTCAAACCTATTGTGCATGTTTTTAGTGGTAGGGGAAACTGGAGCACTCGGAGGAAACCTTACGCTGACACGGGGAGAACATGCAAACTCCAATCAGAAAGGCCCTGTTCCGACCAGGATTCGAACACAAGACCTTCTTGCTGAGAGGCGAGAGTGCTATCCACTCAGCCACCATGCCGTGAAAACTAATGATAGGACCAGTGTTTTTACAATCAGGAACTAATTGGGTGGATGGTTATTGCATATGTCCATTTTTGTGCTTTGGAAGTTAGGTTCATTCCAAGTTGTTTCATTGGGGAATGACACTCCAGGTTGATATAGTTGTGTTTTTTCCCAATCCAATAATACTGTTACACTATAACTACAGTATGCTAACTGATTTTTAATGCTCATTTGTTACCCTGATGTGCGCTCTGTTAATTGTGTAGATCTATATCCAGCAGAATCCCGGCACATTGTGACCCTGAGCCACAGTAGCCAGACTGCACTGAGTCATTTCACATGATGAATGACCTCAGCACTCCTGGGGCACACTGCACTGAAACAAAAACAGACATGGAGTGGGAAGTCTAAGTCGGGATGAGGATAGCAGTGCAAGCATTGCTGCCAAAGCATTTGTAAATAATATAACACTTACTTCTGTTTCCAAAGTAAATATGATGATAAGTTTGCTCTGTGTGCTCAGCGCCATGATAACACTGGATTACTCTAGATTATTCTTTCAGCCACAAAAGGTGCCATTCTAGTCAGTTTCAATGTGCGATTCTCGATTTGTCTCATTGTGTTTTTACAATTAAATAACAAAACCATGTTCTGTTGCAGGGGAGTCGGGGCCACTACCGGTACCACTGGCAGAGCCACAATGTCAAACTCAGTGGAGTTGATGATATGGTTCTCCTCAGTAAAATCAATGAGGATGCTATTGTCGACAACCTGAAGAAAAGATACATGGACGACTACATTTTTGTATCCTCCAAACGTATGAGGTTTATGGTGATATTTCTGTTTGTGACAAAGAGCCATAAGAGCTTTTATTTCCTACAATTTGACGCCAATTAACCAATTGATATGTTTTTGTGACCACAAGTGATGCACCACTACATTACACACCGTCATGTATCGAGTTAAATTGCAGGTGCTTGAACTCATCAAAATGGTCACAATATAGGAGCCGCATTCAGTGGATGTTTATACAACATATAATGACGTTTATTTACATGATACAGTTATTATATGTGTGTATATTATCATGTTCGGTTCTGGCAAGTACTTGAAATGAAGTACTTATACTTGATTGCACACAAAATACTGGAATGTGATGGTAGGAAGATCCCATTAAAATGTATGTGCTCTGACTAGTGCACGTTCCTGTTACCTCTGTGTTACCTTGAAGTCTCTTAACAGACCATTCTCAGACATACATTGGTCCCGTCTTAATATCGGTAAACCCTTTTAAGCAGATGCCATATTTTGGTGAAAAGGAAGTGGAGATGTATCAAGGAGCAGTAAGTAGTGGCTACTCTTTTCTTAAAGCGGCTGCGTTATAAAATGACCTTTTAAAAAATGACCGTTTAAACTGTAATTGCAGTTCTGTGGTTTTTAAGCCAGTTTTCTCTCTGTTTCAGGCTCAGTATGAAAACCCACCTCACATCTATGCATTGGCCGATAATATGTACAGAAATATGATGATTGAACGAGAAAACCAGTGTGTCATTATTAGGTAAGACCTAAGTGTTATCATTAACTTCAGACCAGTCAGGGTTCTGTTTAAGATGAAGTAATGAGTATTGCACAGTATGACGAAGGTCAGCTACAGCTTGCACAGCAGAAAGTCAAATATGGAACACACGCCTACAGTGTTTTCATTCTCACAGTTTGTGTTCGAGGCCTCCATCCTGTTCAATACTTTATTAAGGTTGCATTCATGTGACGTCACAACATCCTAAAGAGCCTATAGTTTAAAACTGTGGTGGTGGGCACCTGAATAATCTTTCCTGGTAATAGTGGTACATTCTGCTTCCTCCAACCCCTTTTCAATCCCTGTACGTGTTTTTGCTTTTGTTTTGTTTTTTGTAAAATTATGTGTGCAGGTTTTGAAATAAATATGTCATTCATGTGAAACATCTAGTGTTAGTTTAAAGCTTAGTTCAAAAGGTTCTGCATCTTCTTTGTTGCTACTTATCAACTATGGTCTAATTATTATATATTAAACATGGTGATTATTTTTCCAAAAACATATGCATGATGTTTCCCTGTAGAAAGAACTCTCGGACAAAATAATACTATACTACTAAATAATCTGCAAAATATTTATAGTTTCTTTCAAAATGTTTGTTATATCTGTACTTACCCTTCAACTTAAATAGAATTCTACGACCTGAACACTACCTATTGTTAATAAGTAGCTTGTCGTGTTTGTAATGATGACTAACTTCCTGGTTCAGAGAAAAGCTGTAAAGGCACCTGTTTGATTCACTCAGAACATCTGTGTCTTGGTTAAGGTTGTCAGCGATGACATGTTCTTCATCTTTAAATGGTAAAAAAGTAAAAGTGCATAGTCATAGTTTGTGGAGCAGTGACCTGTGTCTTGTGGTTGTTTTAGCACTCGCATCATGATGAATCAACTCTGCAGTCTAGGAGGCGCTCAGGGGTTTGTTTAGCTGTACAAAGGTGCTGACTTGAATTGGTCGTCAGCTACATGGTTAAAGTGTGATGAGGGAAGTGGTTTACATGGTGGAACAGATCTTTAGACACTCAGGCGAATGTATGACGACATTCAGCACAATTTTCCAAAAAAAAGACCCCTTACCTAGCATAACACAGGAGTTTCCCAGCAAACCTCAGCAAAACTGATTTGTGGTCCAGGTGTTGAGCAGCTCTTTGATGCATTTGGCAAAGATTATGGTCATTTCCATTTAAATCTATTACAAGTCTATTTAATAGTTTTCGCCTTTCTATTCTTTGTTTTCATAATTTTATACTTCCCCCACTAAATGCATATCCTACTGTAGACTAATGGAAAAAAGTTGACTATCATATTTTTAGGGGAAAAAGTATTCAGTTCAAGTCATACAAAGCAAATGTTCACCGACAGTTATTGCCAAAAACAGTAAGTGTCTGCTTTGGTGTTCTCATAATCACTAGATTTCTCAAATAAAGATAAAGTTCCCAATTTTGGGAATTTTATGTCATTAGAAACATCTAGTTTTTTGTTAATTTTAGTCCTAACCTTTAGTCTGAGTTTTAGTGCACAATCACACTTGATCTGATTCACTTTAACTGGACCGATTCTGCCCTTGTTCACATGAGGCAAAAAGTCTTTGTCTGTGGATTCTAAAAAAAAACAAAAACTTATGAACATGTGTCCATTAGTCACTTTAGTCACTTTTGAAACACATCTGCCAAGCATATTCTTCCCCAGACTTGGTCCAGTTTAAGTAAACAGACCAGTCTGAAAAACGCCTCAGTCTTCCTCAATTATAAAGGAAAAATTTTTATTGATAAAATAATAATATAACTGATACAAAATGCACTTGCAGAGGATTGTGCAAAACACTATAAAACTATTTCTGGATAGATTGTACACAAATACAGAGCTATAGTCAAGCATACAGTCTGTTTAGTAAATATAGTACCATAATAGAATAGAACTAAAAGAGTTAGAGTTAAATGGTAAAGTGGAGTGTGTGTTTGAGCGGCTCCCATGACTGTGTTGGCAGCTGTAACAGTCTGCAGCTGTATTTCTCACAAAGGCATCACCAACCTGACTCTACTTCAAGAGGGGGGAAAAACAGCTTCATCCATTGCCAAACCACATGTGTCAAAAGTTGTACGGCTCTGGTAAAACGAAGCGCAGAGCAAAATAGAGGGGCGAAATAAAACTTATCTACCAAACTGGTGACAAATGCTACTGAAACTTATGTAGCACTTCTCATGATTAGAATGTATTTTGACGGTTTTACCTGTTATTAAAAAAAGATGCCCAGTCTTATTGCCCTTAGTTTTAAGTACAGTGGGATTTGAAGTGATACTTTGCTTGTCATTTAATTTCAGTTGTAGTAAAGATTGTCAAGAAATGGTGCTCGAGTAGAGTAGGTTGGAATATTGTGTGGAAGAGTGATCATTTTGTTGTTATTCCAGTGGGGAGAGTGGTGCTGGGAAGACAGTGGCAGCCAAGTATATCATGAGCTACATCTCCAGAGTCTCGGGAGGCGGAGGCAAAGTGCAGGTGAGCTCCTTCAACACTTAAAAGTTTCAAATGTCTGAGTTGATTGATTGTTTTGCTATTGCATAATGTTCTTGTGATGCCATGTGCTTGTTACAGAATGTATGGTATTTCAAATGCTTTGTACTTTTCTTCCATTTTCATGCTTTTAGAAAGTAAGTAAGTCATCTTTAATTATATAGCACCTTTCACAGACTGGAGTCACAAAGAGCTTTACAATTGTGGGCATTTGTCTCTCACTCCACAAAGAAATGGGAGCGGGGGGAAAGTGTATTAGTATTTTTGAGGCCATTTTACATTGTGGGACAAAGCTAGGGTTGTTTTTGAACCCAGATATCTTGTCTTTCTGCTACATATATTTCATAACTGGGTAAATTACTTTGTAGAGGATGACACCTCAAAGCTGCAGGAAAAAGTTTTTCTTGCAGGTGCAGTGAAGACAGGTTTAAAGCGGTTAACTGTGCTTCTTGTAGATTCATTATAAACCATTATTGAAGAGGTTAGCCTTGCTTTTTATTTCAGATAACGGATGCATTCTGCATCCGTTATCATCCGTTATCGTTAGGCGACAGTAGCTCAGTTGGTAGAGCATTGGCCTTTGGGCCTGAAGGTTGTGGGTTCGAGCCCACCATAAGACCTACTTCACGACTCCCACTGATGACTACTGTCGTTGTGTCCTTGGGCAAGACACTTAACCCCACTTTGCCTGAAGCCCCCACTGAAAGATCTCAGCTCCTGTGGACTCACCACCTGCAGGAGGATCAGTGAGGGGCTGGTGCTAAGTGTACTGGGTGCAGCTCTGACTGCCACCCCCCCAACCCAGAAATGGATTAAGGGGAAGAAAATGGATGGATGGATGGATGCATTCTGCTTCTACATGTTTTGATAATCGTCATATTCTTTCCCAATATGACTCTTTCGTACAGTGGTATAGAATGAAGCTATTTGACGATTATTTTACAAAGTGCAGTTTACTTTTTTACATCTAGGGAATGATTTTCAATTATTATGATGAACTTGTGGTGACAAGATTTTGAGTTATTTATCATAAGAGGGCGAAACGTGAATGTTATACCCCATTTATAAGCCTATTTTCAATGTATTTGACCACAATTAGTTACACCCCTGATCTAGTGGTAGTCTCTATAGTTAAGTATCTAAGATGAGTTCTTTTGCCACCTCTGCTGTGAGACAAATAAAGTTTCACTCATACTTGTTACACATTATTAAATATTGTTCGAGAAAATACAGTGGTAGACGTTGATATTGCGAAAGTCCCACAATACTTAAATACTAGTTTGTACAAAGAAAACACTTTTTGAAAATTATAAGTCATATATGTAATGTGAGGGTCCCAAATGCTTGACTGACGTTAAACTTGACTGACTCATTCACACCATTTATGCCTTTTTATTACCATTCCAATAATCGTGCCTAAGCCTCTAAACGCTGCCCAGCTTCCACAGATCCATCCACAGATTTTCTATTCATTTTGATCATCCCTGTTCTTTTCATTGCAGACCTGTATAAGCGCTCAAAAGTCATGATTCTTAAATGGAATGCAGTATGTTCCCAGTTTCCATGAATGGATTCTGTTTATAGTGGAAGGGGAAATATTTGAGAAATCATCTGTGTCTGAATTTCAGATGGCTTATAGGACAGATGATGTGCTCCAGACAGTATTTGTGTCTCGTGGAAAGTTCCAGAGACGCTGTAATCTGGCAGCGAAGACGAGAAGCTGCTGTTCATACGCTCCATGTCGCTAACAGCTCATTGTTCCTCTCTGCAGCACGTCAAAGAAATCATCCTGCAATCCAACCCACTGCTGGAAGCGTTTGGAAATGCCAAAACACTCCGAAACAACAACTCCAGCAGATTTGTAAGTATAGTGTCTTAATCTAAATATGGCACCACTTATAACTCAAAACAAAGCAACAAGGTTCTCAAATAATAGCCTTTGCTTATTTGCCGTTTAGAGCTGGAGTACCTAACTTTATCTATAATAAATTCTATGTAACTAGTTTCTCGCTCTCAAAACAGTTCCATCACTAGTTTTCACATGCATGTATTTTGTCACATCTTTTTATCAGCTATCAGTGAAAAAGAGTTCACCAGCCGTCACTCAGGCAAACACCTCTCGGTATATGAAAAGATAAAGACAGCATGTTGTGGCCTGATTGAGTCACAAAAACAAGACTTAACAAATTATATTTATGAAAACCAAAAAATAGTTTGGTACTCCAGCTTCCACAATTCTTATAATTATTTAAAAAAACCAATTACAACAGCTCCAACGCAGCTGCTTGAATAACACTACAATGCTTCTATTGTTTCACTATAACCCGATCCACAGTAAAAAGGAACAGGTGCCAGATTTCCCGGTGTATTCAGTTATATGGTATAAATCCATTCTTTGATCCTCCAGGGAAAGTACTTTGAGATCCAGTTTAGCTCCGGTGGTGAACCAGACGGAGGAAAAATCTCAAACTTCCTTTTGGAGAAGTCTCGCGTCGTGATGCGAAATCCTGGAGAGAGGAGTTTCCACATTTTCTACCAGGTGAGACTTTACTGTGGCTTTTGCTCCATAACTCAGGAGCAAATTTAGAAGCATGAACCACAAGGCCTATAACATCTGCTGTAAGCCTGTAGTCATAGTCTGTATACTAAGAACAACAATTTATCTGTTTTCCCCAGTTAATAGAAGGAGCCAGTGGCGAGCAGAAGAGCAGCTTAGGAATCACCAGCCTGGACTATTACACATACCTCAATCAGTCTGGTTCCTATAAAGTGGACGACATTGATGACAAAGCCGAATTTAAGGAGACAATGGTGAAAACCCCTTGAGTCTGTTTTGTCCTTGTTGATGTTGTGTCTATCTCATGCTCACACAAGCGCCCCTGTCTTCTTGTGTCATTCCTGTACCCTCAACCGTAGCCGCTTTTTTCTTTGTTTTCATTCTTCCCCTGTTTTTGTTTTCTCACCGAACCGCAGCAGGACTAATTAGAGCAACAACAACAAAAAAAGGTCGAATTTAACACAGTCTTTCTGCCTGGCTCTCCCCCAGCATGCCATGGATGTGATTGGCATAACTGCAGAAGACCGCTCCATGGTGCTTCAAATAGTGGCTGGCGTCCTGCACCTGGGAAACATCAGCTTCAGGGAGTCTGGGAACTACGCCGCAGTGGAGAGTGAGGAGTGTAAGTGCTTTTATTAAGTACGGCTTAATGAGGGGACCTGCACTGGCCTAGAATACTTACCTTGGTACTTTTAAAATGGAATAAAACTCAAAATAAACTTGCTGTGGTTGTAAAATACATGTGGGTTACGTAGTGAAAAAAAAGCGGCTTGTGGTTCATTATAATGATGTATAATGCAACAGTTGAACCTCAAGACACAGTTTATTACATTTCTGTTACAAATGTACATTGGTACATTGTGAAAACCTTAGTATTGTTCAAAGTAGACAATTTTCACTGGCAAGGCAAGTTTTTGTTCTAGCACAATTCATACACAAGGGAACTCAAATTGTGAAACAAAGCAAGATAGATAATCACAGTGAAGATTAAATATCTTTTTGATGTAAGTAATGCCGCATTATCACCTGGTTATTAGATTAGATGATTCCAAAGGCAATTCCTGTGCCAGAGAGAGCCATAATGTGTGATTGGCTAGATGTACTATATGTAGGCAAAAGCTCAACCAGGGACAGGAGTTGAGAATTATCATTTGCTATAATTCTGTGTTGCATCTTTGTATGACTGTATTGATCAGAATATGGATATATGAATAGATAAAGAAAGAATAAAACAACTACAACTCAATACATAACTCCTTTTGACAATATAAAATAAATACAGTGTTTCTCAAATTGTATCAAGGATTTGAATTCATAGACATCAATGAGGAAAGGTATCACACGTTTAGTTTTCTAAATATCCAGCAACCTTGAACAAAAGCTATAATCACATAGCCAGGTATTTTGTACACGGGAATCAGTTCTCATGAATCTTTTTTTTAAATAGCCACAGTCAGAATCAAATACTGCTTTGGTCTTCTATTTCTTTTTGTTCTCATCCTTTTATGTAGAGTCCCAAAATAATGTGGTCCATATGAATGAGATGAGAGGCCTGTGAACAAAGCCCTAGTCTTTTCTGAGAGAAGGCAATAGCAGGTCACCGTAGCCTCTGCCTTTCCTGTCCCCTTTCCAGACCCACTTCCTGTGTGATCCAACGCCTTGCCATAACTCCGCCATTAGCCTTTGCCAATTTCAGCCTCATTTTTCACACAATTGCATATTAGTTGTTATTACTTATTTATCTAGACTTTTTTTGCTAGATGGTCTATTGGAACAAAAATATTCTGCATCTGCATACTGTCCTGTAATTGGCTGGATGCACACAGCCCCCTGCTCTGTCACTACTTCCTTCTCTGCGTGTTTGACTAACAAATGTTGTGAACTCGTTGTGACACAGAATTGCCCTCTGCTTCAGTTGTATTATGAAAAGTGTGTCTTATGTAAAATATGAGTCATGAGCTAAACAGGGTCATGGCTGGTCACACCCTCGCAACCCAGATGAGGGCTACTGCAGTTTTCGGAGGCACTTCCAGACATAGCAGGTCGGCAGTGCCCCGAGAAACATTTCCTTTTAGGGGAAGTGACTCAGTGTAATAAGGCAGGGAGGGACTCTCGGGGGATAATATCAACTCCAGGCCCATGCCTTCCATTCAAACCCAATCCATTTCTTTTTCTTTGTAGCGTAAAAACATTATTGTTCACCTAATCTGCCTGAATTGTGAAGAGAATTTCACAGAATGTTATCGACTAGCCGATTGGAATTATCTCCTGGAAAATACAAATATGAGTTGGATATTTGTTGAACTGAGTATCCATCTTGATTTTCAGTATGTTTTGACGGTCTAAGTGAGATGGCACATGCATGTTTTGTCTTCATTTCAAGAGCAGTGGTATTTTTGTTCTAATTTCAATTGAGAAAGAGCTGGTTGTTATCTTATTTTAAGTACATGTTTTAATGGCATTTCTTATATTGAATAAATTGTTTTGGCTTTGAGGTTAAGAGCTCAGTAGTCTATATGGCAAGGCAAGTTTATTAGTATAGCACACTTCATACACTTCAACTCAAAGGAAACATAATAATCAAACAAGTTTGTGTAATAATAATAATCAAACACTCAATCACAGCAGATATAATCACAGTTTATTGAAATGAGTGAAGATGCAATCCTTCAGTTGCATCGCTAAACAAAACTGTTCCAGATTTTAGTGGCATGAACCTAAGTAAGTAAGTAAGTAAGTAAGTAAGTAAGTAATCTTTTTTTGTATAGAGACTTTCAGAGACCAGAGTCACAAAGCGCTTTACAATTGTTATGGGCATTTGTCTCTCACGCCACACAGAGATGGGAGTAATGGCAGACGCATGGTTAACTCCACTTTAATAATTGTCCACTATTTGTCTTGTAGTCTTGGCATTCCCGGCGTTTCTTATCGGAATCGACCAGAATCGTCTCAAGGAGAAACTCACCAGCAGGAAAATGGACAGCAAGTGGGGAAACACTGTGGAGACGATCGACGTGACGCTGAACGTGGAGCAGGCGTGCCACACTCGAGACGCCCTGACCAAAGCCCTACATTCACGAGTGTTTGATTTCTTGGTTGAGGTGATTGCTTATTTTTTTTACACAGTACTGTAGTTTGGAATTGTTATCAAAGTAATTAACACATTTCTGTTCACTGTTGTTAATACAGTCGATTAACAAAGCCATGGTCAAAGATCACCAGGAGATCAATATTGGCGTATTGGACATTTATGGATTTGAAATATTCCCGGTAAGCCCATTTTATAGTGAGACATATGGCTTGCAGAGAAGTACATAGATTTACCAAATAAATTGGATTGGGGGATAAACGGTGAGCATTTAAACAGATTACTGTCCAAGATCAGACTGATTTGGAGCCAACCACTTTTTGAGGCACTACCCAAGTCTTTTGTAATTAGATTATATATTGCCAAAACTGGAATTCACTAAATTGAACAAACCATAATGGCAATATAAACTAAACTCAATCTAATGAGCTTTTACCCTTTTGAAAAGCGTGTGCAACATGTTAAATGTTAGGTATATCCTTGTGTTTAATAGAGTTCACTCAGCAGGAAGTAGCAGACCACCCCTGCACAAGTTCAGGCCAAAGGTTCATTGTATGGGAGGCACATTGCAGCGTTGATTTTCCTTCGAGATACTAGAGAGGACCATTGTTGAGCAACACTTTAAAGAACATTTAAAGAATGAATAGCTTGTTGTTTAAATACATTCTGTTTGTTCCAGAAAAAAATGTGAACAAATCAAGCTACATGCCTCTTTATCTATTGAGAAAGCATGTTATCCTTTACATTCTGGGAGCTGATTGGCGAGGGCTGGTCAATCAAACCAAAGATGTGACAGTCCAAAATAGATACATGCATGGAAAAGCTAGAGATTTGACCAAGCCATTTTTTTGTGTGCTTTCATAGTTGGTTATTCTTTCTATTCCACACGTCTCCTTTAAATTTTTTTTTTTTTTTCACCAGAAAAATGGATTTGAACAGTTTTGTATCAACTTTGTGAATGAGAAGCTGCAGCAGATTTTCATTGAGTTAACACTGAAGGCTGAACAGGTAATAAACTACTGCCACTGTTTGTTTTACTGAACTTGACTGAGTTTTATTTATCTGTTCCCCTTTTTGTAGGAGGAGTACGTGCAAGAGGGCATTAAGTGGACACCGATTGAGTACTTCAATAACAAAATAGTCTGTGACCTCATTGAGAGCAAGGTAAATGCATGTGCTCACACTCAGACCAATAAAGTGTTTGAGTAATTAATGTTCAAAGGGACCCAGCATGCTTCTTAATCTGATTCCTGTGCCCCACTGAGACGGCTAATCCATAACCGCCTCAACAAATGTTTTGTCCCAGGACCAGGGTCTCTGTACCAGGCCCAAGCCGTCCCTTTGCTCCAGATTTGGTTTAGTTACACAAACAAGTGATATGTGTGCCCTTTACAAGAGGCGTGTTGTTTCCACTGTGCTCCAGTTTTCAGCTGTGGACAAAACACAAGAAAGTCTTCAGCACTTTTCACACTCATTATAATTCTCAGTTGTAGAATCCATAAAGTGTAAAACTGATTATTTTTTCAGGAATTTGACAAAAAGTGAGGCCAAATACTTTATTAGTGATAGAATAGAAGACGACTAAAAACAATAACAGAAAGAAATGAAAGAAAAAAACAATGTAGTGAAGCATTCGTGGGAAGCCAGGTCTCTGTATAGAAAGTGTCATGAAGTGGCAATGCAAGTTTGTATCAGGGACGTGCGGTGAGGTTTGTGATTGGGGAGGCACTGACTTTAAAAGTCAGATTTACAATCATTATTCAAATAAAATAGCATTTAATCACCAATGCAATGACATCCACAAACTTTATATACTGTAAAGATAAGAGAACCAGCTTCTTTTAATAATCTCACAACAAATCTAGCTGCTGACTCTGCTCCGCATCAAACAACATCTTTAAGAAGCGCAGGTGCGAGAGACGCGAGGAGAGAGAGACGCGAGGAGAGAGAGACGCGAGGAGAGAGGAGCAGAGAGAGACAGAGAGGAGCAGAGAGACGGAGACGCGAGGAGCAGAGAGAGACGCGAGGAGAGAGAGACGCGAGGAGAGAGGAGCAGAGAGAGACAGAGAGGAGCAGAGAGAGACAGAGAGGAGCAGAGAGAGACGGAGACGCGAGGAGCAGAGAGACGCGAGGAGAGAGGAGCAGAGAGAGACAGAGAGAGACAGAGAGGAGCAGAGAGACGGAGACGCGAGGAGCAGAGAGAGACGGAGACGCGAGGAGAGAGAGACGCGAGGAGAGAGGAGCAGAGAGAGACAGAGAGGAGGAGCAGAGAGACAGAGACAGAGAGGAGCAGAGAGACGGAGACGCGAGGAGAGAGAGACGCGAGGAGAGAGAGACGCGAGGAACATAAACAATAATTTAAACAAGTTGCAGAACTCTTGAGCAGTGTTTGAATCAGTGTTTTTCGGAAAAGCACTACTTTGCCGGTATCTGTCAATGTTCAACATAAAACACGGATTAACAAACTCCTCCCCCGCAGCCGGACTAACCTCGTAAGTCCAGTGGTGGTCTCCCAGTCTATATTAATTCTTTCTTTGTTTGAAAGTCCAATTGAGAAACAAAATCTTCATTCAAATCATCCATTTTCCAGCAAAAGAAATAGCATTTTGGGCTGATTGTTTGTTAGCAACTCTGGTATGAACTTTATGCTCACTATCACCCCTAGCGGTGAGGCACAGATACCGCCTGCCTCACGCCAAGCTTTTTCCTTGTGTGTTCATCTACGATCAAAAGACTTAAACTAAATATAAATTGTACACACATACGTGCAATACACTACTAAACACTAAGAGGAGTTTAAAAAATGTTTTTAAAGCAGGATATTTGAAACAAACGGTGATATATCAACTGCACGAGCTGAGTGCACTCAGACACACACACACACACTGTGAGGGAGCGGTCTGGGGTGAGGCACGCAGGAGCGCTGCCTCACCTCGTCTCTTTGAATAGGAATAACGGGATTTCGGCGATTTTGACTTCAGAAATGATCAAAACTGATGGGAACCGTGCCGAATATACATTAAAAGCATAGGACAGTGGATATAAATTATATATTTAAACTAAAATAATTATTAGTTTCCAATAATGGCAGGTGAGGCTCTGCCTCCCCTGCCTCCCCTGACTGCACGTCCCTGGTTTGTATGTATTGCACAGTTCATAGAAAGGGCACCTCAAAGTGCTTAAAAAAATGATGCAATTCTGCTACTTTTGCGTCCTAAAGCTGGAGTACCTGAATCGAAAAATAGCTTAATTTTATATTAATTAATATTGAACTTATGATTTCTGCATGATTGTTTGGACAACTAGACCAGAATTAAATTATTTTCAGCCTATAATTTTTTTTACTGAGCTTGTGGCATCGCAGAGGTTCAGCTCTGTACTGTACACAATAATATAAGAAGCATTTTATTTTAACACATGAGGGACAAGATGACAAAAAACACAAATGTTTAAAAGCAAAAGAAGAGCCTACCCCTTTCATTTCAATTCAGTTTATTTTTGTATAGCCTAATTTAGTCGTCTCGAGGACTTTACAAATTTGTATTTTCACCCACAACATATGAGAAAATCAAACTATTAGAACAAAGGACATGCAATATCAAAACAAACCATCAGTTCACATGAATTGGTGAAAACACGACAGATGTTTTTTACTGTATGGTTTCCAACACATAATATGCAGTAACAACCTGATGTTTCCCAGAATCCTCCTGGCATCATGAGTATCCTGGACGACGTGTGCGCCACGATGCACGCCGTGGGGGAAGGCGCCGACCAGACGATGCTACAGAAGCTCCGGATGCAGATCAACACCCACGAACACTTCAACAGCTGGAACCAGGGCTTCATCATCCATCACTACGCTGGCAAGGTGACCCCAAGACACACAATACTAATGCTGTCTTATGTATGGGGCCTTTTTCTCGGGCTGCAGGGCTTTGGCAAAATATCTCTGCTTTTTTAGATTAAAATGTAATGCGATTTACAATATTGGTTTTAAAAGTAAGTGCGCAGAAAGGTGTTTATTTCTTTGCATCTGAAAAAAACGCATGAGGAAGTTAAGCAACAAGATTATTTTGTGTAATTGAATGTATCGCAAAACATTATAAAACGATTGAAATGGTTTAATCCATGTTTTGTCTTTAAAATATTATTACCTTGTTGTAAGCGAGATTTTCCAATGGAAGTTGGAACAAGCAAAATAATAAATTCCCCACTGAGGAAACAAAGTAACTGTGTCTGAAATAAGGCTACTTGATAAGATATAGTAGCAAATATTAATTTCAGTCGAATTATCTAAAAATCAAGCTACTGTATACAAAGGACTTGAATATTTGCAGTCTTTACCAGAGGCTCTGGCAGGGTTTTCTAACAGTAACTATTCATGTTTTTATTTTAGCTGTGTATTTTAAACCAGTGTGTTGTCCTTCTCACACAGGTGTCCTATGATGCTGCAGGATTTTGCGAGAGAAACAGAGATGTACTTTTCACTGACCTCATTGAGCTGATGCAAAGCAGTGAAATGTGAGTCCCCACTTGTAAATACCTCTGTAGAATAGCGCTCACCTGAATCCTGCACAATTGTCCTGCACATGGTTTTAATTGACCATAATTCATTTGACCTGTGCATCTGGAATCGGGTGCGTTGTAGAAAACGTGTGGAGCTGGGGCCTCATTCTGGCCTTTGCCCTTGAAGTGCTGGTTGATTTCCAAATGTGTCTGTGGTGGTTCCTCCAGTCAGACAAGTGCATTTCCCCCATAGTATGTCTGCACAAAAGGGTGTTCAGTTCTCCTTCATGGAATTCTATGCTAGAATGACAATTTGTCCAAAGATTTCATTGTCTGTGGACTTGACTGCTCATTTGTGTCCATATGTTGTTCATATGTTGAGAAACTGCCCTTAATGTTGTTAATATTAATAAATTCAAACATGCTACATAAGCATTCAAGAGGTTTGGCACAAGAACTGTTAAAGGAAATGCGAAAGGAAGGAAGAGCCTCATTCCTCTGAGCTGCAGATTTTAGCACAGAAGAAAAAAATCACAGCATTATAAGCCGAGAAGTATGAGCAGAATTTTCACATGCATCTGCTGATCCCTCTTTGTTCTCCGGGCCATAGTCTACAGTAAACATATCAAACAAAAACAAAAGTGGGAGAAAGGGAAGTCTCCCACTTGGACAAACGATTGAAAAAGCTTTGTTCTGGTTTCGTACAAATTTTACTTTGTTTGTGCTATGCAGAGACTGTTTGATTAATGTTTTACACCAGTAAGAGAATCAGGCCTGAATATTTTCACTGTCCATTGCTTTGATTATTTTTTTTAACCAACAATGAAAACATATAATTTAATACAGTTGTATTCGTTCAACAGTGGGTTCATCAGAAAACTGTTTCCAGAAAACCTTAATGCCGATAAAAAGGGTCGTCCATCTACAGCAGGGAGCAAAATTAAGGTATTTTAGATAGAATATTAAATAGAATATTTAGGAAACCAGAGGATGTTTCTCATGTGTGATTCTTGTTGTTATAGAAACAAGCCAATGATTTGGTGAGCACTTTGATGAAGTGCACTCCACACTACATCCGCTGCATCAAACCAAATGAAACAAAGAAGCCGCGAGACTGGGAGGAGAGCCGGTGAGCTGAACACAAGATTTTAGTATTTCAGATAGAAAGTATTGTTCAGTGCTGACCACCATCCTGTTGTGAGCTGGCACAAGCGGTGTCATTAATGGGCCCCGGAATAACTGTTCACATGGGAAGTTTGTGTCCGCTTACTGCCCCATTAGGCCTTTGTTTAAAAGAATGTCAACAAAGTATCATTCATTTACATACAATGACCTCAAATTATGACTTCCCCTCATGGAGGCAGATGTTTAATCACAATCCACATACTGACAGGTAGCTGTGGATTACACAATGATTCAAATACAGGATCTTACAGGAGAACATTGCTCTTTGTCAGGTTATACAACATTGTCTAGAATTATTAACAGATTTGTCCATATTTTAGGGTGAAACATCAAGTTGAGTATCTCGGTCTCAAAGAAAACATCAGAGTTAGGCGTGCTGGTTATGCCTATCGGAGAATCTTCCGAAAATTCCTCAACAGGTAACAGCCTAACTCTTTTATGTATATGTAATGCATATTTTATTTTTAAGATATAAGATAAGATAAGCAATCCTTTATTCGTTCCACAGTGGGTACATTTCAATGTTGCAGCACACATACAGGACAGTAGTAAGAGCACACAGGGAGCACACGAAATATACAATATAAGTAGCTGCTATGTTTCTTAGCTGTAAATGCTTCAATATCAATCTTTCAAAATATCTCTCTATATATACATACAGTATATAGTGCAAAGTTATACACATATAAGGCAGGACATTCTGAAGTCATTACAGTATTTACTTATTTACAGATGGATGACATGTACAGGCTCAGCAGTTGTCATTGTACAGTCCGATAGCAGCAGATATGTCATTTTCAACAACTTTTCCATTGTTTTCCTTTTTGAATTTTAGATATGCTATCCTGACCAAAGAGTCATGGCCAACATGGCAAGGGGATGAGAAGCAGGGTGTCCTCCACCTTCTGCGTGCTGTCAACATGGACCAGGATCAGTTTCAACTCGGTCGCTCAAAGATCTTCATCAAAGCCCCTGAATCGGTATGTCTGCTCCAGCTCGCTCAAAAGTCCTATTTTTATGTTTAAACTGCAACATTCACATGAAGCTCCATATAAGGACATCAGTGCCCTAAATTATGCTTGAGGCCGTGTTACGTGGGCGGAGACTTAACTTGAGCCATGCACAACGTCAGCACTGAGTCAACATTACGCTCACACTAACACCCAGGCTGTGGATGCAGAGTCTGGGGACATTAGAAAGGGTTGTCTTTTTCCACTTTAACATTTTTTTTCTCCTTCATTTTTTTCAAATAAAAGGAGTGTTTGTGTGAGTAGACTCCCCCTCACATTTTGTACACAAGAGTTGCAGTACTTACACACGTGTGCGTTGTAGAACAGGCAGCTCATTCTAAAAGCAGTCTGACCCTGAAAGACTTTCCTTATTCACCAAACTGAATATGTGCCAAGTCTCCATCTTCCACAATAAATGTTTGTGGGACTGAGACGCACATATCGCACAAGCCGCTGCACTGAAATGAACTTCCAGCCCTCTTAACTGACAAGAGTTAATTAGTTTTATGAAGGCGTTGAAGAAAGTTGTTCAGACTCCACCAGATGTTTCTCGACATAAAAGCGGTGAAAGATGAGCTGCTGACGTCCTGTAAAAGAGGAGCTTTATTCATGCTTTCTCTGTCTCTGTCGACATGAACAAATCTGTTAAAACTGTGGTTAAGTTGTGAACTTCAGAGCCGATAAGGATTAATGACACCAGGAAAACACCAGCTGCTGTGCATGTGTTGTGTCCTTCACCTGGGACAATTAATGAGTAAACCAGTGAGAACAGACCTTCCACTTGGTTAATTGATGACTTATTTGAATCCCTGGTGATGGTAGATAAATATGTTGTGAGTTTTCCATTGAAGTTAATTTATATCAAGCAAGAGAACGTAGCAAGAGGCGACAGTAGCTCAGTTGGTAGAGCATTGGCCTTTGAGCCAGAGGGTCGTGGGTTCGGGCCCGACTTTCACCATCAACTCCCACTGTCTGCTGTCGTTGTGTCCTTGGCAAGACACTTAACCTCTGGGAACAGCAGCCACAGTGGGGCGGCTGTAAAGTGCCAAACTGCCGTTGTGTCCTTAGGTAAGGCACTTCACCCCATTGCCTAGGATGAGTCTGGTGTGTGAGTGAATGGTTGGTGGTGGTTGGAGGTGCCGATGGTGCATACTGGTTGCCTCGCTTCTGTCAGTGTGCCCCAGGGCAGCTGTGGCTACAGTAGTAGTTTATCACCACCATGTATGGAGTGAATCAATAATGACATGTAAAGCGTCTTTGAGTGTCCAAAAAAGCGCTATATAAAACCGATTTTTTATTATTATTATTATTATTATTATTAGAAAGTGGTGTGCTGTCAAAGAGAGTACATGATTGTCTTTGTAGATACTACATAATTTGTTCCCAAGAGACTTGGAAAAGTAAAATCATCATATTAGAAAACATGCTTGGTTCTATCATCCGTAGATTTTATTGAGCTTTTTTTTTTGCTTTGAAAAAAAGCTTGGGTACCTAAGTTTCAAAGTTAACAGGGTTGACTGATTCTAAGATTTGTATTCCTGGGTTTTATGGTACCAATTGACGATATACGCCACATCAACTTGATGCCATCACTTTGATCATCGGCGCCAGTGGAGATCGAGGCTCCTCTTTGGCGTTGCTCTTCCACATGTGTGTCTGAAGTACAGAGTATTATGGCAGTGTGAGGAGTTCAAAGTTAGACAGTGGTACTTCATGGCTTGAATGCTTTTGGCTTGAATCAATCCAAAGAACATTTGTAAAAAAACATTTACAGTTCAATATTTCAAACAAGCTACACACCATTCCTTTCATTTGTTGAATTTAGGTGTGTCTATGTTTAAGGTTGTGCTCTGCTGAGGTATGCTTATGCCTTTGTTTGTGTGCACAGCTCTTTCTACTGGAGGAGACAAGGGAACGAAAGTTTGATGGCTATGCTAGAACTATTCAAAAAGCCTGGAGGAAGTATGTGGCCCGTAAGAAGTATGTTCAGATGAGGGAGGAAGGTGAGTTGAGCAAAGTGCATCTTTTGTGTTCGTTTATTTCCTGCAGCTTAAGATGTTGTTTTTTCTTTAGCTTCGGATCTGTTGTTGAATCGAAAAGAGAGACGCCGTCACAGCCTTAATAGAAACTTCATCGGTGACTACCTGGGTATGGACGACCGGCCAGAGCTACGGCAATTTCTCGGCAAGAGAGAGAAGATCGACTTTGCGGACAAAGTGACTAAATATGATCGTCGTTTCAAAGTGAGCCATAATTTCTGTTGCATCCCCTGCAATCAAACTCATGACATATTAACAACATTTTTGTGATTTCCGAAGGGCATAAAGAGAGATTTGATTCTAACCCCCAAATCTGTGTACCTGATTGGGAGAGAAAAAGTTAAACAGGGTCCAGAAAAGGGACAAGTGACAGAAGTACTCAAGAGGAGGATCGATGTTGAAAAAATATTGACAGTCTCTCTAAGGTAGAGTATTTGATTTCTAAAACCACATTTAACTGCAAAGTACATTTCAATGAACACTTCCTCCATGGTACATGGGCACCATTATTCTGCTGTTGTCATAAAGGTCCATGTATTTGTCCTAAAAATGCACTGGAAATAGCATGTTTACTACAGCAAGAAATGATCGGCTCAGATACTTTCTGTATTATGACACACTTGATAATGTAAGGGCCACTTAAATATCCAGTACTTCTCTTACATGCAAATGTGACAAGGATACAAACACTGTGGGGTCTTTAGGACCGGCTTGATCATAGCAATCTCATGTGAGAAAAAAACCTGCATTTTTGTAAATGTCACAGGCATGTAATACTAATATTATTATATGAGCTGCTAAATTTGGCTCTTTGATTCCTGTGCTTCATCATTTTTTTGAAATGAGACTTTATGTCACTGTTTTTCAGTACTCTACAGGATGATTTCATTATTCTACACGAGCAAGAGTACGACAGTCTGCTAGAGTGTGTGTTTAAGACCGAGTTTATTAGCTTACTGGCAAAACGGTTTGAAGAAAAGACCCAACGCAAGCTTCCACTGAAGTTTAGCAACACGTGAGTGTGCCTTAATCATAAATATTGTATCTATTATGTATTTTCTAACGTTAATCAAATGGGTATATTCTACTCAGATTGGAGATGAAGTTAAAGAAGGAACACTGGGGCTTTCTGAGCGGAGGAGGCACCAGACAGGTCCTTTTTGTTCAGGGTCAAGGGGATCTGCTCATTTTAAAACCCTCAAATAAATCTCTCCAGGTCAGCATAGGACCCGGACTTCCCAAAAACACTCGTAAGTTTTCAACACAAACTACGTTCAATATTCAATTCAATATGCAAAAGTCACTTACTATTATGTCTTTTTGATGCTATTTCTTGTGGTTTAAATCTTAGGTCCTTCCCGTAAAACGTCTTCACATGGCCATACCAATTCCAGCCGAAGACAGCCCTCAAGAGTTGCACCTGGGCCTCCAGGTAAATAACATCATTATTCAATCGCTTTTCATTCCTTGGATAAACTTTATTATATGTCTGTGTGAATGTGTGTTGTTGTAGCGGGTCACCAGAATGGAAGAGTAAAAAATACAAACCATGAAGCAAATCAGTGGAACGGAGACCACAATAGTAACCGACAAAGACGAACTTCGAGCAGCGCAGCACGACCACATCTACCAACCAATCACACGCCCCGCAAGGAACCCAGCTCCCCCAGCCAAACACCAGACCCACGCTTTCTCGCAGTGCCTGAAAGAGGAGCTGCTGGGTAAGGGCTATCCCAGAACATGTAATCTAAACTAACTTACAATACTCAATACAATGCACTTATGCTTAGCGGCTATTAAGCTAATTTTATGTTTTGCCTTTTTAAATTATCCTTATTTGCTTTACATGGATATTCACATACATTACAGTTCAGCACTATTCAGGCAAAACAACTTCCAGCCTTTTGTTACAGTGCCATCTTGTGGTGTGCCTTTGAGCTGCAATACAAAGACTATTGGAATGATTTACTTTGTGTCTTCAGAGCGCACAGACCGTCAGCCAACAGACCCCCACCAGGAGCAGGACGGCCCAAACCAGCACCCAAACCTAAACCTCAAGTTCCCCAGTGCAAAGCCCTTTATGCATATGACGCTCAGGACACAGACGAGCTCAGCTTTAATGCTAACGACATTATTGAAATTGTTAAAGAAGGTGAGCTGCCTCTTCTGTCTGCTCTGCATCATTCTGCGTCACGTTTGATTACTATTCTGTGTTTCCATGATTTGCAGATGCCTCTGGATGGTGGATGGGTCGACTTCGTGGGAAGCAAGGACTTTTTCCTAATAACTACGTGACAAAGATCTAGACGCTGCTGAGTTTAAAATCAGGGTTTTATTACGTCCCCTTGAGGTTTAGGGGAAACACACAACAGTCTGTAAAATGAATGTTACAACCAAAGACCAGCAGACTTGAATCCGCTCGTGCAGACTGACTCCTGGAGATCCCATGGAGTTTTGAACAATCCTTGTATTAATTTATTATATTTATAGCTTTTTGTGTTTTCTTACTGCTATTTTCTTTTTGCTGACATTTTGAGCTAAAACAAAGGTGTAATGAAGCACTCTTATTAAAGATCATATCAGTACTTCAGCAGTCATACATTCAGCTGCTGCTGTACTTTTTTTATTCGTACTGTACAAGTAAATAGTTAACAGTTGAGTTATGTAATTGTCTATTTTTCTTAAGAGATTCTAAACTGACAAGAACAAAGACTTTTTTTCTTTTTAATAAACTGTAAAGGCCATTATACGTCTCCTACATAAACTGGACATCCTTTCTGTAGCATCAAAGCACTTTACTAGTACAGCTCCATGTTTTATACAGTCACTTTCAATGAGGAATGCGATGGGAAGATTGGACTCTAGGCATCGATTCGACATTTTTTGTATATGTGGTAGTACAAGTCGACATGTTCTGTTGTCTGTTCTCAGAAGTCTATTTTTGTACCTCATCTGAAGTTGCCTTTCTATATGGCTCACACAAATGTTTAAACAAGCTTGGTTTAACAAACTCTTGTTTTTAATTATTTTTAAGTAAACATTAGATGCTTACAGCACTGTTTCCTTTCTTTTCTTGAATTGTTCATTTTTAATATATTGTAAAAGGGCCCCTTGGGGATTATTGAAATTATTTCACACAAATGATAAAATATTAAATGATCAGCATTGCTGAAGTTACATGTTCTTTTCTCGTGCTGACAACAGACGGAGTGGCGGACCTTGATCTATAATTCTCCCAACAATCTCACGCTAAACTGCATCTCCCCCATGAGAAATCTATTACAAAGGCAATAATTCTACAACCTAAGAAATAGAGGAATAAAATTGTGCATAAATAATGTATTTAACGGTTTATTCTAACGGTTACATTTTTGGTTTCATTATAGAATTGGTGTCAGACTGTTTTCAGATTGTTTTCTTCCATAAAATGTTGAAGCAGTTCTACAAATGTTTGGCACAAACAACAATGACAATGAAGAGTTAGCCAACTTTATTATCATAATTTTAAAACTAATATAAATCCCACATAATATGTTCCTGGTTCTTTTAAGTCTATGAATGCATGGATACCTGCTTAAAGTAATGCATTTCAACACTCACTCATAACATTAGTTTTTTTTTTTTTCTTCAATATTTATCTGAGCGGAAATACCATGTCTCAGCACACTGTTAAATGATCACTACTTTCAACCGCTTTCTCTCTTGTGCAAGTATATGCAAATGGATTAGTCCAACAGTTAGTGTTTTCAGTTTTGGCAGCGTCAACAAAGGCTGCGGTTAACTACAGAGAAAAAAGGCAGGGTGAAATTTCAACACAACTGGAATTGAAGCCGCTGCCAGCATCAGAACAAATGTCCAGGTTTTTGCAGACTCATGAGACACCTCTGAATGAACGTGGGCCTGAGATCTCGGCACTAAACCATCTTTAAAAGCCCTGTCTACAGGAACTAAACCCTGACAAGTAAAAAAAAAAAAAAAAAAATGTTCACAGCAGTCGCTAATTTCATAAAGAACAGTCAAGAGAGGATGCAACATTCCTTTTCTTTTTTGCCAAATAAAAAGACATGAGATGGTGAGATGGGGGAAGGCGTGAGTGTAGCGAAGGCGAGCTATAGTAAGAGGGCTAGTTTTGGAGTCACACTTGAAATACTGGATGCATGTGCACTAATACAGTGGCTGTTTGACGTATTTCCCTTGAAAGGAATGTCTTGATTTTATTAAAATAGCGTCTTCACTAGCAATCCACATCTTCTAAACGTGAACTAATCGATACAATTGGTTTTAAAAAAATTAAATAATAATCCTACAGGTATTATTGTAGACTGGAGGTTGACATTCTATTCTAGTAAAGAAAGGCATTAGTGGAACACAAATGCATGTTTACTAGAACAGTTAACCTCACCTGTAAATGGTTAGGCCATGGTAAGCCTATGTTAATTGTGCAAAGAAATGCATTGCAAGGAGACATGCAGAACAAAAAAATGACACTTGGGGAAACAATCAAAGCTACATAAAAGCTTTATAAATACAATAAAAATCTTAACCCTTATGCAAAGGTCTAGCCGTAATATGTTATAGCTGGCACTCTAGGCTCAATGTTTTTAACTGATGCTATTATTTGCTCAGAGCTGCACAGGTAACTCATGCCATCTTTGGTTGACTGCAGTACTGAGTAGAGAATTGAAGATGTCAAAATAAAATTAAGCAAAAGATGGTGGTAGGAAAACATCAACTTTCAGCAGACAACTGTGCCTCAATGTCCACTCTGCAGATTGGGCACTTCTTATTGGTGAGGAGCCACTGGTCCACACACAGCTGATGGAAGAGGTGCATACAGGGCAGCCGCCTGCAGAAGACAAACATTACATATGAGTACAAAATATGCAGCCTTACGAAGCCATTTTGGTCCTATTCTGACGAATGGATGGATCTTGAAGAATGGGACTGTCCAGAGTCGAGGATCAACTTTGACATCGATCCTGGACTCTTCATAATAAAAATCAGCAATGATGTAATGAATGATCTCAGATTGTGCATAACTCTGCAGTCTCGGGGTAAAAAAAAGGAAAAGCATTATAATTAAATACATTTGTGGTTTTTAATACTTTCAATTAAAAAAATGAATCTGTCAGGGATGAGGCAGACAGAGACGGATCGTGGTGCGCCAAACTCTGGAAGTTTATTTAAGTTTCTCTCAAGTTCCACTGGTTTACTTTGTTTCTTTCTCTCAGACAGAATAAAGGCAGTACACAGTTTATATAGTCATTGTCACGTCACACATCGAAAGACGTACGTGTCACAAAGAGACAGTCACATCATAGTCATAACATGGAGTCCTTGTAGAGTCCTTGTACAGTCCTGCACGTAGGCCATATTGCTATCTAATACTAACAAATCCTTCCTAATGTTTAACGTAGTGGTAAGCCCAAGTGTTCTAATAGTGACCTATTCAAAAAGAAAACAAAAATCCAAAAGAATTAACAAAAATGGATGAGTGAAATAAATGTTGTTTGGTTTACCAGTACAAGACATTTCTGGACATTCCTACCCATTTCAATTAGGCTTCAAAATTACACTACCTGTGCATAACAACAGAGGGCTGAATATAATGAGGGAAAAACATGAGTGAGTGCCAAAAACCCTCCATGAGACTTGTAATTTTAGGTCTCTCTGGGGTTTACAAAGCCTCTGGGACAGTGATAAAATACAACAACTGTTGGTTCACAGGCTCAAAGGAACACCCCACAAACCATAATTGAGCACTTTGGGGCAACACTCTAGGGTGCCTTTACCTGACGTCCTCCCCCTCCTCCAGTATTGACAGGCAGATGGTGCACTTTTCGTCCGTGTCTTCATCTGCAGCCATGTCCTCCTCTTGTTTATCATGCAGCTTTCTCTGTTTTTGAAAAGTAAAGGTTTAGCACTCATTATTGAGTAAGCATATATGCAAATAAAAGGCACTGGGTGACATTTTTGGTAAACTAACTAAATCGGAAATTCTGAATGTCTAAATTAACAGATGAAATATTATAAATAAATGTTCTGCCACTAAAAATCTATGGTTCTTTTTTTTCTTTTCTTTTTTTTCTAAACAAACAGCTTAACTCATTTGGGGACAGAGAGAATGGTCATTTTGTTTTGTTTAAAATAGGCTGTGTTCACGTGACATCAAAAACATCCTAAAATGGCTGTAATTAAATCTGAGCTGGAGGACAGGTCTTCTATGGTAGAATATTGCTCTTAGTTTGTGGACTTGCGTTGCTAGAAGTCTTTTATCCTCTCCTCAAACTGGAGATCTTGTCAGGCACAATAGTCAAAGTGAAGAGCATGACAGACAACTGTAGCAAACACACTTTATGGTGGTGCTATAGGTTGTAAAACTTTTTGGTCTTGGCAGGATATTCTCTTTGCTATTCTCCTTTGCCGCCTTCTCATGTGTCTCCGAAATTAGTATTATTATTTTTTATATTCATGTTCATCCAGTCACAGCCCTGCCACACTGACTCATAGCTAAAGTAACTGTGACTGTCTTAAACTAATGGAGAGTGCCAGGGCAAAGGGTATAACTGCAATGTGTCTCCGCTGTGTCTCCAGTTGTGCATTACTACCACAAATATATTGTGTCTGTCTTACAGTGAATCCGCGAGACAGGTCACATGCTCTGTCTCAAGCTGACCCCAGGGCTTTGACTATTGCAGCTGACAGGATGGTGCCCAATATCTTGAAAATATAAGCATTGGTGATTCTTTTTTTCATTAAAGCTTTAGAAAGTCGTGCCATTAGTCAAATTGAAAGTCTATGGACCAAAAAATGCAAATAAAAAGATCAAAACAATGAACGTCTCAGTTATATTGGCTCTTCCTTGCCCTGTTTCTGCAGACATAGAAAAAAACAAATACGTGAACACAACCTATTAAATTGTGTTAATGTATACCAAAACTCCTTAAGCCAATTTCCCTGGCCCCGGCACTATGGCTAACAGCTACTGTACAATATGTGCAGGGACATGTGCCAAATTGATTTGTTCATTTATTTCTCACCGATTCTGGGGTTGCGTGCTTTTTATTCCCAATAGATGCCCAAGCTTCAGAGGTTAACTGTTGATCAATGTCTCTCTCCAACACCTTCTGTATTGGGTGGCAGGGTGTTAGAGTTTGTAATTGAATACATGTTGAAATGTCTTTGAGCTTTCCCAAAGATGTCAATAATTTCTAGTAAAAGAAACTACAGTAATTCATTATAAACCAATTAGCATCACAGTAGATTCAAAAGCAAAGCACAAAAGACCACTATGCACTCTGTCCCAGAAAAAAACTGTAACAGACATGCACAATTACACACAGTAAATGCAGATACATTGACCTCAGTAAAAATCTCAATGTGGTTGCCTCACCTTTTTGTACTTGTGTGGGTATGTGCACCTTTCTATGGTGCCCTGAGAGGCGCCTCTGTTCACAGTCCCCAGTCTTTCTTCTAAATGCAGCAGGTCCTTATAATGGAAATGGATAGATTATGTGCAGGTGACAGTAGCATCAAAGATTTCTTAGTCACATAATTTGCAGAGTATGGATGTTACCTCATACGTTCTTCCAAAGCCAGTCATTCTAGATGAGATGTAACGAATATGTGGGTAGGTCACTTCCGATATACCAGTGTGCTACAACAAAATTTTAAAAATAAATAAAATCTTTGTTTTTATAAAAGCAACACAAAAGTGGCTAAATCAGATCACTGTCCCCTGGATCATTTTCTAAAGCAATGTACAGTGTACATAGTAAAGTTGTAATCAACGATTAAATATTTATAATAATTCATTAGTTGGCAGATTATTCTTTGAAATAGTTGTTAAGATGCCAGTCTGTTTAAGGGATTTTTTTCTACATTTGACCCAAAAAAAAGCTCAGGTGAAGCCCCTGGAGAACATCATCATTTGTTACTTGTTACACATTGGGTTGTTTGTTTAAAAATACTTCTGCAGTCATTATAGAATTATCTGAGACAACAACCTCTTCTCAGCATGTTTAAGTCTATGTAAAGTTAAAACTAAATTAGTTTTCATTCAATCAATTAGTTCCAATTAATGAATTAACTCGTTACAGCCCTAGTGCATAGCCTGTGGAGCTATAAGGTTTATCAGCATAAATTAGCAGATTGTTAAGCATTATCCAGGCTAGCACCAAATAGCTACATCTTATACTATATTAGATATGTGTTCATTTTCCTCTCACCATGAAGGGGATAGGAAAATGGTGAAGTCTAGGGGGATGGTGGTAGTGGGGCAGGTGGGAGTGCAGGTGCCCTGAAGGATACGGTGCCATAGTCACGCCAGCCTCAATGCCGAGCTCCCTGGAGAATTAAACGTAAAACAACACAATCTCAGAGAAGCGAAGGGAGACAGAGCTAAGAGTTAATAAGTCTGAAATCTCACCAGGCTGTTCTCTGCTCAGGCTGGCGAGGATGGGAAGACATAGTCTGTGGGACATGGATGTGATGTCCATGGCCATAGTTCGGGTGCATTCTGTGTGGATGTGGCGGTGGCCGCTCATGTGCTCTCCTAACCAAAACAAAGACACATGTCCAAAGGTTCTCACACTAAATAGTAAAAATGGACAATACTTACGTGGGGTGCTGCATCATCCGGCGTCGCTGGAGATCAAGTAGCACTTCGTGTGCATGCAGCCTCTGTACAGACGCTCCAAGAGGAGGCATGTGATGGGTCAGGGGCTGATGTTCTGACGGCAAGTGCTGAGTCAAGGGGGCACTTGAACTAGGGAGATGGTGACCAGGAAGGGGATTAGGAGGAGCAGGGGGCACAGGGTGGCTCGAGGGGTGGGATGGCAATGGGGCATGAAAGGTGTGCACTGTGTGGGGGATGACGTAGTCTCTTTGAGGGGGAGCCTGTGTCAGCTGTGGGTTACCATGGGAATGAGGGCAGGTGGAGGAGGGCTGATGATGCAATGAACGGGCTAAGGGGCCATCTAAACAGAAAGAAGAAAGATTTATGTGGTTTAGTTTAACCCTAAAGAACTATGGTTGTTTATACATTTAACATAGTCATGGAACTCACAAGACGTGTGCATGTAATGTCTGCAGGGCTGCTGCGGCTGGGTTTGGGGTCCGCTTTGAGCAACCATTGAGGAAGTGAAAGAATCTACCACAGCGGGCTGACTGGGCCCAGCAGTCGCCTGGGAAACAAACACAGGGGGCCGCGAAGAAGAGCCTGGGCAACACGGGTCAAAGGCTGAAGTACTGCCGTGGAAACTACCACCGTTGTTTCGAACACTGCTGTTGCTCAGATCAACTGGAAGTGTTTGCTGTGAGGGACAAAGAGGAATAATGAAGTGAGTAAAGAGTAAAGACTGATATTAAATGCTAACAATTAGGGCTGGGCGATATGGCTGAAAACTATATCACAATATTATTCATTCATATCGGTCGATAACGATATATATTGATTGTTTTTTATTTATTTTTAAAAACGTAAATAAATACATTTGTCGTGTCGGCTAACACACGTTAGCAGCCTTGTTTACAGTCACGGGGGAATGAGGCTGGAGCCAAATGTTCACAAGCAGTCTCCCCCACTTTAGTCCTGGTTTAATCCTGGTTTAGTCCTGGTTCAGCTCCTGTTTTGGCTGTTTTCGAGTGTCTTGTGTCCCTGTGGCGGCTCCGGAAAAAGGTAATCGCTTGCTTTTGCCGAATGCATAGAGTCTCTGTACCCACTGCTTCTCCCGCGCCGCACATGCTGTTCCTCGCACGGACGTGTTTAACCATTGACACGGCACTGAAACACAATCTTTAGATCCAGGGCTATTATAATAGATCCATGATCCATGGATGCTACGCATGGTGCGGTTGTTTTTATGCTTTTCCCAGAAAGTTTTGCGGTTTGTAGTCGGCTGTGATAGGTCGAGAAGCCTTTGCCTACATCCCCCAGAATGCCGTGCGCTTCTGACTCGGCTTTACTTCCTGTGTTTTGTTCCTGTTTTTTTCCGAACGGACTGAAGTGAAACTATCGAAGTTCTATCGACCCTGTTTTCTATTGATATCGAACACGTGTCTATCGCAATATATATCGTTATCGTTTTATCGCCCAGCCCTACTAACAATGAACAAAGTACCTGGTCGTGGTAATGAGATGTGTTGCAGCCATTAGCACTATTGTTACTGCTGCACTGGGCAGGCAGCGCACTGGGTCTCTCGATGGGGCAGCTGGGCTCTTGGAATGGCCGGTTGGCGGGGTGCTGTGGCGCTGGGTGATGCACATGGTGAAGAAAATGATGAGTATTGCTATGGCCATGTTGACTACTAGCAGCCTGCTGAGACGTTGCCTGCAAGCAGCTGGAGTGAGAGTGACTGAGTGAGAGGTGACCAGGAGAGGGTCCTGCACAAGGAGAGTGTTGCTGACAGCAGGAGGGCAGTCTGGGCAGGGCTGTGGTTCCACTTTCCCCTGCTGATCCTGACAAACCTGGTCCACTTTCATCTAGGCAAACAAAAGAAAAATAATACAGATGAATTTAATGGAATTGACACATACATACACAGACACACTGGGGAGCTGTGTAAAGTTTCTCATACAATTTGACATCTACAAATGGAGAAAACTTTTTTAGAACACTAATAAATTAGTTTCCATCTGGTTAGGGAACATACCCTCTGCTGCCATATGCGTGGAGCCATTGGACCTCTGTGTGTCCAGCACTGATCCTGAGCAGCTGGTGGAAGGACCTGGCACATCGTTGAGCTCTGAGGTAGAGGCCAGATGTGATGATGAAGAGGAGGATGACCGCTGAGCATTACCAGAGGTTGTTGGCACAACAGACAGGTCTGCAAAAGCAAGAACTTTAAATCCTTAACTAACTTGCTCTATGTTTTACATAAATGTCAAGTGTTTAACAAAAATCACATGGCGCCTTGATTTCAAGTGCAAGAAAGCTTTGGCCTCATCTGTCACTTTTTAAACATTCAAAATGAAAATGTATCATACAACTCTAACTCTATTCATTATGATCTCATTTTAAAATGCACATGATGAAACACACAATGTTAACTTACCATCTTCATCCACAGTTAGATCGACCACCTCTCCAGGACTCTGGCGCAGTGGTTGTATGACGGTAGAGAGTCTATGTCGTCCACGAGATTCTTGAAGACGGCTCTGAGCACAACTGCTGCTCCAGATCCGGCCCAGACCCCCCAGTGACCGTGACCTGAAAACACCCATATATTTGATCAGTATAATACAGATATCCAGCGCCTTGAAAAAAGTATTTATACGGTGGAGCATACGGTGATCTCATCCCGTGGGGTCAAAATGATCAAAAATCCCAGAACCACACGGGGGGACCTGGTGAATGACCTGCAGAGAGCTGGGACCAAAGTAACAAAGGTTACCATCAGTAACACACTACGACGACATGGAATCAAATCCTGCAGTGCCAGAAGTGTCCCCCTGCTGAGGCCAGTGCATGTCCAGGCCCGTCTGAAGTTTGCCAGAGAGCTCATGGATGACACAGCAGAGGATTGGGAGATTGTCATGTGGTCAGATGAAACCAAAGTAGAACTGTTTGTTATAAACTCAACTCGTCGTGTTTGGAGGAAGAAGAATACTGAGTTGCATCCCAAGAACACCCTACCTACTGTGAAGCATGGGGGTGGAAACGTCATTCTTTGGGGCTGTTTTTCTGCTAAGGGGACAGGACGACTGATCCGTGTTAAGGAAAGAGTGAATGGGGCCATGTATCGTGAGATTTTGAGCCAAAACCTCCTTCCATCAGTGAGAGCTTTGAAGATGAAACGTGGCTGGGTCTTCCAGCATGACAATGATCCCAAACACACCGCCCGGGCAACGAAGGAGTGGCTCCGTAAGAAGCATTTGAAAGTCCTGGAGTGGCCTAGCCAGTCTCCAGACCTCAACCCCATTGAAAATCTGTGGAGTGAGTTGAAAGTCTGTGTTGCTCGGCGACAGCCCCAAAACATCACTGCTCTCGAGAAGATCTGCATGGAGGAATGGGCCAAAATACCAGCTACTGTGTGTGCAAACCTGGTAAAGACCTATAGTAATCGTTTGACCTCTGTTATTGCCAACAAAAGTTATATTACAAAGTATTGAGTTGAATTTTTGTTATTGACCAAATACTTATTTTCCACCATAATTTACAAATAAATTCTTAAAAAATCCTACAATGTGAATTCCTGGATTTTTTTTCACATTCTGTCTCTCACAGTTGAAGTGTACCTATGATGAAAATTACAGACCTCTGTCATTATTTTAAGTTGGAGAACTTGCACAATCGGTGGCTGACTAAATACTTTTTTGCCCCACTGTACATCATGAACCTTTCCACATTTTGTCTCGTTAATATATTTCATGTTTTTTGTGAAGAGACAGCAAAATACAGTATTATTATCATTATTTACTCATTTTTGATTTAAAATGGATGTAAACAGTCTGTCTAACAAAAGTATTCAGCCCCTATGTTTGTGCAAATTAGTTTTTAGATGTTAGCTGATAATAGCATTTGACCATTTATCAATTAAATAGAGTCCTTCAGAGAGTAAGGCTGAACAAGGACTTATCCATGGCCAAGAGGCCCATGGTTACTCTGGGGCAGGGGTCTCTAGAAGTGGGGGGCACATTGAACGTGTGGGGGAAGACACTAAAGGGCAAATTAAACCTAAAATTAAACCTTTTGATGACACTTGAGGCACCATCTCCAGTGTAAATTCAGTTGGTGCCCATCATGGTATGAAACTGCTTTTCTTCAGCAGAGACAGGGAGGAGTGTCAAAATTGATGGAAGTGGACGGAGAAAAAAACAGAATATTATCAACAAAAAAAGCATGTATTATATACAGCAAGCAAATATTGTATTTTTTCTCAATAGGCTTTATGCTCAATGCACTTTGAGACCAGTGAGGGTGGCTAGAGAATAGCTGCTTTTCTCTCAACAGTGCCACATCAAGTGATCAGGACAAAGAGGAGGTAGCCCTGGAGACCAGTGACAGAAGAGGGGGGATTCACTGCAGAGTCCTCAGAGATGTTGCAAATAAGTTACAGGTTAGTGCATATACCTGTAAACTAAGGATGTACCAATTGTGACATTTTGGGCCGATACCGATGTTTAACATAAGTTGGCCAATGTTTTTTTTTCTTTTGTTCTTTATGTTACACACACATACACATATATTATATATATATATATAACTGCTATTTAACTGCAGTTTTTTTGTCAAAAGAAATAATAAATAAAGGGGCGGGGCACAGACAGTGACACAAAAGCAATCAAATCGTGGAGACTGCTCTGTCTAGTTAAGTCTATTGTTATGATCATTTTCACTTGGTGGCTTCTGGACATGTGTGATCGGATTAATCTGTCAATTAAAGAAAATAATCCTTTTTCATTATTTTTCTCATTGTCTGTTTCCCCTCTATGTTATATGTCTGGGGTGTGGCTGTAGTTTTGTTGAGCCAGCAGCGCTCTGTGGGTGTCTGGTCAAACCTTACTCACTAAGACCCATATTTAAACGTCTATGGTTCAGATCAATCTATGGTGCAGATAGAGAGAAGGCAAGCAAGGTAAAGAAGAAAACTGACAGGAAATGGAATTCTATTGCACCAGATTCACCTCTGATTTCACGGTCTGGTCTACCCATGGATTTAATATAACTACTCCATAAGTCGCGTTACCACCACAGGAGTTCCTGATAAAAGTAGGGGGTGGGATAGCTACAGGAACCGTCCTCTGCCTCGGTCCTCTTAGTTGCTGTGTCTCCACTGCAGAGAAGGACCCCTCGGTGACGTCATGAGTTTTGATCGCCATGTAATCAATAATTATTTATTTCATGATGTGAACAGATCTGGTTGTTGTGGTCTTTGAGTTTTTTATAGTCCTGCTTCAGTTTTGTGTAACTTTACACAGCATTGTTTCTGAGTGTGATGAATTCCCAGTGCTTTGCGGTGCGCTGAGATATCTTTTCATTTCCGCACGATGCCTCAAATCCAGTCTGAATTTCTTCTGTGCTGTAGAAGGCAATTGCCTTCACCTAATCATCCGTCCCTTTATCGTACATGCTACTAGGCAAATGCTACTGGGCTAATGCTACTAGGCAAATGCTATTAGAATAAAGCTTCGGGATTTTATAAATCCCGGTTGTTTTGTGCTTTCTGCTGGCGTCAGCCTGCTCTAGCTTTAGCCAATCAGCGCTGGGTTAAACTCAAGCCCCACCAGGATCTGTTCAAGGCCGGACGGGTGGCACGGTGGCTGAGTGGATAGCACTTTCGCATCTCAGCAAGAAGGTTCTGGGTTCGAAGGTTCTGGGTTCGAAGGTTCTGGGTTCGAAGGTTCTGGGTTCGAAGGTTCTGGGTTCGAAGGTTCTGGGTTTGAAGGTTCTGGGTTCGAAGGTTCTGGGTTCGAAGGTTCTGGGTTCGAAGGTTCTGGGTTCGAATCCCGGTCGGAACAGGTCCTTTCTGAATGGAGTTTACATGTAGTACCTAGCATGGAGGAGGTTCTTCGTTGGTACTTGTAAAAGTTCCTGTAGTGGAGACACGCACTGGCCCTGTAAAATTCCCCCAAGTTCCTGCGGTGGAAATGCAACTAAAAACTATAGGTCTACCCGACTTAATCCTCTGTAGCACCCTGTATGATGACACAGCTAGTGGGTCAGACGTCCACAGTGTGGGTCAGACCTCTTCTCACTGTGGGTCTGGCCTCCATACTTATGATGCTACAAGTTTTGAGATGATTTAGAGATTTTTAGCAAAATCTGTGAAATGGCCGTGGCTGGGGTTTTTTGTGACCATTTCCTCCCCATGTATACCTTTGACTCACTCTGTAGGGGGCGCTAACATTGCATCCATCCATCCATCCATTTTCTACCCTTTAATCAATTTCTGAGTCAGGGTGGTGGCAGTCAGAGATGCCACCCAAGTCTCATAGCACCAGCCCCTCACTGACCCTCTGCAGGTGGTGAGTCCACAGGAGGACGGCTGCTCTCTGAGGGTGAGCATAGCCTTGATCTTTCAGCGAAGGCTTTGGGCAAAGTGGGGTTAAGTGTCTTGCCCAAGGACACAACGACAGCAGTCATCAGTGGGAGTCGGGGGAGAAGGTGTGGAGGTGGGAATTGAACCCACGACCTTCAGGCCTGAAGGCCAATGCTCTACCAACGGAGCTACTGTCACCCTACTTTGTCGCTAACATTGCAATTACATTTTTTCACATCTAAGTGACCTAGACCCAGAAGTGGAACAACTGATTCAAATTTTGTGTAAATTGCCCAAAAAAAGTTTCCAATTTAGAAAAATAGAAATAGAAAAAAAAAGCTAAATACTTTGCTCACGCAGGCCGTACATAATTTAACCGATCACAATTCTGTGGATAACATTAGATGCTACATGTGTTTTAGACGATGGAGAAGTTTTTTCAAAATCATGGACTTCCTGTTTGTCCGGGGCCGTGACCATAATACAATTTTTATCTTGTTTTGAGGTGATACGTGTACCAAATATTGTAGCTCTAGGACAAACTAAATGCAAGATTGTCCAAATCAAATTGTTGGTGCTATTGCATATTTTTTATAGTTTCAGAAACTGATCTTCGGGCAAAATTTGGCAACTATTCATGCATGTTCAGGGGGTCAAAATGAGGTTCAAAGAGCAGAAGAAAAAATAATGAAAAAATATTTTTGGGTTTTTGAAAATCCATCCTTTTTGGTGTGAGCACAACCACTTGTGCTTGAACACCAGTAAGACCAAGGAGATGGTCATCGATTTCAGGAGAAAACCACTTTACCACACGCCACTGACCATCCAGGGGGAGGACATTGAGCTGGTGGACAGCTTCAAGTACCTGGGTGTTCACATTAACAATAAACTGGACTGGTCCCATGATACAAACGCTCTGTACAAGAAGGGCCAAAGTCGCCTCTTCCTTCTGAGGAGGCTGAGGTCCTTCGGAGTGAGCAGGCCTCTGCTCAGGACTTTTTATGACTCTGTGGTAGCCTCTGCCATATACCACGCCGCCGTGTGCTGGGCCCCGGGCAGCACAGAGCGGGACAGGAGCAGACTGAACATGCTGGTCAGGAGGGCCAGCTCCACTCTAGGCTGCCCCCTGGACTCTGTGGAGGTGAGGGACAGGAGGGTGCTAGCCAAAGCCACCTCCATCATGAACAACACCTCCCACCCACTGCACAGGACTTCTATCTTTCTATCCATGCCAAATGTGACATGTAAATTTCTTCTTTGTGAGATAAATAAAGAATATCTTTTCTTGAGCAAAAGCAATACAGGTTTCCATGGCACATGATACATCATTTCAAAGCGTTTGTGTAGACTAACCATCCATCGCATTTAATGAGTCACAGGCACAGACGCATCAGTCACTCACCGCAATAGACCAGTTCTGCGCTCAAGCCTAATTATGCATATTTCCAAGTTGCAGGTACAAAAGTAATTTGCTCAGAAAGTGGTTAGGGTGTGGGAAAAGAGTTGCCCGGGGTAATGATGAATAAACATTAGATTTTTGATTTTTTAAAGTTATAGTCTGGACTTTGTCAGAAAAAAGAGAGAGGAACATGATTTGAAAAAACAAAACAAAAAAAGACCTAAGCTCCCTCCCCCTTCCTTTCTGATTGGTCTTGAAGCTGCGCCTACTTTTCCGTGCATGCGCCAGTTTAATGGGCTAAGAGGTGCAGAGGAGAGATTATTAATTTAAATATTCAGATATAGTTGAATATTTAATCATCATTTATTATACAGCTCCTCACAGCAGCAGTAGAACGCTCCATTTCTTGATAACTGACTCTCAAAACAATGAGCGCTGTCCTTTGGCAACGCACTCTGTGCTTGTACTTCAGGTGTGTAAAATACTAAGATTACTCCGGACAGTAGTGCGTCGTCACAACGGGCTTTCAGCGCCTGTCACTTACTACTTCTGCCTGTGTGGGAGAAGCTATCAAAGCTAGCCACGCTCAATAAACAAATATAAAATCAATAACACATTTAAATGTTACATTGTCACAATACATTATACATATCAATTCTTAACACACATGCACAGTGATTTTCATAATATCTGTTCACGTTTTCATGACAAAAATAATGTTTTAATGCAACAAAAAGCGACCACGGTAAAACCGTAAGTAACCATTAACATTAGTGTAACATTTTAGGACACATTTGCAGAGGACCTGGTTATGGATTTAGGTTCAGTATATAAATGGGTAACTCAGTAATATGTTGACAATTCTTTGTTCAGTTTATATCTAGTTCCAGAGAGTTCTAGTTTTGAAGTAACCTACTAGCTTACCTTGTTGTTACCCGTCTAGCCACGTCATGACAAAACCTTTGGGAACTAACTATTTTATTTAAGTCATTTAAATGAGATAATGCCCATTACAGCTTCGAATGTTATATTCGTTTGAATATACAGTATATGTATATTTTTTATATTAAAATAATATTTGATTCTGCGGAATTATAATTTGATTCGGAGGCTCCATGAAAACAAAACAACTGAGCGTGCACGCAGTTACGAGCAGGAGAGCTGATGATTGACAGCCCTTAGCATCACTAGATTGGTTAAAGTGGACGGCATCGTGGATTTCTAACTATAGCTAAGATAAGGGAAGGCAGGACTTACCCGTACTATTATAATTCAAAAAATGACTTATTTAAATCAACATTTAATGCCAAGGGGTCAATTTAATACAATTCTTAAAATTTGTAATTCATTTAGAGTTGCAGAATATCACTAGACAAGCAAAGATTATGATAGAGCTGAGATGGTGTTTTCCATCTCGCATAGTCCAAATCTTGTGTCCTGTATATTGTATTTTACTGAAAATCATTCGTACCCCGTTATTATTCTTACAAAGTATACAAATCACGAATCTAAAAACTAATCTTGCCAACTTGACTCATTTAAATTGCCATTGCTTGAACAATGTAATCAAACCAAGCAAAGGGCCATAATTTACGCTTGTTTCCAAGTTTAATTGGTCTGGCCCTTCTGCTTTAGGATGACTCAAGGGACCAATATTAACAGGGAGATCCTAATGAAGCAGACCTGGGATTATTTTGTAATATAAGTTTATCGCCAAAATCCCATGTGGTAGTAAAAATGTGAATTGAAAGTCTGAGACAAAACACAAACATTTGTGCCATCTGATCGCAGAACATCAACTTTTAAAACACCTTACACGATATGCCAACAAACACACATATGCACATCCACTAAATACGTACACATGAGATTACAGAGATTGTTTAATTTATTAATAAATTCTTCTATACAATGTAGGTTGGGTTTTTACAAAAGAACAGCAGGGCTGTAGGGCAAAGTAAAATCTTATATTCCACATGCCCATTTTGAGAAGGCCATTCATGCTTTTATCACTTCCAGGCTTGATTATTGTAACTCTCTCTATGTCGGCATTGACCAGGCCCAGCTCAGCCGCTTACAGGGAGTGCAAAATGCAGCAGCCCGTCTTTTAACAGGGACAAAGCGCAGGGAGCACATCACTCCTGTTTTGCAATCCCTACACTGGCTCCCGGTATATTTTAGAATTCATTTTAAAATTCTTATTATCGTTTTTAAAAGTTTTAATAGAATGGCACCTTCTTATTTATATGAACTCCTCCAGCCTCACCTTCCCTCCAGAGCACTGCGCTCTGCAGATCAGCACCTTCTTGTCGTCCCTAGGACCAGGCTGAAGACCAGAGGAGACAGAGCTTTCTCTGTTATAGGGCCAAAGTTGTGGAACTTTTTACCTTTGCACATCAGAACTGCACAATCACTCGAGCACTTTAAATCCCTGCTTAAAACGCATCTTTTTTCTTTGGCTTTTACTACCAAGTAGACAGAGACAAATTTTTCGATTTCTTTTTGTATATACATTTCTGTATTTTATGTGTTTTTATTTTATAATTTTTCCTCGCTGTCTGTTCAGCACTTTGGTAAGCCTAGGCTGTTTTAAATGTGCTCTACAAATAAAGATTTGATTGATTGATTGATAGAATTCATGGGCAAAACACATTTATGCCACTGCCATGTTAAAAACATAAATCATAATAAACATGTTTTATTTATAATTTGCCTAACCTTCGGAAAAAGGAAGTTCACGGAAAACGTAAGCAGTAAGTAAAACTATGATCAAGATTAAGCTCTATTGTTCACCAACAGTGGCTGCTGGCCAAGTTGCATAAGCATAGTGAAAAAGGGGAAAAGATCTATACAAGACAAACCTGAAGCCATCTCCAACTGTAACAATCTCCACCTCGCTGTCTGTAGATGTAACGTTGATTTCCTCGCTGGCAGGGACGACTGGAGCAGTGGCTGGAGTGGCCTCAATCACCACCACATCTTCATCAAGAACACCTCAAAAACAAGATTTCACCCAATGAATAAAATGAAATGCCCAACAAAAACACATGATGGCCGCTGTTAATTAATTTATATTCTCACTTTCAGAAAACAATGCTTAGTGTGCATGTATCAAAGTATAACTTCTATACAGGCCTGCTTTCTTAAACAAAGACATTTTAGACCAGACATGTCAAACTCAGGCCCATGGGCCAAATCCGGCTTGCATGACTATATTTAGTGCCTCCTGAAATGATTTTTGATTATCACTATTGCAGTAACTTGCAGTATTGATGATAATGGGATACTTTAAATTCAAGGCTTATATTCTGAGGAAAACACCCATATAATTGAATCTGTTCTAATATTTTAACCAACATGTAATTAGAAGTTTAGTTAGGCCGAAGATTTATTTTTCTATATTTATCTATAAATGTTGATTATTAATAATTATATATATATATATATATATATACACATACATACATACATACATACACTACTAATATATATTGGGTAAATAAATAAAAAAATGTTTGAACTGGGGGTTAATTTCCCAACCCTAAAATGATAAACAGTAGTTGTTTTTAAATAATAATCACAATGACTTGCAGTGCTTGTTGCACTATTCAATTTTGTCAACTCCCATCATGAGTCTTCCAGGAGAGTTCCTATCCTAGGGTTTTTCCTAAACGGCTGGAATATATAATGGCAATATGGTGACAGTCAAAGCAAATAATGGAAAACTAGTGGAAATAACCACATACTTAAAACATACTGATCATTTCTAAATCAAAACTGTGCAGCATGACAGAAAATAGCAAGACTCATTGTTGAATAATGAAGTTATTGTATTAGTCTTCATAGCTTTTACCTGGGGCTACAGCAGAACTGTTGGGCTGGCTGCTGGTGCTGCTCACATCTACGTAGAGTTCCTCCTCTGCTTCGGTTGTGGAAGGAGAAGAGGAGTCACTACTGAGCTCTTCGCTGGAGCTGCTACTACTGTGGAGGAGAGCGTACTTCCTGCGTGCAATCACTTCACGTTTTTTTCTCTGTAGTAGCAATCGCTCCTTCTGCTTTTGAGTCCGTGGGGCCCCTCCAGGAATTGTTTTAACATAACGTTTTCTATGTACAGGACGCCGACTGCTAAGACACTGCCGTTTCAACAGCACTGGTTCTGCCTCTGGACGCATCCATTTGTGTGAGCGACTAGCACGAGTCCGACCAAGTATTGGGCGCAGACTAACTTCGGCTGCGCCCCCAGAGGCCAAAGGCTTTTGGTGGCTTCCTGTCGCCCCAGATTCGGCATCTTCTTCAGAGCTGAGTGTGTCCGAGTCTCCAAACCTGAGGCTGGAGGAGGGGGAGGAAACACAGTCACTAAAGGATGACTCGTGATTGTGGTCATCTTCACTGGGTTGTGGTAAAAGTTCGACCCTGGGCCGCTGTGGAGCCAGTGAGTTCTCACTAATATTAGCTTCCTTAAGTGAACAGTCTGAGGGTCCAGCTTGCTGTCCTTTTCTTTTCCTACGACCAGGAAGGCTGCGCTCCGAGTCTCTATGGGCACCACTTTCTCTCAAGGGTCTATGTCTGGATTCAGAACAAAGAGTTGCATAATCATTGGCTGCCTTGCCAATCATTTCCAAGTTATTGGGGAAGTCTTTTGCAGGCTCGATCGGAACTTGGTTCACCAAGGGCTCCTTCAGCTGCTCCTGCCTGCTTGGAGCCTCCGATGGCACCTCACTCTTCATGATGACAGTATGTCAGCAGGAAGAAAAGGCTTATTTTTCTTGCATCAGCGCTTAAGTGTCCATTCATTGCATCACTAGAAAAGAGAAGAAAGAAAGTTTTGCCACATAAAGCATAATTTATAATTACATTAGATAAAAATAATAATAATTGTAGGTTGAATGTGTAGCACATGCACTTGTTGTTACAGAGCATTGATGGTCGTGATACACACAATAGCGTGTTATTTGCTCCATCTAATTATTATATCCAAGACCACTAAACATATCAGAGCCAAACAACATCAAATCCAAATAAAATGACTTATTCAAAGATCAGATTGAAGTGATCCAATCTAGACACGTAGTAACCCACTATAACCTAGACATAGGACAACAAAGACAGCACATACCTGATTTTAAGTCATTTTCTGCAATATGCCATCGTTCTTTCTGCAACAAACAACGATTAAATCACGTTTAGTGTAGAACCCAAGGTATTAGCACTGATCGAGATATTGAAGGCCCACAGACAAATAGGACCCGACGTCAGAGCTGGCTGTTCGGAATTGTGAAACTGACAACACAGTCCCGAGCAAAGAAGAGCAAAGCACTGGCGGGGCCCTGGACGGCTGCGAGCTAAGCTAACACAGGGTTAGCTCAATTTCACAAGGCGAATACTGGATTACAGTAGCATATCCATATTTGTAGGGGTCGGTACCCACTTAAAAGGGTGGGTCTACATCTTAAATACAGTTACACGAATATTTAAAAAATGTCTCACTCTTATCCCTCGACGAAGTTCCCATTCCTGCTTGTCGAGGTATCCGCTGTTGTTTACCCAGAGCAGCAGCGGCAGCTCGACTGCTACAACAAGCTGTTTCTACGACCACCTCTAGGGGGCGCTACATGGCGATTCTACAGAGCAACTATTAACGATAGTGTTGGAAATAAAGATCCATTCATCGACCAGTTAAATAAGTATTATGGTTGCACAGTAGTCAGTACTATTTATAAGAGGATGGTTATGTTGCTAGTTATTAATGAACCACTGAGTCCAGATAAGCGCTATTTCACATTTGATATCCGTGAATTTAATATTTTGATGAAAATAAGCCACCAGTAGGTGGCGCAAGAGAAATGCACAAAGTACTGGGCACGCGCAGCAGATCACACTCGCTAATCTGAGTAAAATGGCGTCGGGAGCCATTTCCACGGAATTGAAGAAAATATCAGAATTAAGAGTTGTTGATTTGAAATCCGAATTAAAGCGTAGGAGTTTGGACACTTCGGGAATTAAGAGCGTGCTACTTACCAGACTCAAGGAGGTAAGCGAGAGAAACCAACTCATGATTTTTCTCAACTATCGTGTGAAGAGGCTTTGCCATGACCCAAAAACTAGCGTTAGCTGGCGTCATGCTAGTCGGCTATCTGCAGAGCCACTTATAATGGCTTTCCAAAGATTTATGAGACATTGAGACAATTGGGATTCGACATCACCGTTTTGATGGAAATGTTATCATTTTATGGGGGCGGTTTAATGTGACCAAAATATGCAGAATGTTAGAATTGGAACCTCTGAATTGAGCCACATACTCCTACCGTGTGAAAACTCATAATACACTCCGTCCTGGAACTCAACTCAATTCTATGTGTTTTGCATAGCCCTGAATCGCAACAGCTGCGGAGGACTTTATCAAGTTGTCGATTCACCATGGACAGATCAAAGAATCGAAAGGAAATGTAGTATTAATAATAACAAACGCATAGGACCCATAGGGGGCGGAATGACCAATGTCCATAAATTCAATAATTGTCTCGGATCATCACTGTTCTTTGATCATAATTGTATCGTTTATTCAGTCATTATACATTTGATGCAATTTGAATGAATGTACTTTTCAAAGGCTATTGAAGATGAGGGTGGCGACCCAAACAACATTGACGTCCAATCTGCGGACCAACCAACTCGTAAAGTTGGAAAGTCCAGAGGTATTTTTTTAAATTCAAGATTGCATTGTTAGAATGTACTTTTTCATACTCTTCTACAATGAGATGTTTGTATTTCTTAGGCAAAAAAGTCGATTCAGATCTGGATGTGACAAATGAGGACGATGCATCCTTTAAGGTGAAAGTATATGTTGGTTTTAACTTAATTGAACTGCCATCAAACATTTTTTTTTTTTAATCCATGTATTTATATTACAGGAGGTTGAAGAGTCAGAGTCAGAAAAAGGTAAGCTTTTTTAGAAAACCAATGCTATTATTCTTCCCACAACAACATTACACTCCTTATGTTTCTCACTATTGGCCACATGTTCACTCATTTAAGTAGCTACAAACTTTATTTATAAGGTCAATACTTTTCATGAATTTACTATGAACTGTGAACTCTATCATTGCCAAGAAAAAAATGTCTTGTCTTCAACACTTGGGCCTATTATCAAAATATCACATTTGTTAGCACGTCAAAGTGCCAAAGCCTCATTCGCCCAATATTAACATGACGCCCCTGTGGCCAGTTCTAATCGTCGATCCACATTTCACGAAGACTCATTCAGTGCAAGGATGCATATCCCTCTCAACTATCGACTACCCATATTAAGATGAAGAACCTGCTCATCAGAGTTGGACAGTATCTGTTGGACTCTAATAAGACGCCCAATTAACCTTCTTGGAGCCTTGCAAAGATTCGTCTTGATGAATTTCAAAATGGAAACTGGTTAATTATGATTTCATGGACTCGACCTACCGTTGCTGATGAATTTTCTGAAAGATGTTTGGTTTCCCAAACTATTGTGATTTCTAATCTACAAAAGGGACACTCCTGCCCCCCACCTATTTTTCATTTTCTGCAATTTCCACGGATTACTCAAAAGGCTGCTTTTGCTAATTTTTTTGGAAAGATTTTGAAACCTTTGCTTTCTACCAGATGTGACCAGAGTTCTGTAGGTGTATTGTGGACTGAAGACCCAGCGAAATGTGAAGATTGTTTGTTTTGTGTCCATGTGATGTCTGCGCCATCGATGACCATTAATGCTAAATGTGCTTTCTATTCTACTTTAGGTCAAGTGATGGCATGTGTATTTTAAAAGTTGTTTTTGCCATGTTTATCCTTATTAAATCCCTCAGATGTAACTGATACAGATGACGGTACTCGTGAAGAATCTAAGCCAGCACCTTCTGAGGACTGCCTCACTCAGACTGAAGATGAAGTCCACAGTGAGGCCCTGCAAGAGACCGTAGGCGATTCAGAGGAGGAACCTGAGCGAGAGCCAGACCTTGAAGAGGACAACATGATAATGGCTGAGGATGACCACAAGACTGACATTCAGCCAGAACCAGAGGAGGAGGTCCTGCCTGAGCTGGAGCTTGTACCGGAACACGAAACGGAGCCTGACGTGGAGCCCGAGCCAGAGACTGATCAGGATCTAGAGGTGGATGATGCAGACGCTGACCCTGATGAGATCGATCTGGATGAGAACGATGCAGACACAGTGCCATTGTCGAGGGACGTGGAGGATGATCGGTTGTCTGTCTCAATGCAGAACGAAGATGCCATTACCTTAGACGTTGATGGCGATGATCTCCTGGACACAGGTAAACATGTGAAACTTCCAGATTCAGAAGGAGAGAAGAACACAGAGCCAGGGCCTTCCACCAACATGGGCCCTGATGATGATGAGGATGATGATCATTCCAAAGAAGATGAGACGGGCCATAGAGATGGTAAGAAGGATGACGCGTCCAAGGGCGAAGCTGCGAAGAAAGCTGAAACTGGAGACAAAGAAAAGGAATCTGGGGCAGGTCAAGCAAAGAGGTTTGTCTTTCTATGTCAGTTCTTTGATTCTGCTACCAAGTCCACCTCATTAAAAGAACACAACTTTGTGGGTTAGCGTCAAGATTTTTTTTAAGGGGAATAAGCACTGATGTACCTAGTCCCACCCTTTCTGTATTTTACTGAACATTGTTAAATGTTGGTCTGAAGATGCTCTAGACCAGGAGATGATTTTTCTTGGGGCTATCAAAGATTTTACTGACGAGTTGAACTAACTTCTGAAGAAATCATTGGTCAATTGGCTGACTTGATCCATCTCATCACTGGAAAATCAAGACATTGGTTCTTATCAGCCTCAAGTCTATGGGGTTCTCTGAACTGTTCTCAAATGTTTTTTGTGTTTTGTCAAAAATGGATGTTTTACTCCTGTTAATTATACATACACTTTTGTTTTTGGCACTTTTAGAGACGGTGATGGAAATGTTTCTAAAGATGAAAAGGGTAAAGAATTACATATCAATTATATATGTATACATTTGAAGAGTTCTATGTTGACACTTGTTTTGAATGCATATTTAAGGAATCTCACGTAATTTATGGGTCAGCGGCTTGTCGTCAAATACCAAAGCAGCTGATCTTAAAAATCTATTTGGAAAATATGGCAAGGTAATTCAATTGGTAATACTGTGAATCTATTGAGTACGGGTTTTGACAGAATTCTACCTGATAGGTTTTGAGTGCCAAAGTGGTAACAAATGCTCGGAGTCCGGGTTCAAAATGCTACGGGTTAGTAACCATGTCCTCTAGTACTGAGGTGGCTCGATGCATTTCGCATCTGGACTGCACAGAACTACATGGACAACAAATATATGTTGAACAGGTAAGTTACAGATTGTCTCTTATAAGTTGTTTTCAACTATGTATTACATTTGGGGTAATGTGTTTTTAGGCAAAAAATGATCCATTTAAAAAGGATTCTGCCAAGAAGGAAGTAGAAGAAAATAAGAATGGTGCCAGTAAATCAAATGACAAGCGCAGCTCTACGGGTGCAAAAATGACAAACAAGTGTGTCTTTGAGTCTTACTGCGTATACTTAAGAAGGTTCACAGTAATTTTATTTTTAAATGGACGCTAACCTATTACAGAAGGGAAGATAAGAAATCCTCTGACAAAGATGCCTCAAAGAAGCCTGAAGTAAAGAGTCAATCTCAAGCAAAATCGACCTCAAGTCAAGAGTCTCCAAAAAAGGATGATAAGAAGTACAACAGTAAGTTGTGTTATGTCACAGATGTTTTCCTTTCACAAGCAATCATCTCACACTTTGTTGCAAAGGGGCAAGAAGTCCTGCGAAAATGTCCGGAGCTGGTTACAACAAGGATTTCAATTTTAACAAAACAAGACCATTCAGACGATATTATGATAAGGTATGAAATTGATACAATGCATTTATCAATGTAGCAATGAATGACTGTTATTCTTCTCTAATATTTCACCACAGCCTTATAACAGTATTCAACGCTGGCCCAAGTGGTTGGTTCCTCCGAATGAGGTATTTCAATGCTTACGTTTATTTTTTTATTTTTTTGCACAGATGAATTGTAATATTTTTTTTTTCAGTTGGAACTCTTAAAAAACAGAGAAGATCAAGAAATTGTCCCCTTTGAGAAAATTAAGGAACAAAGGATGCATGAACGCATCCGTAGAGCGGAAGAACTTCGAAGGTATAGATTTCTCATACTCAAGTCAAAAATGTGTATGAAATTACTTTTCTTTACCCAGGCGCCGTCAAATGGCTGAACACGCACGAAGAGAACGCCTGGAGCGAGAGAACTTGTTCCGAGAGCGAGAGAGGCTTGAGATGGAGAGGCAAAAACTGGAGAGGGAGCGTTTAGAAAGGGAGAGACTTGAAAGGGAGAGAATTCGCATTGAGCAGGCAAGTTATTATCTTTTTTTTTGTTTTGACTTTAATGTAATTTTGAATTTCTCTCAGGAGCGACGTAAAGAAGCAGAGCGATTGGCTTGTGAACGAGAGGCTTTACGCAGACAACATGAGCAACTCCGCTATGAGCAAGAAAAGAGAAATAATTTAAAAAGAGGGCGGGAAGTGGAACATGGGTAAATGTACTAATTGTACAAGTCCATATGCTTCCATGTATTAAGACTGCTGCCTTTTCAGTCGTAGAGATGATCCATACTGGAATGGAAACAAAAAGATCCAATCGGATGATGTTCGCTTAAATCCAGCACCTAATTACAACCGGCAACAAGGCAGATTTAACAACTTCAATCTCAGAGAAAGGGGTCGCTTCCCAGAGACTTCAGAGCAGCAATCATTTGAAAGGTATTCTGTGGGTGACATAACGTGACATTTGAGGCCTACTATACAATTTCCCTTTTGTATGCCTGCTATGTATTGATTGCAATTAATTTTTTTTGAAAAAGGAGGAACAGGTTTGATGGTGAGCCACCTGTAAAGAAAGCTCGCCCTGGTTTTGATCGCTTTCCAAAGGACTTTGGCTCAGTTGGTGCAGAACCTTCATATCGTGTTGGGGACAAAGACCACAGGGACAGGGATGAAAGACGGCCTATGCCCATACATGATCGTCCTATTGCAACGAGAACCCCGATGCCGAGCATGTCACACAGTCGCTCACCCAGGGATGGTGTGCATGGATGGAAGAATGATGCTGGCATAAACGCCAACAAGGGAGAGATGCGGTAATTTTTTAAATATATTTTAAAAAACATATATATTATTTATATTTGACTTTTGTTAACGCACTTATTTCCCCCATGTTTATGTATGAAGTGGAACAGCACGAATGAGAGACAATCGACCTGGCAGAGATGGCCTGAGCTCTGCAGTCAGAGGGGGCTCTTCTGGCACCCATGGGAGAAATTTTAATGATCGAGATTCACGACCCATGGGCATAAATGAACAAGTACGCTGCAATCATCAAATTTTTCAAATTGGTCACTTTTTTATAGCAGTCCTTAGGGGTAGGCAATATATATTGTAGACGATAATATCGTAAAAGTGAATTTGAAGATATGCTTTGTATATCGTCAATAAAAAAAAATTCAGATATTGTGACAATATTGTTTTTGGGAGTTGGAAAATTTTTTTTTTTATTTATTGCCCATATCTCACACCCCTAGCAGTCTTTCATATTTTTACTTTGATTTAATGTCTTGTGTAACCTCGACAGCCTTTCAGCTCTGGCCGACAAGTTGTTGTTGAGCGTCAAAATAGAGACCAAGGACTGAGAAAAGAATGGCACGGTGGAGCAGGCTCGCAAAGTGCAGGCTTTGTAGAAAACAGGAGAATGGGAAATGCCCGTGGCAGCATGACTCCCTCTTCTAGGTATAGTTCAAATGACTTTGAAAGATTAACCTTTTTTGTGCTCACTAAACTTGTTTCTCAATTTTAGTCACTCATCTGGAATGAATAGGATTGTACAGATCACCAGCAACTCTCCAAGCGGAGGAAACGTGGGTGGATTTAAACCGTTTAAATCATCCCAACGATATTGATGCAAGGAAAATACTTTTAAAAGTCTGATATTTTTGAATATTCTTAATTTCATTCTGCCAATTAGGTGGCATCTTTTGCATCAGTGGGAAGTTTTACTGTTAACTTTGTGCATAACTTTTTGTGATGTATAGCTGTGAAGGTGTCATAAAGTTCCCTTGTGTTTATTTTTAGTAGATAACTTTTATTTTTATGTATTGATACTTGTTTATCTTGGCTTTGAGTCAATGGAAATTATTTTGAGGCTAAAAGATTGGAGATCTTTACAAACATGAGCTTTGGCTAAAATAGTCTGGAAATGACAATGGCATAATGTGCTCCAGGTCCAGGAGAGCAGGAAAAGGGTTGTTTTAGCGTGTATCATTAAGTATTGCATGTAAATGTAAACAATCTTGAGAACCTGGCAACCCCCCTATTGTTTGTACCCTGGTAGCAGACCAAATGCCACTGACCTTTTTTCATGCGTTTATTTTTTTTTATATACTGTAACTTAAGCAAAATACAGACTGCTGCTTGAAAATGTCTCAAACTGGTCTTTATTTTTTGTAGTAATCAAGCCAAAGGATGAAGGTTTCTTAATGCTTGTTAGCAGATTAAATGTTTTGAGAACCACTGCACTGGCTCATTCAAAGGCAAGTGAAGCACTTATGTTTTAAAGAGTAAAATTGTTTTCTAAATCATGTTGGACAAAGGCAATCACATCCAAAGCTAGACAGTTTGGGTTATAAGATTGAGAAACACTGCCCTAGTGCAGTGTTTTTCAACCACTGTGCCGTATGATATTGTCTGGTGTGCCGTGAGAAATTCGTCTACTTTGTCTAAAAATAACTGCATTCGCTGTTGACGAGCGGTGACTTGTTTTGAACTGTGGAGTAACCATGTAATACTTTTTCAAATCAGTAGATGGCAGCAGATAGCTAAGTACTTTGAAACTGAAAAATTGGATGCGACCACTGGCTACAGGTCAGCATTGTGGCGAGAAAGGTAAAATTGGATGCGACCAACAAATGTGGGAGGGAGCGAGACAAGAGCTTTGTGGCGAGTGAGAAGTAAAAGTGATAGAGACGTTTTTGAAAATGAATTATGCCGTTTCTGAACAGGATTAACATCCTCCGCTCTGCCCCGGGGCAGCTGTGGCCGCGTTGTAGTGGTTTAACTATGAAATGTACAATTTTTGTACAACAGCTCTCGCGAACGCACTTCTGAACTGGGTACCGAGCGCAGACCATAGTCGAGTGGACAGAACCACAGACATGCGGACCGGACAGAACCATGGACTCGCGTTCAGGACCTCCCGTGTCCCTCATCCAAAACTCTTGAATTTAAAGCTCGGATACCTAAATTTTTCCCATGCACTAACAATGCATGTTCTTTGTGTGAGTTATTATTTGACTATTTGGGTAGAGAGTGGATTTTCTTAGTTTTTTTCCACACAGTTAGTGCCACTTTATTCCCAAACTCTTGTTAATTGTATCGAGAAATATTAAATAAAGCTTAATGTCAAGGCCTGGACTTAAGCATTTTGATGAGAATAACTGTATATTGTGAATATAGGCTACAGAGTATACTGTATACATTATAAGATAACATAAACTTTATATATCACACAGAGTATGTACAGTATATATTTTTTTACATTAGTACTGTATACATTTTTACATTTTCTCCTGGAGGTGTGCCGCAAGATTTTTTCAGTGAAAAAAGTGTGCCTTGGCTCAAAAAAGGTTGAAAAACACTGCCCTAGTGTATGAGGCGTTTTGTGTCTACCCTGTTAACACTTGTCAAAATAAGCAGAACTAAGAATGTTCAAATTGTCAATTTAAACTAGTGTAGAGAAAACCCTAACCCTTTCACTCACAGTAATGTTTCAGTTACATTTTAAAGATGAGAGTGAATATCTTAACAATTGTTACTGTCCATTTTTACAATAAGGTTAGAACTAAACTGTTAATGTCCCAGTTTGATTGGCCTACAGCTCTGAAAGTGATAGGCTTTTTTTGTACTTAATTCTTGGCTTGAGAAATAATCTGTTTCTGTGAGTATATGGATTGTCCATGGGATTATCTCATTAATATATTAAATATGTTGAAATGTAAGGCATTACACGACATAATCAAGCAGTAATTCTACCATACATGGACCAACTCACTGCTGTCATGTGACTGCCACTGGAACAGACACATATTTACTTTTATCAAGGCATCAAATAGAATGGAACGCATAGAAAATGTTTCAAGAGACAGTCCAATTCTATTGAAAAAAAAACAAAGCACTGGAATGTGCACCTTAAGGATTTGGATTATTGGTACTGGATGGAACAAGATACACAAATACTGACAAATAGGTTGAACAAGTGAGAGCTGCTTTTCTTTAATTTCATTCTTATTCATATGAAATGTATACAAAGTGAGTGGCACAGTCCACAAACCCAGGAGATAAGAGGCTAAATGTGCTGCATTTGGCTGTTGCAAACTTTTTTTTTGGAGTAATGACCAACCTAATGGGCACAGTAAGAAAAAATGTACCACATAACATACTCAGTTTCTCATTACACAAAAGCAGAATGCCATACCAAGAGCCTGGAAGGCGAATATGAACATATGCACAGGACCACTGTTCAACACTTAATTTGGCAGCTCTGGCATTCCCTTCATGAAGTCAATTTAAAATGTGTTTTTGCGGTACTGTTGTACCAGTTATCAATATTTCCCTTTTTGCGCTTAAAGACCTTTTTCAAAGTGATTGGTTACACATACATAAATTAATAGTTGGCAGCAATTTAAAAAGGGATAGCTAAATGTTTGTGTAAATAGGAATTAATACAATTAGCTTATAAGCTGCATAATGAAAAAAAATAATATATGAGCAAAATTTAAGTGAAGCTGCGATTACACAATTTAAAATAATGTATGATTCAAATAAACTCATCATAAATACTTTGCAAAAATTAGTGCACTGTTATAGTTTGTGTAAATCTACAAAATTGAAGGGGTAGTAGTTGTAGTGTCTCTTTCACTGATGTCCAGAGTGCATCAGGATGAGGACTGCAGGCACCAGTGGTTTGGAAACAGCAAATCCTCCATTAGTCTTTTCACTTTCCCCATATTTGTCTCATTTGTCTTTCATCAGGAAGTTGGTTGTCTTCTGTGTCCAGACAGTGGGGAAACCAAACAAGCCCCTTTCTTATACATAAGCAAAATGCAAAGTAACGGCACACTCACAGAGACTGCCATGTTATTATTGTTACAAAATAACACATTTGTCCTTATCTTTTGCATCTTTCTTTGATTTGCGGTCACTGGAATAAGAGTGTTTTCCTGGGCTTGCAGTGGCCCCAGCTGTGGCTACAGTGCCTACATTAGCTGCTGCACCAGCTGCTCCTGCTCCTCGGTCTGCTTCATCTTGTTCTGCTGGCACCTGCTGGCCTTGCTACAAAAATACAGATACACATCAAAACCCTGCTCAGAAATACATTTATGTAACTTATAATTTAGCAGTTGAACATCAAATCCCATTTGCGATCACCACCTCAAGCCAGTCACAGGAATTGTATGCATTTTTTTTTTTTCCAGAGAAGTCTTGGAAAAACTTGTTTGAGTAAAACGTGTATGGGGACATTTGTCATTTAAAATCTATCCATTTCTTACTTTGAAAATAATTTTGTGATGTCCATATTTGGCCGTGGGCAGCAACATAAACATGAGCGTGATGTCCCAATTTTTCAAAACTCAAGAATGGTGCTTGTAGCCCCCATGGACTGACTTTGTCGCAATGAAGCCCACTTCATCTATACACCGTAATTCGCACTCTCGCCTCTCAGCAAGAAGGTCCTGGGTTCGAATCCCGGTTGGACCAGGGCCTTTCTGAGTGGAGTTTGCATGTTCTCCCCATGTCTGCGTAGGTTTCCTCCGGGTGCTCCGGTTTCCCCTACCACTAAAAATATGTACAATAGGTCTGGCATGTGCCTCCTGTACTGGCACCCCCACTCCCAAAAAATCACAATTGTAAACCGCTTTGAGACTCCGATGTGCAGTGAAAAGGCTGTATATAAATAAAGATTACTACTGCTACTATTACTACTATCAGGAAATGTCTGTGACAAATATTGGCTAATAAAAAATAATTGACTAAGCTGCCCTGGTCCTAGTCCTGTACCATCTGCAATTACCAGTTGGTCCTCAAAGAATTTGTCCTTTCAAAACAGAACTTTTCTGAAAAAGGCAAGCAAAGGTTTGGTATATGTATGGTATTATCTTTGAAGTTTGAGAAAGATGAGTGCTTCAGTGCGTTCATTTTTATCAGGTACTGTTCAGGGTCAGAGGTAAAAAACACTCTAAAAAAACTCTTTGGCCAGAGCCTCCTGAAATATGTAGATAGTCATTACCTGTGCTTGTGCTGCCGCCTGCTCCTGCTCCTGGTAGTACTGAGAGGCCCGTCGGTCCTCTTCCTCCTGGAGCTTTTTTGCCAGCTCCAGATCACTGATGCCTTCAGGCAACTGTTCCCATTGAATATCTTGATTCTGTTGTTCTTGTTGCAGCGACAGAGCCATTAGATAGTCCTAAACGATAGAAAAGAAACCTTTAATTAAAGTACTTATTTCATAGATGGACCTTCTTGATCTGTGCTAACCTGGTCTATCTGATCTTGCTGTCCTCGGTAAACAGACTCTGGATCAGAAGGGGGCCTCAGTCGAAACTCTGAATCACAGAAGTTACCGTCGCCATCAACATTGTGCAAACTCTCCCAAACGACTTTCTCTTCTGTCAGGAATCCCTGATCTGTCACGAGAAGGTAAAGCTGGCCCTGTAGAGAAACATGTGACATGTTTTGTTCAAGAAATGTGTCCATGTGCATCACAAGGTCTTAGATATAGTTTGCACGTCCAGCTTCAGACAACTTTATTTACACTGACAACAACAGCATTGTATAGAAACAACACTGAACTAACCAAGAAACATTCAGTTCCTCTCTGGGAGATAACAGGAAAGGGCTGTTATCCCAGTTGATACAAAAGGCCAGCTGTGTAAGTAATCTTTATTTATATACCGCCTTTTCACTGCAGATCTGAGTCTCAAAGCGGTTTACAATTGTTAATTTTGGGCATTTATCTCTCACTCCACACAGAGATGGGAGCGGGGTCGCCAGTACAGGAGGCGCATGCTCGAACTATTGTACATATTTTTAGTGGTAGGGCAAACCGGAGCACCCGGAGGAAACCTACGCAGACACAGGGAGAACATGCAAACTCCACTCAGAAAGGCCCTGGTCCGACCGGGATTTGAACCCAGGACCACCTTGGCCACACAGAACTATATATTTTCTCCCCATATTCTATCAGGTATTAGTCTTTGTTCCTGGCAGATCAACAGACATGGCAGCTATAAAACTTTTATTATTATTCTGATAATACATTTGGACGCATGTCTGCCAAGGGTCAGACCTGCTTGGAGTGCAGGGGCCCTTCTGTAGCACGTTCTGTGATAAAACTAACATTTATGCACCATGACATTCACTAGAGATATCTTGAGTGACTGATCCACTGTGTGAAGGAGAGGCTCTAGGACTTTCCCTCCAGCTTGTGTCAGACTGTACAAGAAACACTGCTGACCTTTAACAGATAGTTCACCTCAGACTGTCCATTGGAGCTTTTGCCTTTGTACATGTGCCATTCACTTGTAGTAATAATGTCAATACTGCAGAAACTAAGTATACAGGTGAGGCTCAATTAATAACTCTTTTATGACTATTTGCCAAAACACTCTGTCTGTGGGTTCAGTGCAATATGGTCAGAATAGAGCTATGTATGTATAGAGCATTTAAACCAGAAAGATGGTGTCTGTTCACGAGGCACATGCTCTAGTAGATCGTAGACCATTTACCTTATATTTGATCATAGTGCTGAAATGATTATTTCTAAAAAACACACACAGCTCTCCTTCTTGTACTGTGGATGTGAGTTCACATAAGCCGTGGTATGTCAGCTGTGTAGCCGTGCTGCTCAGGAATTGCTCTGCTACAATGCCTGCGGACAGAAAAGATACAAGTACATAAGAAATGTCGTTAAGAAAACGACAAATGGTTTATTCAAATATTTGTCTGTTACTAAGTAACAACAACTGTACAATATAATCCAACCCTAACCCCTTTAGGGTTTAGGTCAAGTTTTTGATGGAGATGTCTAAATACTACTGCACAATTTAGGTCACTATGTGCCTCTATTTAAATTATCTTTTTTATTATTTTACAAATGGTCACATGACAATACACAAAATACAGCTCTTACCTTCGCCTGCTAACTCACTGCTGTCCGACTGTTTGCAGGATATAATCTTTTCAACCAGTTGATTGTAACTGCAGTTTCCCACTGCCTTGACAATGTCCTGCATCTAAAATGAAAACTCATAAGTGAGACAATTTAGAAAACGTGGACAAACAAAAATAGAATGAATGCATATCAAGGCATGCCATCTCACCTGGGGGTCAACCAGCCAGCCGTGATAGAGAGGGATGTCGAGCAAGTCAAACACAATGCATTCTGGGGTGTACTCAAAAACACTGACGCCTGTGAACTTCACATTTACATCAAGGCCGGTCTGTAGCTTGTGGAGCACTGCCATTGCATCACTCATGTTCTAGGAAATAAAGCATAAAACAACCATTACTCATCATGTGTCATTATGGGTGGGACGATACACAAGATTGAGACAAGATTTTGTCAATATTCTGCAAAGTAAAACCCTCACTTTCTCCTCTACTTGAATCTGCTCCACTGCTGTGTGGGAGCCTATCCTTCTCTTTCTCCTTCTTTCTGAAATGATAAACTACTTACAGACGGTTAAAGATTAGCCTTTAGGGTAAAATATATGGAAAATCTGATGTTCTTTACATTATAACAGCAGGAGACGAAAACGAGCCCTTTTAACCCATTGAGGCCGGGAACGCATTCCCGCGTTTCTCCCTCTCAAGCCGGGAGCGCTGTTGCGCACTTCTACCTTTAAGGCCGGGAAAGCGGACACGTCTTTTTTTCTTTTTTTGACCTATTCTCTTCATTGATCAATTCTCTGAACCAATTAAATGTATCAAGATATACCTGTGATGAGAATTATCTGCGGATCCGCGAATTCCGAGACCGTGACCGCGGGCAGTTGTTTGCGTTACGTACTCGAACGGGATTAACATCCTCCGCTTTGACCCCGGGATGCTTTGACAGCTCAGCGAACGCGCAGCCACAGGGGTCTTACCGAGCGCGGACAATAGACGCGCGATCAGGACCGAGGGAGAGACGTGGGAGACCGGCAAGACCCGCATGTGCAACGAGCTCCCTCCCTCGTCTGTCCCCCGTCTCTCCGAATTCTCCTGAAGAAGCGCAGCCAAGACTCAAAATAAAGCTCAGCTACCTACATTTTCGCTTGAATTGACAATGCATGTTTTTTGGGCAAAAAAATAAAATGTGACCAAATCAAACAGAACAAACCAAAACAGTCGTGTTTTGTTTATTATGCTTACTTTAGAAACAGCCTTGTGAGTCATTATTTGACTTTTTGGGCTGAGAGTGGATTTTTTATATTTTTTTTCCACATAGTTAGTGCCACTTAATTGCCAAACTCTTTTTGACTTATTGCATTGATAAACATGTGTTAGTCTCACATTGTTTTTGGTTGTTTTATTACCTTTCCTGTGTGGAAGTTGTATATTCTTCTACTGAAGTTTTATAATAACACACTGCATTCTTATTGAAAGCCACAAGAGTCAGCTCTCAAATTCTTTTGAAATTATGTTTCTATCTGCTACAGAGGCCGAGATACCAATCATTTAGTAGACGTTGAATTTCAGGAAAACTGCAGGTTTTGTAGGGTGGTTCTGAAGTCGGCCTCAGGTTTTGCAGGTCTGTTTTACCAGGCGATGCAGGCCTTAATGGGTTAAATACCAATTATAATTTAACAAGGAAACCCATTGGTTGATTCATGTTGTGAAATTTGCCTTAAAAAGGTCCCATATTATGCTTTTTGACGTTTCAATGCTTTAAACATCATTAAAGTGCTATTTGGCCTTCACACACATGCTCAAAGTTGTTTTGTTTTTTATTGGTTCCCCTTTCTCTCTCATTCTCGAGAGTACTCTGTGATGACGCGGCATGAGCTGGAGAAGGGAATCAGCGCATGCAGCCTCTCTCCTGAGTCCCCAGTCTACTACAGTGGGTGTTTGCTACACATTGAACTCTGCTGTCATCACCGACTAAAAGTGTCAGCATCATGTCAACAGTAAGACACAGAATGTGACTTTACTAATGGGGATCTGCCTCTAAAATCCCCGACTAATCTGTTTTTCTGTGAGCGACACTTTACCAAAGACTGCTTCCAGAACTAGGGTTACCATGAAACTGTACTTACTCAAAGGCTGATCTTGAAACATGGTATTAATCCAACAATAAAGGATGCTAAGGAGGAGCCTAGATGTGTGGGCACAATGCAACTAACGCGTCGTATACTACTGTTAACTAAATAGTACAACTGAGAACATAGGGCTCTACGTGACGGATCAGCCATCGTTGGAAAAGGTTTATTCTCAGGTCTGAAATTACTGGTACCAGTGTCCCATGCTGTGTGTTTACCTCCAAGTCAGCGAGAGGCAACAGTATGTCACTACGCGGGTGGGGGGAAGCGGCCTGACAGGGAAAGGATCAGACAACCAGGCATTTAAATAGAGGTGAGATAACTGCTATGCAAGTAAGTTTTGAGTGTTGCATGGTGTAACACCCAAAATATTATCACAAACATGCTTAGGATGTGACTGTGAAGTCTGTCTCTTTAACGCTTCAGGCAATGCTGTATATTATTTTATTGTAGGTCTTAAATACATTAAAATACAGCTGGTAGATCATAAAATACATTTGTCTGAAAATATAGTTAGAATGGTCTCCTCTGGCTTCCCTTCAATGTCATCTGCCTTCATAATAACTATTAATATGAATTATTCTGGCAATCCAACATAATAACTAATATTCCCCCTGTAATAGAAGCCTACCCTTTCATTCACACTACTTTGAATTTGGACCACCGACAGGAAAAGTCCTCATCTGGCACATGAGAGACTGGATAACAGCGCTTACGGGCAGCTCTCTGGAAGGATTAGCAGCCCAGTGTAATCGACCATATCTCTTTGTTTAAAGGAATAGTATACTGGTGTATATTACTACCTTTTCAATACAAAAGAATAGAAACCCTCTGCATGGCACCGATTGCACAGGTTTACCGAATCAGCTGCATTTCACCAAAGAAACTGGCAACCCAAAAGCCCAATCTGCTGACTATACATACTTTGTTTGAGAAAAACTTGGTCATGTTGTTTTAATTAAGAATTCTTCAGCATTAACTCTTTTGTCAGAACAGCCTGAATATTGATATGTGTATGTTTACTTTGTATGTAGATGACAGCTATGGAAATATATATAACATATTATACATGGATGATTGATACATTTATAATATATATTAATATACATATATTTAATCAAATCCATGAGCGGGAATGTGAAACTATGACATAGGTAACACCACCTTGGTCACAAATCAGGAGCGGCTCTCGTCCCTTCCTGACAGAAAATAATAAAGTTTGCTTCATTGAGGCGTTGGCATCGTCCATCTATAATCAGATCTGTGAATAATATTTCCCCAGGTGAACCAACAAGCGTGAACACACCCCTAGTCTTCTTGAATCCAACATCTTTTACATTAAAGGGAAATTCAGAAAGAAACAAACTGGCAATATGGCTTGTGCACAACTGCTCCCATTTTCACTGTTTTTTTTTTAACCCAGTGCTGTTGAGGAGCCAGATGCCTGTTGTACTGCATTTCCTCACTACTCCTACTCTGTACCTTCAGCTTACCCTGCTTAAAGTGTGCTGCAACACTGAAAGTTCCCAACTGTGGGTTGAATAAATGTTCCCTTTTCTTATATTACGTTGAATGAGTAAATTCCATATTAAACCAATCAATCACAGATGTTTGGGAGCTCTACATCCAAGCGGAACCAGAGACTGGACAGAGATGTGAGGAATAAAACAAGGTTGAGCTGCCAGTGCCTCTTGTGGTGAGCCATATACGTGTAGAGACCAGTAATAGCCTGGCACTGAACCTATTCATGCGTAACTAAGCATTTATAGCTATGTGAAACTACATAATCTGACATTCCTCACCCTTGTTGTTCCCTGGGTTCTGAAAGTTTGATCTTACATAACTGAAACTGATATGGAGAAGGAAAGGCATCACGAGTGTTTGCATATTACAAGTCAGAAACCTTCTGTTACAGATATACAAATTAACCACCAAAGTGCATTTAAAAACACATTTGTGAAAAGTGTCAATTCCAATTTCTCTAAAAGACATCCAGTTTCAGCTGCCATTTGCAGAGTTCAATATTCTTCTCAACAACTCAACTGACTTTAGACGACATTTTCTGATTTAACCTTTGTGCTTGTTTGTTTGTTTTTATTGAGATCCCCATTAGCTACTTAAAATATACAGTAGCTATTCTTCCTGGGGTCTATACAATCCTAATGTCAAAAAAATGAATGTACACCATTTGAAATTATTTTTTTTGCCATAGACACACCTATTCAGGGAATGGAAATATAGACACTGTTATTCTGCTTTTTAGTGTGGTATAGAGGCGAACGTTGAAATTAAAAAATGTTTTCTTGCATGTACAATAAAATATAGCTTTAACGGAAGTGCCTAAGCTATGATTCAAGAAACTATGGCAACACAACTATTATTGAAAAACACAAGTGTGGTGATACACTTTTCATACAAATAACTTTAGAAAGTCAACGTTATAACATTGAAATTAATTAATCAACACATTGTTTTACCTGTTCATAGTTTAGCCGCTGAGCTTCAGAGATCTCTTTTGGTTTGGTTTCGAGAATGTAATCTCCTGTAGATATAACAATGTAATAAATTAAAACAATCTATTTTGTTTAATTAAGTTATTCTAAAAAGTTATTCAAATTAAAACAACATTATTTTATTATTACTCTGTAGAATACAAATTCTAACAGTTTCGTAAACATTGCAGGCTTATGATGCTCTCACCCAAGTACTCCATCAATTGCTCAGCAGTTATAATTTCCATCATTGGTGGCATCTTGACCTGAAACATATTATCATTTTCAAGATACATACTGGATGTCATTAACATATAATGAGAACAGAAAGAAAGTGTATACATTTCTAATGCTTTGTTTCTTAAACAGAAGCTACTCAAGGAGGTGGATGTAAATACTGGGGTTACCTTCCATGCCAGCAGGAGGACATTCATTATGGCGAGTAATGGACAGGGTCCATTCTCATTTTGTGTAATGATTGGCGTATTCTCCTCCCTCCACTTGATCCATTTTATGTGGTATATGGACTGTCCAGCAGAACGATCCTTGGCGCACGGAGGCTTTGCTCCCTCAGCTCCCAGCTCGTTTTGAAGGGCCAAAGGAAGTCCCCCGTCCTCCATCCCCTCACTGTTCAGATCTGAACTTGGACAAGAGTTGAGGTTAGAGAAAGACTCCAAAGAATCTATGCTCCGGGACTCCCCACCGAGACTGGGATCAGGATCACTCGCACTGGGCAAAACCTCTGATAAAGTGACTTCTGCAGACTTTGTGTTGTCCGGGCACAAATGGGTTGGTTTGAGAAGTTTTGTTGAAACATCTTCATTAACAGTCGTAGCATCAAGTTCAGTACATGTGCCATCCTTTTCACGTACGTGGAATTGCTTTTCGGACTTGTTTACCAACTTTGAAGCACCAGCCTCGCTATCTTCAACAGACAGCATCAAGTCGAGCCCCGTCCGGTTACTGATTTGATCCACAGATCCTAAAGACAGTCCGCTCGACTCGCTTTCCTTTTTTGCCTCCTCTTGTAGTGATATGAGCCCAATTGCCTCTTGTCCGTCGCCTTTCCCAGCACTAGAAACAACGACGTCGATACTAACAGCTGATACATTTGTGGATCTGTTGTTGCAACTATCATTGACCAAACTAGTAAGAAGAGCTTCACTATTGATGCATTTCTCATCTGCCCCCTTCATTCCACCGAAACCCGGGACATCTACCATTTCCCCTGTAATAGAAGCACGCAATACGCCGCTTTCAGAATCTCGATGCACATTTGCATTTTTCTCCATTTTGGCAAACAATCTGTCGACAGATCTTAGCTAAATTGTAACAGCAGCTTCGGTCCTGAAGACGCCATGACAACTCTGAGAGTGACGTCACCACGCGAGCTCCTCCAGTGCGCGAGGTACGTCAAGTATCACGTTGGTGCTTTCAAAGACCCTGGGATTTTACGTTTTACTCCAGTGTTCACCAACTTTTTAAAGGCAAATTCTATCTTACCAAAGTGTATTATATAGAAAATCGAAGAAGTCTCTTCTAATCTTTTCACATTATTTTCTTTCCACATTACTTTGACTGATATGGTGATATTGGATAATTCCCAAAGGTCACCAGACAACATCTCAAGTCACATTGTTTGAAAAACATTGTTTGTTATGCTCAGGTCTTTCCCTTTAGACATATAAGTAAGGGCTTTACCCATGTTTCCCATTGCAGGTGGCAGTGCTGGTTGCCTGAGGGGTCTAGAGGTGTGTGGTAAACATGGAACTACATGGTAAATGAATAATCGGAACTTCCGATCGTACACCATGACCCTCCTGGGGGGAAATGGTTTACGGTTATAGTCGTATTATCTAAAGCCGACCCATGTTTCTTGCTTTGTGTCGCTTATCAGCAGGACTAGAAGACGAGACAGGAGAACACAAATTCAAAGTACATAAGTGTATAAATAACACACTAAACATATGTTGCAGTAATTTGAAGTACAGGCACATTATCAAATGTCGAACACAAATTGTTTCACTTCTCACCTCAGTGCATGTAAGTATAACAAAAAAATTACAAAATTGCTTTAGGTTGCAAATAACAAATTGCAACCTAAAGCGAGCCCCACTACCACCTGGTTGCGGGTAGGGTGCACGAAAATATATACCACATTTACATTAGGCAACATTAAAGATAATTAAGATTAAGAGATCCTTTATTCGTCCCACTGTGGAGAAATTGTAGTGTTGCATCACAGTAACAGAAGAGTAGGAATGATGAGCACACAACACAAAATATTAAGCATAGCACAACTCTTTAGTTAAAAGTCAATCAAATAATATAGAATCTCCATATTCAGCATAAAGGAAGCAACGTATAAATTCTCTATACTCTTGCTCGAGATGGGATCAAAGCACACTGGCTCGATTGGGTCATGCAGTTATAAGTCTAGTATAGCACACATGCAAACATGCACATGCACTCACTAACATGTGAATCGAGAATGGGTGTGTCAGTTCATGGCAAAGGCGGAAGAACGAAGGGGCGTCATTTGTGATGGCTCTGCTAATGAGGAAGGGCGACTACCACTATTCCTTTAAGTGAAACAAAACCATACAAGCCGTCGTCTATATTTGTAGTCTGGGTAGTTACTTCGCTTACGGAGTTCCGATATGAAATTTGTTCAACTGCTTGTGGTGTTTTGGAGCCTTAACGACATTACAGGTAAAGCTATGTTTGCCATAGATCATCAGGGAAAGTGTTGCTAATCGGATCTAACAGTTGCGATTAAACTTGCTAACTAAGCTAGCTAGCGTGCTCATGGTAACGCTGAACTAACGACAACTCGCGTGACAGTTGAGATTAAAGTTGGAGCTGTGGAATGTCAAAAGTTTGGTTTAGATATGTACCGCTGCTAGAATAGTGCGTAGGACCAGGATTCGGAAACTGAGCACCCACAATGTCTAAAATTAAGGTTTAGAGATAAAAGAACCTCCGAATCAGCTTTGGTTTTACGTAATTTCAGTTTTATTTCACCGATAGTATAACCATCACAGTTTTGCAAAGAGGATTTCATGAGATGAGTTAACTACTTGTTACTGACAATTATGTGAACATATTCCTTAAATCTACAACTTGCTGTTTATTTTTATTTGTTTTGTATATGTGTATGTTGAACGAGTGACAATAACTAGACAGATGAAGTAGAAATGGTATGCTTGGGACAGCTTGACATTTTGAACGTGTTTTGTGCTGTTAAGAAGATTATTTCTGAATTCATAGACTAGTTTCTACTTGCCTGGTACAGCCCATGGTACAGCCATGTTCTGGGGGACGTCTGACTACAAGTCCCCCTCCCAGCTGTGGAACTAGCTAGATTTCATTCTTTAAAAAAAAATAATGATAATTTTATACAATGGAAGACATAGGTGTATTTTTTTTTTATCATTGTATAATCATTGGGTCTGTTGAGCTGAAAAATGTTACCACTGAACTATTTTGTCAGAGTTAACTCCAGGGAGGCACCTGATTCAGATCATGTGCCCCACACTTGTGCTTCAATTCATACTAAACATGTCTTTGTTCATTGAACAAATGAAATGGTGAGGGAATAAGCCAGCGGGATTAACATAACTAGGTAGTCATGTCAGCTCAATGCATCTGTATTTTCAACATCAGTTTGTCTTTTATACAGATGGGATTGAGCTAATTTCAGTAAGATATACAGTGCAATATTTGACTATAATGGTATGGTAAACTAGACATGGGCATGGTTTATATTTTTAGTTTATTTACATTCTTTTCTCACATTTGATTGTAATATTTTTTTCTGTTTTTAGGTCATTTTAGTAACCGTTTGAACAATTACATTCGCCATTATGAAGGTTTATCATATGACACGGACGCTCTTCACAAAAGTCACCAAAGGGCAAAACGAGCACTATCAATAGAAGACCACATCCTTCAACTGGACTTTCATTCCCATGGACGGTCAGTGTCAACACAACATTAAGTGTTATTGCAGGATACGATACACATTGAAAATATGGAGTAATATTAGGACTGTAACTATGGAAACATGAATTTGCTTAAATAAATGGGTACATTATCTGTTCAAATATCTTGTTTTTAATGGTAAAGCAGTTTTGGCTGAACATAGTGAGCCATTATGCTCATATATATATATTAGTACAGACCAAAAGTTTGGACGCACCTTCTCATTCAAAGAGTTATTTATTTTCATGACTATGAAAATTGTAGATTCACACTAAAGGCATCAACATTATGAATTAACTCATGTGGAATTATGTACGTACAAAAAAAGGGTATGAAACAACTGATAATTTGTCTTATATTCTCGGTTCTTCTGATTACTGCTTCACGCACTCTTGGCATTCTCTTTGTGAGCTTCAAGAGGACCTGAAATGGTCTTCCAACAGTCTTGAAGGAGTTCCCAGAGATGCTTAGCACTTGTTGGCCCTTTCGCCTTCAGTCTGTGGTCCAGCTCACCCCAAACCATCTGGATTGGGTTCAGGTCCGGTGACGGTGGAGGCCAGGTCATCTACTGTTAAAAGTCATGAAAAGAAAGGAAACTCATTAAATGAGAAAGTGTGTCCAAACTTTGGTCTGTACTGTGTATATATGTATGTATGTGTATATATATATATATATATTATATTATATATATATATATATATGTATATTATATATATATATATATATTATATTATATATATATATATATATGTATATTATATATATATATATATATATATTATATTATATATAATATATATATATTATATTATATATATATATATGTATATTATATATATATATATATATATATATTAATATATATTATATATAATGTATATATTTATATGTATAAATATTTATACATATGTATAAAAGCTAACATTTAACTTTTCCAATACATTAGACTGGAAGGATTTTGAAGTATCAGGTGACATGAGGGAGAGGGCCTCAAGTATTGCTCTGTGTTTACCAAGCATTCCACAGTAGTATGATAATCAGTGTAATAAAGTAAATGGTCATCATACAAGAAGCCTGCCCCAGACGTGATCCAGATTACTCATCTTTAAGCCAAAGCAAAAGTTTTTATTTTAAGGTTTTGCCTTATTATGCCTTCTGTGAATATCACACACCCAAACTCTAACGCAAATAACAAATAATAATTATTTAAATGCAAATAATGAGAATTAATGAATATATATTATTATTATTATACAATGTTTTCCATTCAAAACAAAATAATAAAGGTTTATTATTTTCTGTCCTCACTTATTTATTTCCTTGTTCATTCAAAGGTAAATATTTAAAAAATGCCCAAAGAAAATAAATCTTCTTTATTTTCTTTCTGTGTGTGTTTATTTTCTTCATACCTTAATTTATTTCCTTTTTTTTTATTGATTTTCTGTTTCATTATTTCACGACAGACAATTCTTTTTTCATCTTGCAAATCAATGCAAATTGCCAGACTATAAGCCGCTACTTTTTTCTGATGCAGTCAGATCTAGCATTTTTTTCTCAAAATATATTGGTAAAGGACTAAGCATTTTTACTCTGTAAATAAAGGTTAGTAACGTGAGTTAATGTTTGCCTACACAAAGTTCATTGGGTTTTTTAACTTTAGCTTTATTTATTTGACTTTAACAAGTCAACAGTGCGATTAAACACCTGTCGTCAAATCATGTTCTGACCAGTTTAAACCGTTGTTTGCGGCTTATAGTAAAATTTGGACAAAATATACTTTGTTATATTTTTAAAAAATGTACTTTGATATATTTTTAAAAATGTACTTGTTATATTTTTTAAGATGTACTCTGTCACATGTAGCTGGTGCGCTTAATGTCCAGTTCTGCACTTGGTGGCAAAATGTAATACATTCACAAAATCAAAAAGTTGTAACAAAGATAATTAACAATTCATAGCTTGCCTTTCGTGACAACGTAAACATTTTCAATAAAAATTCACCATACTTTATTCTTCTTCTCACAGGCAATTTTACTTGCGAATGAAAAGGGATACTAGTATATTTCACCCAGAACTCAAAGTTGAGGTGTCTGGTTTAGAGGTACCGGTTGATACTTCACACATCTACAGTGGACACATATTTGGTAAGTCTGACATTCTCTATAAATTATCTCAACATTTATTTGTCCTGTTTAATTAATGTTCTACTCCTCTGTAAGACACAGCTTCTATTTATTTGTGTGTTTGTGTTTTAAGGTGAAAAGGACACATTAACTCATGGATCAGTGGTCGATGGTCGATTTGAGGGCTTTATCAAAACGCACCAAGGAACATACTATGTAGAACCAGCAGAGCGTTACTTAAAGAACACCAATGTAAACTTCCACTCTGTCATCTACCATGAAGATGACATTGGTGAGTCCCATCTAACAGAATGTATTCAGGGATCAACAGAAATAAATTGCTTAACAGGTCATGTGTTTGGGATGTGTTCATATAAGAAGGGGACGGTTCGTCTATTTGAGCCAGATCAAACAGGGTCTCAATTTAGTTTTTTTTGTACCGTGTTCTCGCTGCTTTGTCTGGTCTGCTGTGTGTTTTTGTACAAATTTAAACCAGAATTTTTGGTCGAAAAACCTTAGTCACCCTTTCCATTCATACTGAATTCTGCTGGTATGTCGTTTTGTCTCTGCTTAACTCCCCTTTAAACCTGGTCTTTTTGCGGAGCCGTGTTCAGTGTAAACACAGCCCACTAACCCAAATATAGATTAGAACACATGGTTACGGTTTCTGTCTGTGCTGCTTCAAAAATTAAATATATTATTTACCCCACAGCCAAAACTAATGTTGGTAAATACTAGGGCCAGCATCGATTAGAACATTAATTACAGACTTTGTAATTAATTAATTAATTGAAATGTATTGCATATAAATATCTGACCTTTTTTCACAATGATTTAGTCAAATATTTTAAGTTTTTGTCCAACCAAGTCCAACAGACCAGTGCAATTTTTGCCATGTGTTTGTCATAAGCGTAGCAATAGCATATTTAGAAATACATAATACATTTTTACAAGGGCCAGCCCTTATCATCTTCCACTCAAGTGGTCTACAGTCAAGAGCAATCCAGCGAGCCAGGCTGATGTGGACTTAGTTCCCCCGGCAAAATAGCTCCCAACTTCTTCTATTTAGCAACAAAGAAAACAATCGGGCGATAGATCTAATATTATTAATATGACAGAATAGAACGGAGGCAATGTGAGCTATGCAACGATATAACAGCAGATGAAGCCCCAGGCTCAATTGGACACGGTACTGTATCTCTCCATTACATTGTTCAAACGTTCTATCCTCACAAGATTTGTCCAATCAACATTTATTGATACATTATTATAGATAAAACATTCTCTGTGGTTACATTGTAATTTTAAAGTACTGTAGTCCATAATACAATGTCTCCTGGTTCACAGTGACCGCAGACGTCTCCTTACCTTTCAACATGGGTCTTAAAAACCTGCTTTGTGTTTATATTGTTGACACGGGTCCACTTTGCATTTGAACGCTGGTTCAAAAACGCAGGTCTCCAGAGTGAACACATTGCTATTGTTAGCAGTGGATCAGACTCCACTACTCTTCGTTCACAGCTTTTTCAATCAGTATAAAACAGTAGTTGTGATTGGTAGTTAAAGGAAAGCAAATGGACAACTAATACATGTGCATTTACAATGGCTTTTCCCTCACAAGCACAGGGGTTTGTCATTAAACATGTATAGTTTTGTAGTCAATAAACGCAATGATAATTCATTAATACAATATTAGGAACAATCCTTTCCCTTCAACACTTCCATTGTTTCTTAGGAGGTTATGCTTTCAGATGGTTTCTGTCACTTAGAATGTCTCTCTATGGTTTGGTTCAGGAATTCAGGTGTATGATTTCAGGGTGTGGTCATTGTTGAACAGTGCTATCATCTATTCTACACATTTCACAATAACACCATCACACATATTATATACACATTAAATAGTTTTTTTGGGAAAATGTTGAGCTATGATTTTGGTCGTTGTCTTCAGGAGCTAAATGCAATTAATGAAATGGTCTTTTGTCCACTGTGCAAAAGACCTCATGGCGTCTCATGCACAGTCCATAGACTCTCTGTGCGTGCTTTTATTTTACAGATTATCCACATAAGTACGGCTCAGAAGGAGGATGTGCAGATCACTCTGTGTTTGAGAGGATGAAAAAGTACCAAGCATCAGCCGTAGAGGAGCCAATCAAAGTATGTGCCTCACTTTTCCCATATGAAAGACTTAAGACGATGGAGAACGAGGATGTGATTCACTGAGTGCATACTGTACATCTATACACACACTGCCTTTTTATTTAAGGATATTTATTTCATCTTTTCCTTCTTGATCAGTCATTAGTAGTCATTAGGCTGTTTAGACAAGCCTACTCACTAACATAACCACACTCTCCTCTGTCCATGATACTTTTAACTTTATATTTTAACTGTTTTTAAAATGCACTTTTTTACTTGTATGTAAGGCAACCTTGAGTGTCAAGAAAGGCGCCTAAGAAATAAAATGTTTTATTATTATTAGTAGTAGTAGTGTCATCAAGGGTTCACAAACATTGGAATACTTGTTTTTGACAGAATGAGAACTCTGTGACAGAAAGTGGATTTGGGCCTGTCATTTTTAGAGCAAAAAGGGCAACTGGACAAGACAAAAATACTTGTCAGCTCTTCATCCAAACAGACCACAAGTTCTTCAACTATTATGGCTCAAGAGAGGCTGTCATTGCTCAGGTGACATGCTCTATACCCTCATAGAATGGTATGAAAACATAATTAAATCTGATTATTGTTGAACACCTTTTCTCCCACAGATCTCTAGCCATGTCAAAGCTATTGATTCAATTTACCAGGTTACAGACTTCCTGGGCATCAGAAACATCAGCTTCATGGTTAAAAGGATCAGGGTAAGTGTATTGCAATGTCGGCAGTTGCAAAAATGTATTGTTTACTTAGTCAGTCTCACGTCTGCCTCCGCGGCTCAATAATATTTATGCATTGGTTTTATATACTGTGTTTTTGGACACTCGAAGACCATTTTTCACTCTGTGCACCGTGATATAAAGCTATTAGCCGCAGCTGCCCTGGGGTAGATTGACAGAAGTAAGGTGACTAATCTGTGTTCTGACACACACACCAGACTAATACACAGGCACACATACCAGACAAACACGACAATATGTTGGAGGCGTACAGCATCAGATGTCCCACTGCGGTCTCCCATCACCCACCAGGCCCTGTCCCTGCTTGCAAGCAAGTGGCACGACAAGCATTTAATTGAGAAAGGAACATGCATAGGCTACAACAATACTATTCACCAATATAGATTTTTTTTTCTAAAAATAGTGACTGCTGTGGTAATAACAAACAAAGGTGTACATGTTGGCAGTTTGAAGCAGATAATGACCAGTGCTGAGTCCAGGACGGAGACCAAGCAGGATAATGGGGTGACAGTCAAGGCAAATGTATCTTGGGAAAAGTGAACCATTTCAATTATGTAAAGCTATGGAATCCTTTTGGACATTTTCAATGTTCATGGGACCATGGAATTTTAATTTGCCCTTTAAAAAAAATATGATCCACTGTACTTTTGAATTTTGAAAAACACATGGTTCATATACAGACAGGACAGGGATCACATAACAGGGTGCTGTACTACTGTACTGCTCCTGACCAAGGCCCTATAGTGGTATTTGCAGGATGGGTCAAATGCAGAGGACAAAGTTCCCAACGGGGGCTAAATAAAACTGAAACTATACAGAAAATGTATGTGCACTTTAGTTATTTTCCTTTTTGTACATTGCAGATAAATACCACAGTAGATGAACGTGACCAAACTAACCCATTTCGCTTTGCAAACATTGGTGTGGAAAAGTTTTTGGAGCTGAACTCTGAGCAGAACCATGATGACTACTGTTTGGCATACGTCTTCACTGACAGAGACTTTGATGACGGAGTGCTTGGTTTGGCTTGGGTAGGCGCTCCTTCAGGTCAGTATACGATGGCAATCTATATAAAAATGTGTTTGTTCACCGCAAATGGGGTGTGGTGTGTATAGAATTTAGATACCCTGCCTTCTGGATTTTGGAACTGATTCAAACAATCGAATCGAACAGTGCTTAACTTGTTTCAGTGCTTGCTGTACTATAAGCCGCTACTTTTTTCAAGTTCGTGGGACCCTGCAGCCTTCATGGCGAAGCAGCCAATGTATATTATTTGTATTGCTCTCCACAGCGGATGGTGTAGCACACAGTCCTGCTTGCCGGCGTGTTTATATGGAGAGCGGCACTACAAGGAAGTTCAGGGGAATTCACAGGACTGTATATATTAACGGACGTAGTCACGCCTATCTCCGCGTTCAAACAAATGGGCCAAAAATTGTGCTCTACTGGAGCTATCCAAAATGGCCGTGAGTGGTCCCGCCCACAAGAAAATTCTGAAAAAACGCATCTGCGCATGCGTCAGCGAGAGCCCCATTCATTTGAACGAGTGCCTTCAAAAATTCACAGCGACTAAACCAAAGTGGTCCAAAAAAATTCACTCCCTTCAGCATTGACACACATGTGGAAAGGAGCTTTGGGCCAAGAGCCAACTTTTGGACCATCTTGTAAAGACGTTTTCGAGAGGTCACTCAGTGAGTGGATAGCACTCTCGCCCTTCTACAATAGGTCTGGCATGCGCCTCCTGTTCGGCGACCCCCACTCCCATCTCTGTGTGGAGTGAGAGGACAAGTGCCCAAAAATAACAATTGTAAACCGCTTTGTGACTCTGGTCTGTGAAAGGCGGTATATAAATAAAGCTTGCTTACTTACTTACTTACTTACTTCAGCAAGAAAGTTCTGGGTTCGAATCCCGGTCGGACCAGGGCCTTTCTGAGTAGAATTTGCATGTTCTCCCCGTGTCTGCGTAGGTTTCCTCCAGGTACTCCGGTTTCCCCGACCACTAAAAACATGTCCAATAGGTCTAGCATGCGCCTCCTGTACTGGCGACCCCGCTCCCATCTGTGTGGAGTGAGAGACAAATGCCCAAAAATAACAATTGTAAAGATTACTTACTTTGGTCACCTAATGCTATATGTTAGCATTGGCTAATTCTTATTCTGGGTCCACCCCCATCGGCCCGGGGTGGTATTGCAAGCATGTCAGCACACGTCATTTTGGCCACTTTTGAGCCGGGACCCGCCCCCACTAGTTAAAACACTGTCATTGTGTTATTTTGTTTCCAGTTAAAACAGTCATCCTCTTAGTTACAAAGCCTCATGAAAACCGGCAGCTTATATTCAAGTACCTCCTATATGTGGACAAAAATTACTTTCCCTTGAAATGTAGCTGGTACAATTAACTACAAAGTCTCTTAATAGTCTAGAAAGTACTGTAATCTATTAATGGAGAAATTTAAATAACTTTTTTTTTAACATTAAATCAGGAATAGACTACCTGCTGCTTGTTTTGAACTTGTATATTACCTTGTTATTCTGCGTTAATTCCACAGGTAGTTCAGGGGGAATCTGTGAGAAAAGCAAATTGTACTCTGATGGGAAAATGAAGTCTCTGAACACTGGGATTATCACTGTGCAGAACTATGCTTCCCATGTCCCTCCCAAAGTGTCTCATATTACCTTTGCTCATGAAGTTGGACACAACTTTGGATCACCTGTAAGTACTGTACTGTCCATTTCTTGTGCCCTTTATTCACTATAATATGTTAAATGTTTTTGTGACAGCATGACTCTGGAACTGAATGTACTCCTGGAGAATCTAAGCAGCAGGAACTGAAAGAACGAGGCAACTACATAATGTATGCACGGGCCACATCTGGAGACAAGCTCAACAACAACAAGTTCTCCATCTGCAGCATCCGCAATATCAGTGCAGTTCTTATGAAGAAGAAGGACGACTGCTTTGTTGGTAATCAAACACTATTGACCACATTTCCAGAAGAAAGTTGATACCACACTCTGATTTTCAGTTTTATGAGTTTTCCACAGTTCTGATTTTCATTCACAAATTTCACAGAAAATTACAGAATAAACAACAGCAACAAAGTTGCATTCAATAGAGGAAAATAATAGAGTGGATTAAAATAAACTATAAAATACTCAAATTTTTCACACATGGTATTTCAGCAAAAAACTATTCTGTGCTAAAAACTGATTGAATTTGAATTGCCAGGATTAATTATTTATTTGATAGGAAATTACACTAACCAGATGTGTCTTCAAGTTACTTTTCATCTATATTCCCCATTATGAAACTTGTGTTCATTCATTTTCTGTTCTCTTACTTTTATTTTCTCATTTCAAGTTAATTAGTTTGTTCCCAAACCAAATATCCAATTTATATTCTTGTACTTCACACGTGTTCACATGAACCAGGATTTCTAGTCTCCAATGATTTTGGCATTTCTAATTATCTAAAATCAAACTGAATTCGTTTTGAGTGCTTTAATTCTTGTTCAAAATGAAACAAATCAGAAACATTAACCCTAAAGTTGTGGGAGTCTAATGTCTGGATCTGGAGGATTTGCGTTGCAGTTCTGTTGTTGTGTCCTTGGGCAATGAGACCATGTACTGTGCTCAATGCAGTTTTTTTTCTTTTTTCAGTTTCTGGTCAGCCAATCTGTGGGAATGGTCTAGTAGAGGCAGGAGAAGAATGTGACTGTGGCTACAGCGACCAGTGTAAAGATACTTGCTGTTATAATGCAAACGAGGAAGAGGGCAAACGCTGCAAATTACAACCTGGGAAACTGTGCAGGTACTGCATATCAATAAATCATTATCAAGGAGATAGAACAATCAATTCATTCTAAATACTTTTTATATTTATTATATTACTTATTATTAGCACTTAAGCATGTTAATAACTGAGTGCAAACCCATTTTAAAGCTGCCAATTACTTAGTTGTAAGTATGTATTATGACTGATGTATACGTGTGGTCCATATTGAGCTGACTAGCACCTGGACGCACAGCACGTGCGGGGTTCTTGTGCATGCTTCCTCATTGCAAGTAAACTATGACATTAATGCGATTAATCACAATTTGATATTTGAATTATTTGACATCACTACTTACTATGATGTTAACTAGATATTATTGGAATTAAATTACATTATTGTTTTCTTTGTAGCCCAAGCCAAGGCCCATGTTGCACTCAGCAGTGTGCATACAGGGACACAAGTTTCAGATGTAGGGAAGATTCGGAATGTGCAAAAGAAGGAATGTGTAATGGCGCCACAGCTCTGTGTCCTGCCTCTGAACCAAAGACCAATTTCACCTCCTGCAATTCAGATACACAAGTTTGCCTCAATGGTGTAAGAACTGGTTATTCTAAAAAAAATTATTTAGAAGTCAAGGCATGAAGTCAAAACACTATTCTTGTTCCAGGTCTGTTCTGGCTCCATTTGTGAAAAGTATGGACAGGAGATGTGCACCTGTGCCAGTCAAGACGGCCAAGATGAAGCTGCCGAACTTTGCCATGTGTGCTGCATGGAAAAAAGTAGGAGTCTACAAAACACAGCATAATTGGACAATATTGTTGTTACACATGTATGTCAGCACTTAACAATGTTGTTAACCTGCTCACTTTCTGTCCTCAGTGACCCCGAGCACCTGTGCCAGTACAGGCTCAGAAAGATGGGCAGAGTATTTCAACAAAAGTATTAAAACACTGCAGCCTGGTTCACCCTGCAATGACTATAAAGGCTATTGTGACGTCTTCATGAGATGTCGTCTAGTTGATGCCGATGGGCCATTGGCACGGCTCAAGAAAGCAATCTTCAATGCTCAGCTCTATGAGAATATTGCGGAGTGGATTGTGGTGAGTGACTTATTGAAGCATATAACAGGTTCCTGTGTTAATTATGACAATAAACTGTTTATATGCTATGTGCTGTAGGGTCATTGGTGGGCCGTGTTGTTGATGGGTATTGCTCTCATTATGCTTATGGCGGGCTTCATCAAAATATGCAGTGTGCACACGCCCAGCAGCAATCCAAAGTTACCTCCACCAAAGCCGTTACCAGGTGTGGTAAATATATATAGTTTGGTTGTCCATTATTTCAGCATGCAAATAAAACAAGTTGCATTTCTTGTGAACCCTTAACTAGGTACGTTAAAAAGAAGGCGGCAACAGCAGCAACAGGGCCAGCGGCCTCGCCAATACAGAGAGGATTATCAAATGGGACAGATGAGGCGCTGAAATGCTTCTCTGCTCATTGCCTTGGTCTTTGTACTGTATGTGCCTACAGTGAGAGCAGTTTCCTCCAAAGATTTTTACATCAAAAACTTTTTTTGACAACGCATGCCTGTTCCTGATGATGGAACTAGGGCCACTCCGCTTTTATCAAAAGAGACACTTTTACGAGAATGATATGAATGTGCTCTTTTTTTCCTCATTTTTGTATTTGTTTTGTCAAACAGGTGAAGGGGAGAATAATCTATACTTTTGCACTTGCTTGCGGAGGTCTTATGGCCACAATTATATTTAAATGTGCAATTCAATCCAATCCTTGCTAACATTCTCTTTCTCAGGATAAACCTTTCACCATTGAGTATACTGGCAGACCTTGTCCATCTTAGTAGATTCATTTATTTTGTTCATCTATATAATTAAAGTTAAGCTCATGCTATAATTTACTTTTACACATATATCATTGTCTCTATAAATGAACATAATAAATCAGTCAAGAGTCACCTGATGGTTCAACATGTGAGACGATAACACACGTTCACATCAAAAGGCGAGTTGAAACGGCTCTGTTTACACAATGGCCATTGCCTCTTTGCAGCCGGGGATACAATTAAAACATTTTATAGACGGCTCAGTACCGGTACGATTGTACGTTAATCAAAGTGAGCCACGGAGCCAAGTTTGTCGCCACTTCAGAGTTCGGACTTAAACAGGAACAGGATTGTATTTCATTTTTGAAAGTAAAGCAAACTTTGAGTCTTAAACACATGTATTGGAGTTTGTAAATCAAAGAGAATTTGATCGATTGAGACTTGATCAATTGAAGTAGTTGACGATCAATTTGTCTTTTTTGTTTATCTTAAAAGTTGTTGTTTCTGTACCTCATTCAAAGTATAGTATTTATATTTGCTGACGGTGAACCACCACAATGCCCTAGCCAACACTGGACTTATTTTACTTATATGTCTGAATTCTGTGTAATTGTACATAATTTTACAGGTGCCTACCTATTCACGGGTTTCAGAAATGTGAAATAAGGACCGTCAAAATGGTGCTTCACAACTTTCAACTATCTATATATTTTGAATAAGTGCAAAAGTGCATGAAAGAGAAATCTGAAACTCATGAATAGCAGTATGAGTGAGTAGTTACACTGATGCCAGCATAGTTTTTGTTGACGATTAATGACTGTTAATGACTATTCAAAATAATCACTATAGATTAGTCTTTTCAAGAAAAATGCTTCTGTGGTTTCCCCAATTCTGTTGTTTGCACATTATGATATTCTATGCAAGCAGCTTGGTGAAAATGGTGAATTTTAGCCTCTTATTCATTTTGGTGCTTCTTTAACTTTTCTTTTGGGGTGATCTAAAATATTTTATTTACATGCTTTTGAAATAATTCTTATGTCTTTATGAAGTTTTATTTCTTGTTACGTTTTTAAGTTTTCTTGGCTGTGTGACTTGCGAATTGCACTGAAGTTGAGCAAAAGTAATCAAAAAAAACTTTCACCGCTGTATTTGTTTTAAAGTTATAATAAATATTTTGTTATGTTGTTTTTATTGTCTTTATTGTCTATTTTACTCCTTTTTAGGGCCATGTTTACTTTTTCCAAAGTACTTAAGTGAATCCTTGAAGTAAAAAAATAAAACAAGGTTCATATAGCCAACTGGATAATAAGAGTGCGTGCTCATCTTTTTAATTATAGTAAAAGGATCATCTCGTAATGTTAAAGTGGTCTGTCCACTCTCACCTCCCACATGCACATCAAGTTTCACCTCAGTATGCCGCAATCTGCTAACAGACAAACACAAACGGACTGAGACCTATAATAGACCCATGACTGAGACATGTTGGTCGAGCCATAAATCCATGGGTCATAATCATAATGTTGAGTAGTGACATCAGAAAAGACCAAGTCTGATACTGTATGTGCGTGAATGGTGGGTGAGGGATGGAGGGTTAAAGTGACAGCCTCTAATCTGTCCAGGTCAGCTGTGGCCACAGTAGTTAAGCTCCACAATGTCGCAGTGAACGAACGAAGTTTAAAAACTCTGTGTGAAGTGACGTTAACGACGTTCAATAAGCTCTTTTTTTCTTTTACTAGATGATTCAGGAAATGTAGGCAACAAAATATAAAAAAAACACATGACATTTTTAAAAGTAAAAACTTATTTTTAATAAAAATACAAAACAAAGTAGATCATACAAATTTCCTTTTTACATATTTTAACCACACCTTAAATATTGCTGTGCTTTTTCCTGCGCACTTTGATGGTCTGCTCTTTGCAGCGCACAAACACCTTATCCAGGGACGGCTGCACCTGCTGACCGTCTGCCAAGGCACAAAAACACGTCCTGCAAGAAATAATTTAAGTGAGTATCAAGTGTGTAGACCAGCCACCAGAGGGCAGTCAAACTGCATAGCTTTCTGGTATACATCCATGGATACATCAGGGAGGCGCGTACGGTTTCAAATATATGTTCAATGTTGTTCACCACTTTGCCTCATCGACTCTTTTGAATTTTGTATCGTATTATAATATCGCCACCTGTTCCAAAACACACCTGGAAGGGGTTTGACTCCATCAACGTTATTATCAGAAAAACGTTGCTCATCATCAGGGCTGGACTGGCCATCGGGCGTACCGGGCAATGCCCGAAGGGCCGATGCCCATATTTGGGCCGGTCTGTCTGCCTCATACAAAAACATGTTTGTGAAAAGTGTAAATCCGTTGAGAACTGTTCGAGGGGGCGCGCGTGTCCGCGGGGCACCTGCTGTATGTACTCAAACGGGATTCCACCACCTCAGCGGCCGCAGTGTTCCGGCATCCAGCGGCTCTGAGCTGGACGCGGGAACCGCTCACCGGGAGCCGCTTACAACACAACACACTGAGCGCGTAGCCGCAACGTGACCATGTACCCAAGACCATAAACGCGCACAGGACCATGCATGTCTTTGCGTAATTTGTGCACCCAATAAATACACTGCTGCAGGAAAAAGTCCGCGTCTCCCCTCTCCTCTCGAAGTGCGACTAAATTAAAGCCCGGGTACCTAAATTTTCCATTGCATTAAAAGTTCATGTTTGAGCCCAAAAGTAAAATGTTGTGAACAAATTAAACAGATTTAGAGCCAGCTAATGGCTGACAATATGCATTTCAGACTTTTTTGACCAATTCTCATCCCTGTAACAAACAATAGTGTTGTCTGTGTCCACCTCCCTCACTCTGAGACATGTTTATTACTCTCTTGTAATGTAGACTATTGCACTTTATTTTTTTGTTGAAACTACAGACATCCTGATCCTCTACAGTATGCTTCCACATACTGTATAAACCAGGGGTCGGCAACCTTTAGTGCTCCTCCAGTGGCTCCTGGAGCCTTTTCAAAAATGTCTGAAAATGGAGTGGGAGGGCTATATTTTATTCCTAGTTTGAATGTGGTTTCTGTGGTAGGAAAAATATTCCTAACGTATTTCAATGCTGTAAAAAATGTGTATAAGTAATATTCAATTCCAACATTTCTGTCAACGTAGTGCGTCATATCCTGTGACGCGGCCCCGCGCCAGGCGGCCGCTGCTGTAAACAAACCGGCGTGTGTGCACGGATCCCAAAGATAAAAAGAGAACGAGTCGATAATAAGACTGGACTAAGAACATGACTGAACATTTGCTTTCAGTCAATGAGGAAGGACTGCTTCATGTTTGCGATGTAATAGGAAGTTTTGTTGCAACACGAGGAACAATGAAGCACTAAATACCGTTCACAGGGATTACGTGAAGGATTCTTTCACACAAAATCCGGAGCACTTTTTTCAGACTTCAAAAACCTCCGCAAAGACTGTGAAAGAAAAGGACATTCAGCTCCAGCAAACTTCAGCCTGTGACGTGATCGATATTAGCGGACAGTGCAGGTGTGTGACCTTTGAGCCAAAAAGCAGATTTATTTACTGTATTTCTACAGTTGCATGAAGGCAAAAAAAATGGAAGTCAAAGTTAAAGCAGAGTCATCACGTGGTGCGTCATTCTCTCCAGGACACGCTGCAGTGAAAACACACATTTGACAATCATGAATGCTAATCATGTATTTGTAGCCTTTACTTGGTCATTTAGATAATAGGCTAATGTAGCTACATTGTGTAACCTTCATATAAGCTTTATACAAGGCTGTTATTTTTTTGCGGCTCCAGACAGATGTTTTTAGTTTTTTGGTCAAAAATGGCTCTTTGAACCTTTTGAGTTGCCGATCCCTGGTATAAACAAACTGTAAAAAAGTGACAAAAACATGCCTGGGCCGGTAAGAAGGAAAAAATGCCCGGGCCGTTTTTTTGTCCCAGTCCAGCCCTGCTCATCATACAATCTCATCAAGCTTTGGCGAATCACTGTGACGTCAGGACTGAATCATTTCCTGCCCTTTACACCGAAGTATTGCCTCTATATGAGTTGTGAATTTTTTCTGTCATGTCAAGTAGTATATCTACAAGTACACTACGCCATGTTAGATCTATAAAGTAGGCAGAATATAATGAACTCACTTCTACCACTGAATGAGAGTATTTCCTTGTTCTAAATATCTCAATTTTTCATGAGTCTCTCTAACATTTTACAAGCGTTCTGTCATATTTTCGAAATATAAGTAAAAGTTTTATCTCAGTGTCTCGTGTGATGTGAAAAGTACCTGTCTTGTGTCTCCCCAGCTTTGACACTGATCCTCCCCATAGTGAGCATAGGTTTGCTGCTTCCACCGCTCCAGGGCATGATGGTCTGCACACGGTCCCACATGTTCCTCCAGAGGGCAGGGCCCTCCCAGTGTATCTTCAGAAACATCAGTTCTCCCAGGTCTTTGTCGAGGGTGAGGAGAAAGGTAAATGTCCTGTTGCCTGAAATGTCCTCAGTGCTGTACACAGGAGTAAGAGGTGCAGGTTATTCCCTTTGTACAAAGTCTATTTTTAGTCTAACTGGAAGACCCTTTATGCTTCACATACTTCTAAATTATTTATCCCACCAACGCTTTGATCTCTCTTTTATACTGCAGCTCCACATGTTTCATGGGTCAGTTGTTTCTATCCCACTTTTGCACTTTTTCAAAGTGGGATGATTGCTATTTTATAATTTACTTCCTGAAACCTTCAGTATAAACCAGTAAAATAATCAGATGGTTTTTTTAGAACTGAGACACACAAAGGCTAATCATGTATGTATTAAAAACATTGATATTTTGTAGAAATTGTGACAGTTGATATACATTTTCAAAATCAATATGGTAGCACGGTGGATGGGTGGGGTGCGCTCATGCCTCACCGTATGGATTTCATGGGTTTGACCATGTTACTCTTTGTGTCGGGGAGGGTTTCCTCCGGGTGCTTCAGTTTTCCCTCGGCACCCAAAAGCATGCAACAGTGTAAATATCTTAAGTGTGTGGATGACTGAGGTGGTCGAAGGGTTCAATAGCTCAGATTACGGCCTTCTTCAGGCTCTGCAGTGACAGTGTAGCTCAGAAATAGTTTATTATAAAACCTAGTGGCTTTAGGCGAGGTCATCTTCTCTTGTTTGTTTCATAACTTCATTACAATAAAAAGAAAATGTTAACTACAGGAGAGGTCTTTTGGAAAAATGCATTCTGTGACCAAGGTTTTAAATAATGTTATTTCTAATCAACCGTATTTTATGTATTATAAATTGCAGTTTTTGTCATAGTTTGGCCAGGGGTGCGATTTACACTCTGGAGCGATGTGTGAAATTATTACATTTTACATTTTATTTATCGTAAAAAAAAAACAAATAATAATTATAATAATAATATGTTCTCAGTTTGTTTTTCATGTGTCACATAACATACAATTATTCTGGCTGTTGTTCTCTATTCTATTTTTTATATAAATTACCTTTCAAGATGAAATGTCTTTTCTTGGTGTTGGATTTTATCAAATAAATCCCCAAAAAATACGACCTATACTCAAGTGCGACTTATATGTCTTTTTCCTTCTTTATTATGCATTTTCAGCTGGTTTGACATATACTGATAAATAATCCAAAAAATATGGTATCTGATAAATGAAATTTTACTGAAATTATTAACATGTTCAAAGTTGTTGGCTGCTGTACTTACAATGTAATAGGGATATCTCCACTCTCCTCTTTGGTTCCCGTGAGAGAAATGGTGAGAGACGGCTCCATTTTGTCCATTTGGTTTATGAACTGGACCCTGAACTGAGAGTGGAAGACTGCACGGAGAGAACAGGAACATCAAACATACAAAAGAGGACATGATTTAAGATACAATTGTAAGATAATTAATCATAATTTTGAAGCAGAATAAATTGGGTATTTGTAGAGTAAGCTACATGTAACTAAAAAGTTATTTTATTGAATTAGAATTTTAGCTCAGTATTTGAACTGAAGAATTTAATATTTTAATACATATTTTGCTTAAAGCTGTGGTACCTGATTCTAAAAGTAAAAAAAACCCTCCATCTACTTGCTCTCACAACATCTCTAGTGTTGAGTGTTAGCATGGCCTCTATTTTTCATACAGAACATAAAAACTAAACTATAATTCCCAAATGTCCTTTGAGAATTTACCACTAACTCTAAGATTCTGCTTAACTTTTATCGCTGCACCGTTGAGAGTTTACTTGTTGGTTCTGTGACTGTGTGGTTTGGAAACATCACAGATAAAGAAAAGAGAGCTTTAAACAAGGTGCTCCGCTCTGCAAAGAGGACTGTGGGCTGTGAGCTTCCTGTTCTGGAGGTTCTTTATAAATCCAGACTTTTAAACAGAGCTCTTAAAATCATCAATGACTCTTCTGGCCACCCTGGGAAAGCCATGTTCCAGCTTCTTCCCTCTGGCAGAAGATATCGGTCGCTGAGATGCAAGACATCTCGCTATGCTTCTTTCCACAGGCTGTTAGGTGCCTAAACAGAGCACTTTAATTCCTGCTTTTACCCCTTGTATCGTTTTTGTTGATCGGTGCCACAGTGTCAGCTGTTTTTTTTTTTATTCTTTTATTTTCAGTGTATGTGTATTTTATATTATATTGTATTATGCTCTTTATTCTGTCGGTGCACACAGAGTACCTTTTTTGCAAATGTTCTCCGATGTAGTTTTTATACTGCACATGGCTAATAAAATGAATCTGAATCTGACTCTTTAACTGAGATTCCAATAAAAAAATGTTCGGATGTAAAATTTTCAATTATCATCAAGCATATCTAAGCATTTCTTTTTTTCTTCCCAGCTTAACCGTAAAAAAAAATTGTATGTGTTTTGTAAGTGTATATTCACGTTTATAAGGCATCCGGGAGCGTGTCTTGAGGTAGAGCTTCTTGCTTGTTCCAGTTGCCACTTTCTTGATGTTGTAGCCCAGTGTGTTGCAGCGGTTTTTGCGGCAGTCCAAACACACGCCTTTGTCAAACGCACTGTTGTCGCTGCACCTATAGGCCATGCTCTGCCGATCCTTGTTCAACACAGAATCTATAAAAAGATGGACCGATCTCTCATGGGCACATTTCATCGTCTGTTGAAAACCTGAAAAACATTGGTTAAAGATTTACAGAAAAGTAAATCTAAGTTTGTAAACTATTAGTTGTTTGATTAATTTGCTCTCTGCTATTTGGCTTCTTCTTCTTGAAAATAATCAAACAGAGATGGAAGAATAGAGGAACTATTTGGATGATTTTTATTTCATAGTTATTTTTTTGTGGTTTTTCAATTTGGGTACTTCAGCTTTAAGAATGAGTTGATTAATGTCATACCATGCAGGCCATACTCGGAGATGTGATCATAAATGTTGTGCAGGTCACATCCTGGTTGGAAGTCTCCTCCGTTTGGATAAAAATCGAAGTGGGCCACTGCTTGTTTGATACCAACACTGAGGCCCATTCGCTCACGAGTGAAAGTGTGAATCGCGTCCACAAACTCTGCATCATCTGGAGACAGTCTGTCAGTGGGGGACATGCCTTCAAACAGCGGACCAGCTGGATCTAGGCCTGGGCAGATTCATCACATTGATTTAATTCAAGTTGTCATAAACGCATTGGAAAGATATAATAAGGGAAAGTAGTTTCAACCTGTTATTCTTCCAATCTTTTCAGTAGGATTCATATAACTCCCTGCAAATCCAGAGATGTGGGCTCCAAGACTGTAGCCAATTAAATGTACCTTCTTGGCTGGAAACTGGAAAAAGTCCTGTGCAACGTTCACATAAATAAATACGTGAATGTATAAGTAATCCACAATGTATAGTTTTAGTCGCCAACAACAACCTGACCTTGAGTAACGTGAGAAAATAAGCAAGATCTTTTCCAATAGTGCGGGTGCTCTGAACTGCTATGGGGTAATGCTGATGAGCCAGATTGAGCCAGTCTATAATCACCACGTTCACATCTTTCACATTGTTTTTCATTGTAGTGGCCAGCCTCAGCACCCAGCTCTCCATCATTCCATCAACCTGAAGCGAAGAACATCTTAGTTAGCGGATGTAGTATTCATCAAAGGATATGTTTCTATTGGATAAGATTCTATATTTAATTAATAATACAAGTTTTAGATGTGCCCCAAAGTCCACCTTTCATGTGAACGTGAGCCAGCTGCAGATGTGGTATATTTTGGCTAATGCTTGTGTTTTGTGTGCCCTGGTCAGACGCAGTGAAGTGGAAGAGCTGAGAGGTGACCTACCGACCACCCGTGAGTGATGATGATGAGGGGATTACTGCTGTTGAAGCCGCAGGAGGTCAGTGTGTGCAGCTGGGCCAGATCCAGGCTGCAGGTGTCTTCACCTTGGAGGAAGAGCCCGAACACTGCACTGGGGACATAGGGCTCTCTGAAGCTGAGGACCACACTCCGAGACGCATCCTTCACTGAACACACACACCAGCCCTTTAATGAGCTCATGTCGAGGAATCCAGATAAAAACACAAGAATTCAGCTTTAAGTTTAGAGTTGTAGCACACTGAGACATAACATTGAGACATAGCACATATTGTTTTCACTTTGAAAACAATAGATCATTATTGATAAATTCCCCATTAACAAATAATAATAATTATAAAAACAAGTTTTCATTTCATCTGACGGTGAATATTTTTTTTATTTTTACCATTTTACTGATATGTTTGAATAATTACAGTCAATGTAGTGCAACCCTATAAGTACAACATATTAATATCATAAAAATGAACAATGCATCAACCATATACAACAAATTACATTGTTTTTATATTTGATTTTTTACTTAGAAGATTGCACTGCATTTCAAGATATTAGTAGATTGATCAAATGAGTGAATTGTTCCAAGGGTACACACAGGGACCAACACGGGTGTTGACCCTCTGTCCGATTGAGCAAATAGTCCAAATAGAATAATATATTTAGTCATTCTATATTGGTTCAGAGTATGACATTATGGGTATGATAATTCAATGAAGGCACATAGTCACATTGTGAATTATTATTACAGTTATAACTTTTTTCAGAATTCCTTTGAAATGCTTTTCAATTCGAGCCAATCCTGTTCAGTCATTGCCTTGTTTGATCGATTGTTGTAAGAAGTTCCTATCATAATGTATTTGAATGAGACTTACCTGCTTTTTGTCCATGGAGCTTCTTGGCTTCGACACAGTGCAGCGTGAGCAGCAGGCAGAGCAGGACTGTGCCCACAGACATTATAACAGACATGTCCTTCAACTCCTGGACGAGGAAAAACACTCAGTCCAGGTCCCAAATGACAGATAACTTGTTATTCTCCCTACATGCGTTTGGTACAGTTTTGTTATTGTCTTCAGCTAGAAATTAACTATGGTTTTATGTACATAAAAGTCAGGAGGAGCGGGGTAATTTCTCGGATAAGACCAGAGCAGTTCTGATTGGCTGGAAATGTGACTGTGTGTTCAAAGATTGGGAAAGAGTGCAGCTATCCCATGGGGCGTTTGCACATGGCCTCTTGTTTTAAGTGTGTCTCCTGACATTAGCCAGAAGGCTGTGGGAATCTCACTGTGGCATGTTATTATGTATATGCACATGATTTAATGTCTAGCCATTAGGGTCAATTTGTCTTCTCTCTTCTCCTTATTCCTACGTTACATAACCATGTGGATGTTAAGTCCTCCAGTCATTCCGCACTGTACAGTTATTCCATATATGTGAAAACAAACATGTGTATTCAGTAGATATAGAATACAAAAAGTCCAGTCAAGTCCCAGTTGTCCACGTGATTCAGAATGTGAAGACACCTACGTATAAGTTGTGTGTATCCATGTTATTGATTACCAGGCGGCTGGCATGACTCTTATCTGTTTGTACTGCTCCAGCTCAAGGTGTATTCTGACCGGATGGGTCTGTTCTCAACAAAAGCTAATAAACATATATATATATGTATATGTGTGTATGTATGTATGTATGTGTGTGCTCTCCATAGACTAATGGGACTAAAGGGATCTCTCGGAAAAGACATGAAACTCACTGGAGTGAAAATAAGTGTTGATTCATTCTGCTCCAGATTACATAAGTGCTCCACTGCTGCTTTCTGCATTATATAGAGCTGACAGACATTTCACAACCACATTTTAACATTTTCCCTCTTACTCCACCTGGCAACAACAGATTTATATTGTTGTTATAAGTTCAATTTATGTGTGATCTCGAAAGAAAAACATACAGTCTATAACATGTGTAAACTTTGTTTTAATGGAAAACCGTAAATTTGAGATAAAATAAAGAAATTGAACATAGAGTATAGCATAATAGGCCCCCACCTTTTTCTTAATTGTTCAGACAGGGGTAAGTATGTTGGAAGTGCTTATGTGACAAAGTCTTCATGCCAAATTCTTCAATTCATAACATTAAATATTTGTGACCATTTCAAGCATTACAAATATATTGTGTTAATACAAGGAATAAAAATCACAATGCCACTTTTGTCTGTAAACTACAGGCATACAGTATAAATCATGCTTTTAACTTTATCCATCCATCCATTTTCTTCCCCTAATCCATGTCTGGGTCGTGGGGGGGTGGGTGGCAGTCTGAGCTACATACAGTACATACATGCACACAGAGCACCAGCCCCTCACTGATCCTCCTGCAGGTGGTGAGCCCACAGGAGGACGGCTGCTCTAGTTTGAGCTGCCTTGATCTTTCAGCGGGGGCTTCAGGCAGTGTCTTGCCCAAGGACACAACAACAGCAGACATCAGTGGGAGCCGGTGGAGAAGATCTTGTGGTTGGATCGAACTAATGCTCTACCAACTGAGCGACTGTCGCATTTAACTTTATATGTAACAAAATAACCCACGCATCCACAGAGAGTGCATAGTATATTGCTTGCATAAAAAAATATACCTGTACATATTCAGATCACTGTAACAAATATACAAGGAAAATCAAGAGACAAAACCTAAAGCAAAAGTGCAGTGGCATCAATGTAAAATAAATGAAAGGACTAGATGTACTTAAAACTCAATAGTTTTTTGCAAGCAACTAAAAATCACTAAATTCAAGTGTAGTTCTGGGGCAGAGTTAGCCGAGCTTTGAATCTCATGTTTGTCTGTGTGCTTTAGTCCAGGCAAAATAGCGCTTTACACAGTATTTGTTTTCACCTTAACTCAAATCTATAAAGCGTCTCGAACAACATACTAAAATTTCCATAAATCCATGATATGTGCCGATACGGTCAGACAACTACACACCCCAACAGGCTCTCTTTAGTCCACCACAATGGCACTTCACACAATGGAAGTATCCATGGAAAGTAGCATTTGGTGTTGTAAGAGTTTGCCCCTGAGTTTGTGTTGGGCTTAATTGTAAAGTATAATAATAAATAAATATTCACAGAATCTTGCAATACAAAAAATAGAAGTATAATAGAAGTGTAATAGAAGTAAGGATGAGCCTTTTGTGCTTTTATTACATATGTGTAATTAGTTTTTGTTATAGAATCTTACAAATACATTTTTCTCATGGATGCTTTCATTGTTTCATTATGATTGGAGTAAAGGCCGAGTGGAGTCTGTGCATAACGGTACATGTCTTGAATAAATGAAAACCAATCCTGTTTGCCAAAGCACGATTCAGGATTTGTAGTATGTTGTCGTGGACATAGAAGTGCTTCATGCGGAAAAAATACTAATCAAAAAAATAAATCAGGTAATTGTCCTGGGCTGTGTTCAGTCCAGTATTCAGCTCATGGTGACCATCTCGTACTTGTCTGGGATGTTGTTTTCATCCTGCTTCTCGAGTTCTGGGTGGTGCAGTTCCACACAGAGGAAGTAAACTCCAGCTCCCACAGCTCCTCCCACCATTGGACCCGCGACCGGGATCCACCACCAGCAGCCACCAGCTCTGCAGTCACAACATGCGTCTCAGCATCAATTATGCAGCTTAAAACCCACACTACATACTTCATTTAACACTTTAGTGCCTTTGTGTCTAAGGAGAGAGAGAGATGTTCAACTAAATAAATAACAAGCTATTCACTGTGGTTTGGAAATGTGGATGTCGCTTGAAAAGCTCAAGTTTGTTTCCTAGTGACCTCAAATCTGTGCCAAATATTTTTCTACGCTATTATTTAACTTAATAAACTACACAGATTCAGGTGAACTACCACTGTCACTGAGCATTATTACTACGTCTTAATTAAGTGGCTCTGTTTGTTGTTCTAATTCTTGGACTGGGCTGTATCACTATGGCTGCTTCTTAAGCCACAAGGGCTCGCTTAACTAGCTTTCTACAATTCCTGACAACAAGTGTCTGTCATGTTTCCTTCTGGTGGCATTCAAGTAGGAGAGCGGCCAAATAGGTAGGAACAGGGATTATCGAGGCCATAATCTAGGGCTAAGATGATCAACAGACAGACAGATGCACTCTGGGTCACATTGACACCGTGTGTGCTGGCAGGACGTGAGCATTCAACACATGTAAAATAAGGAATATTTAATGAAAAAGGAAAGATATTTTTCAACTGATGCCTTGCCTTGCTCTCTTCATTCTGACAGGGGGTTCTGGTAATCACAGCCTGCTTAAGCTTTATTTACACGAGACAAAGTCCAATAGGTGGTTGTACATAAATGCACCTTGTTCTCTTGTGTTTAATACATGCAGCCACTATTTACTTAGAAGATATTGATTGATATGCATAAATATGGATTTCAGGCATTTGCCAGTTATATTGGCACCTAGTGATCCTATAGGAATTAAATACACAAACGTGACACAGTAGAAAACCAATACACACATATATATATATATATATATATATATATATATATATTATACTGTATGTATATATCCTGCTGACCCCTTGTGGATAATAAGGGGTACCCTGTTTAAATACAAAAAAAAAATTCTGTAGGTTGCTGAGAGAACATAGTATTATGCCATGACCATAAACATACTCTGAGATACAAGAGATCCTATATGTATTTGTGGCATTTAAGAGAAGTATTTAATATTAGATGTGTGTAACTTACTTTTCACTTCAATCCCCCAGCCATTTTTCAAATTGCAGGCGACGAAAGCATGCTCACTAAAATATTAATTAATATTATGAAGAGAACAGAAATAGTGCTTCCTGTTACTGTCACAGATAAAGCCCTCTCACACAACGCTCATACTGTCTCCGTGAAACAGCTCTCTGCCATAAATGTTCTAAATCTGCAGTATTTCCTGTGATTTTACCTGAACACATCCATGCCCCAGCCGGCCACTGCTGTGAAGAAGCGTGGGCCCAGGTCTCGGGCCGGGTTGATGGGATAACCACAGTTCAGACCCATGGACACTGCTATGGCAGTGATGGCTAAACCAATGCAAAGAGGTTCCATGCCTTTCGGAGCGCCAATGTTCCTCTTATCAGTGATGGCCAAGATGCAGAGGACCAGTGCTCCTGTTCCAATCACCTGCAAACCAAAGCAGCTACTGTGACAACATCATGTTGCGGATACACAATAGAAATTCAGGTGGACAAAGTGATCCGCAGTGTAATTAGAGGAGAACAATATGTCTGTTAATTATGTGTGTGTGGCTGACCTCTGACCCATACCATCTTATCTAAGCTTATTATGTGGCTTCCCCTTTAACCTGGTTTTGTCTTTAAGACATATGTTTGTTTATGTGTGGGTTAGGGTTAGGGTGTGAGCACACACACACACACACCCACACACACACACACACACACACACACACACACACACACACACACACACACACACACACACACACACACACATTACTAGAGACTGTTATTGGATGTATTCCATGATAAAACAGTGGTATTATACATATTGCATTGCATATGCTTTGGATGTACTGTACAAGTAATACTTTTGAGAGCAGATGGCTGTTATTCTCATCGGATCAGAATTATTTATAGTTCACAAACAACACATTATGCTCCATTTCCACTGTATATTCATCCGTGACTGCGTTAAATACAGCTCATCCTAATCTCAATGTACTCAGCTGCTTCTGCTGTCACTGCCCTCTTCCCATAGTTACGTTTATTGTGTTTACCATTCTCCAATGAAAATATTAAAACAATAGACACCAAATGAATAAACTAAAGATTGTTATGTAACATACCTGATCAACAAATCCATTTATGACGGACAGATGCTTGGCTGGATAAGAAGCAAATATGTTGGCTGTGGCATTTGGACCCGTAACAGTGAATTCCCCATTGGTGTAGTCCATGAGCGCATCTGTATCATACATCAGTTAATATAACTTCAGAAACATAAAGTCTGTTTTCAATACTTGCCATAGTAGAGCCCAAAGACGGCACAGGATCCAGCAAACGCTCCAAGGAACTGGGCGGCCACGTAAATGGGGAACTTCTTGATAGAGAGTTTTCCGAGAATCACCATAGCCAGAGAGACTGCAGGGTTCACATGTCCTCCTATAGAGATCATGTATATTTGATAAACATCAATATTAAGTTCAATATAGTGCTGCTGAAATATCTTGCACAGTACCATAAACATCTCTATCTATATGAATAAATAAATATTATAGAAGAAGAAGGATTTGCTATGTTCACCCTCCACGGGCGGTTACCCCTCTCTAAGCTCGGGTCCTCTTATTTATTTTTTTTTTTTTTTCATTTTATCTATAAGATTCAGATTCAATTAATTTGCAGTAAAACCACATTGATCGGATTATGTGATGATTTGATATCAAATACCATGTATAAATGTACTGTATCTTTATATTATATCTTATAACTTTATTTTGGGAAAATGTTTCCTTGAAAAAATAAAGTGTTCCCAACCCAAGCCTTGTCCAAAAGAGGCATGTTTAGACACCATCCAGCTAAATGTTAGCACAGTGTGGGGTCATTTATTTAACACTGGGGGATCTTGGCTCTGACCTTGCTGTGGTAACACCACTGGGGGTATCAGCCATGCGTCCATTGTTAATCTCTCCATCCACTTCACAAACACTGTCCACGACAGCCTGCATAGTGGAATTGCATCTGACATAATCTGGCTGAATCTGCTTAAGACCCATGTAAACTGCCGGTCATTAGAGTGACCATGATGTGTCACACTTATGGTACACTGTCATCCAAATTCTCTAACAACAAAGTGAAAACAATTGTGTTTTCATCTCTTCTGAGGCCGCTCTAGAGGGAAGGCTTGTCACACCTGACCCCTCCTCTGCACATACCCATGCCCCAGTAAAGCTCATTAGTCCAATACCTATGATCATCTTCAAAGATGTCGTTGGACAGAAGTGTCCCACTGTGCTGTGGACCCTGGGGCTGAATGGCCCATTCATGCAGCAAAGGCTCTCCATATATTAACCTCCATGTCCCTGGGCTTTGCTACAATTCCCCTGAAGATTTCCTCTACAGTATTCTCTGGTCCTTAAAGCATAAATAGACTGTAGACCAGTCTAAGGAATAACTGAGATACTGATGTACAAATTCATAAATTAGAGTAAGAATCAAATTGGTGTGTGTTTTTGGTACTGCGATAATAACTTTGAATTAAACAGCCCTAGGTAGCGTCCTGTGACATTTACTATTGCCACTTTCCCTGCCACTTCTAGAAGAACGGGCTCCTCTTTCTCTAATCCCCAGGGAATGCATGTTCACTTCACTCCATTATGGAAATTTGGGAAATTCCTTCCTAAACACTTTTTGGCTCCTCGTTTCCTCTCAAGTTGTAGAGAAATTACATTTGAGCAGTGTACTGTACTATTGATGGTATTGATTCTATAGTGCAATATATTGGGCCCTTGCATGAGTTGGGAGGTTGTTGAATTACAGAGGTGTCTCTACCTGACACTCCTCCTGCCATGTAGACTGCCATCATGACTCCGAGGGTGAAGCCAATGTGGATGGTCAAGGGCTCCCCCAGAGCCCCTTTACTCAGCACCGCCTGGGCCACTGAACCACATCCAAAGAGCTGGGAAACAGACAGAGAAAAACAAAAAACTTCATTGTTTTCAAATACTCCAATTATACCCACCAGTAACACAAGCCCACTTGTCCAGCCAGAATTTTTTACTGCCACAGGCAATTTATCCAGCACAGGGATGGGAAAATAATAAGGAATTAAAAGGCAGACAAAATTATTCTGCATTGTGTCCCCATAACATATTATTTTGGTAACCAAAACTATTTTGGCATCCGCTCTGATGTGACTTACTGTTTTATAGATAAATTAATATGTGTGTGTGTGTGTGTGTGTGTGTGTGTGTGTGTGCGTGCGTGCGTGCGTGCGTGTGTGTGTGTGTGTGTGTGCGTGTCTGTGTATGTGTGTGTATATGAGGGTGGCGGTAATTGAAAAACGGTCAATAACAGCAAGCTTTCTCCATACAGTGTATACATCGTCTATCATGAAAGCCTTCTCAACTACACATGGAAAAGACTTAAAATGAGAAAGGCGCTTCAAACAGTTGTCACGCCAGTCGCCGCTTGTTATCGTCCTGTCGCATACAGACATCAATAAGGTATTATTTTGCGTCCATGTGAGAGACAATAGTGTCATCCTCCAGAGACGTGTGTGACATCTAATTAGCGTTAAAGCGCGTCTTTATGTTGGATGACAGGTGCAGATGGAGATACTCACTATCAAGACAAATATCCCCAGAAACTCCGCTAGGAACTCTTTAAAGATATCCCGCCTCAGGCCAAATTTTTCCTTCATCCTCTTCTTGCTGTCGTCCTCCATGATTTATTTTGTTCAGTGTGCGCTTGATGTATGGCTTGAGCGGCAGAGTGAGTGTGAGACAGTGGAGCGCGTTTATGGGTGTCCGCCTCTTTCCTCCGCTCTCGGCCCAAGAGCGCTCATGATGCCCTCTGCCACCACCAGGGCGCGCTCTGCAGCTGCCTTCAACCACCGACCGTAAAACACACATCCCACAGCTGAGAGAAACGCAGAAGACAGAGCTAGAGTTTATTACAAATGTATTTATTTTTGTCATCTTTCAATTGGTAATCATGTCATTCGTTCAATTGACACATAAAACACTTTAAACATGCGGATACCTAACATTTAATGTAAATTATATGTAATAATATCCATGTAACGAGTTCTTTACTCTCAAAACAGTTTCACATGTCTGTATCTTTGGCCTCTGTCAGATTTTTCAGTTAAAAGGAGAGCCATCTCTCCTTCAGCCATCAGGTCTCAATAATGTATTCTAATAAAGATAGTTTTGTTTCCCAAATGTTGCATCAATAAGACTATATTTACGGTAGAGACAAACGTAAACATGTATTTATGAAACAAACAAAAAAGGTTTCCAAGCTTTAATTTCCTAAAAAAATGTCACTTCAGAATTGATAAAATAGCTATTCTTATAACATACTGTATGTGCATGTTATGCAGATGATATTCTCCTTATATGATCAATGATATTAGACCTGTGTTCTTGCTTGTTTCTTTGCACAAAGAAAGAATACCAGAACTTATCTGGAGTGCTTGTTATTGAAAAACAGAAATGTCATTGTGGGACGTTCTAAATTACTTTGAGCCACCTAAATATGCTGGGGGGAACAACACTTCAGTCAAGTTTGTCAGTTCAAATAAGCAGTGGACTTTTTTCCATTGAGACCTAGGTCTAAGGGGTGTTAAAAAAGTATTTTTGTTTGCAAAATAAGATAAAGACATATGTCATGTTAGGCTAAATATGTCCAGTTATGTTTTACATTCTATCTATATTCTTATTTTTTACTTATTGAACAAAGCTATGAGCTCGTTTTTTGACGTTCACACTTGCAATATCAGAATAAGAAACAGGTTTTACAACGAACTTAAATCGTCGAATCGTTGAACTTCCAACAGGAGGCGCTACGTGCATGTCTTGTGGTGGACTCTGAGTTAAAGTTGGGTTGTCTCCTCTCCAGGTTGCTCTTATCTTCGCCCAGTGTTTGGTGAGAAGGCGCTGGATGTTTTCTCTGCATTCATCAGTGTCACGCTCTCTTTGATGTGCACCAGACACTTGGGAGAGTGTCGCCCATGCTGTGAAAGAGACCCCTATACGCGCTGATGGAGGAAAAGCATCCTCTCTGGGGAATTGCAAATGACGGACCTGCGAACTCCTTTGTGCTGTCAGGAATCCGGATTAAGACTATGTTTAATGTTTATTGTAAATGTAATGTGCGTAATTACAATCCGCACATGTTTACGTGGATTTTTAGGCTACTCTCCAAAACGTTTACTTTTGGCACAGTTTCATTTTATTAGGAGACTGATGATTGGTGGGATGTTTATTTGACTCTCTCAGGAATTATCACCTGGAGGACAAATCTGTGTCTGAACCGCAACGCAGCGAGTCCAGCGCGCCTCATCTCCATAACATCCTAGGCCATTGGGAAACTTGTTAAGCAAATAGAGCGAAGTGAGATAAGTCCTAAACGCCTTCGTGCCACTGTTGAGATGTAAAGGAGTTTGTGTTCGCGATGTAAGTCGGGGGAACTTGTGATGTTTTGGAGTCAGTTGTAAATTATAGCCTTTAAAAACACTTTGGAGCCCAAGTGCTAAACCAAAGTGTATGAACGCCTTTGGCCTACATGTACTGCAGCATGAAATTATAAAAAATAATTTACATCAAAGCTATTATGTTAGCTATACAAGCCTGTTTAACGCCACATGTGATAATAACAAAAGGCCTAATAATGAATAATCATAATAAATTATTATAATGTCCATCAATAATAAATGTATTAAGCCTATGAACATGTGTTATTATCAGTAGCCAAACAAATGGATTGTTTCAGAGTTGAGGAGATTTGAAAATGAGAAATAGATATTTTAGTCTAGTTAAACTTTACCCATGAATGAGGGACAGCGGTGGGTGGGGTGGATTTGTTTCTCCTCCTTAACAGGCATGGCTGATGTGGTTTTATGTAAATGCGTGAATTTCATTTTCAATAGGACAGCCCTTTTTCTTTATCCAATGAAAATGAACCGCGGCTGACACCTGGCTATAAACCCAGGAAGAATCCCAACAAGTCCTTCATCAGAATCCTTTTCTCTTCCCCTTATTAGAAGCCCAGAGAGAGCAGCACAGGCACGCGGCGCTATGACTTCCAGCAAGATTGAGATCCCCGGAGAGGTGAAGAGCGACCCGGCCGCTCTGATGGCATCCCTCCAGCTGATGCCCTCCCCGGTGCCGAACCCCGAGGTCCAGTACACCAAGGTCTGTCTGCACCAACTTTACCAGGACTTTACTTTACTTTACTCTACACCGGGGGAAATGGAAAATGAGTGAACAATGCGTTATTGTGTGAGCAGCAGGGCTGCAGCCTGGAACAGTGCAGTGCAGTGTGCTCTACTGTACTATGATACTGAGCCAGGGCCGATAAAGTTTCTCCTGAAACAAACTTGAGTGAGCTCAAAGCGGGCGAGTCCGTGGGATTTTCACTGTTTCGGTGGAGAGCAGATTCACGTTTTTAATTGGAAAGGTTGTTTGGCCCATAATTAGTGTGTGATGATAAAAAGGTTCATTATTTTACTAATTCTAAAATAATTCATAACCCTACAGAATCTGTTATTCAAAACCCTAATTATTTAACATTCCCACATATACAATAGATGATGTGTTGTAACTAACTCTGTTGAGCACTATGATATTAGTATTTGCATTTGTATTCAGTTAAATATTGATCTGGCATATGGATATAGGTCTTCTAGGGATATTTGGGTCTTCTGTGTTCATGGGTGATACATGATTTGATTTAAAGCCATTATTAAACTGTTTATTTCACTGTTATAATATTGTTTACGGTGTGCACGGTTTGCAAATATTCAAGTTAAAAACTATTAATAAGGTAGGCCTAATTCACTGAGTTGACTGAGAGTTACTGATCATCCACTAGATTTATATTTTTCTTGGCCAAAGTCTCCTTATCTGTGCGTGTGGCAAGGAAAAAGGAGTTGCAGAAAACAGCTGCAGGAGGTTTGATTTTAACACAAGATCTTTAAACAAATAGTACAGAAATCATATTTCTCTTTACGAGTCTGGCTTTTATGCACATTTGTTAACATACGTAGGAACTCAAAAAACATCATCTACAAATGAAATTTTCTTTTCCCACCCCGCTGCATGTCCTCACACACCCTGAAAATAATATGGAGATTAACAGTTTTGTGCTCCTATTGATAACATCTGAGGAATGTCTATGTTTTAAATTTGGGACTTGAATTCAGACTGATCTTTTAACACAAGGTATTTTTGTCTGTTTTCCCTATCAATACAACTTTGAGAGAGATTTCATTTGTTGTTACTTAAAATGCTACAGGTTTTACAATTGCAAGATTACAGGGCACGTCTCATAGTGCACAGGCGATAGTGATATCACTGCAGGACTAAACCTCACTCTGGTCTTGGCACAAAGGTCATTGAGCTGGGGATGTGTTGCATTGTATCATTTAAGCTTCTCATTCAGCCACAGAAGCAGTTCAAGACAAGATGGTGTACAGAAATTTAGGGAGCGACTTGGTGAATTAACCCCAAGGAATTTGGATCATCCAGTTCCTGTTGGTTTTGTGGACATAGGGGGCAGAAGGGCCCTGATTTATGGGCACCCCTAGCGTGGGCTCTCCTCACACCCTGTTCCTGTTCTCCACCCTACAAAACGGGGCTCTGGTCGGTGCATCCATTGGCCAGCAGGGTGTATACGTCCAGGCTATTCTTTTCTTTTTCTCATGTTTGGTAAATTCATCTTAAAACTTAATAATCAGTGTGTGTCCGCGAGTTCGAAGCATGTGATAGTGACATTATGCTGCCACCAAACGTTGATCTTTGTCTTTCTGCGTTGCTGAACCTGCGAGGCACATTTTCATTGTGGACAAGTTCAGACTGTTAATAAAGAACCAGCTATTTGAATGTAATGCAAATCAAACTCCAAGCCTTTTGTCTGGGTCCCTTGCACAAACTGCCCCCAGTCTGGAATTTATAATGACTAATCAGAAGCTGTGGATTTATCATAAGGGACAAAAACACTATTAAAAAGTTGTTTACACAAAGTTTAAGAGGCAGTCTACAACATTTTCTATCGGCTTTTAAAAAGTCAATACGATCTTCATTTATGTTTTATTTGTCTTTTTGGCAGTGATCATGTTTTGATAAAGCAGATGCGTAATGGGACAGATTATACAAGAACGTGTCCAGCTGGGTTTTAACTCACCACATGCTTGACACTGTTTAATAAAGTCTGCTTTTATATCACTTGGATTATCGTATATATATATTTAAATGATTTACTTCATCCGGCAACTTTCAAGAGCAAAATTCATTCTTACTAAATCTTACATTTAAACACAGCTTTGATCATGGTGGTATACTTCCACTGCTTCAGTCCACTTGACTATGGCGACATGTAAGATGCTCTTCCCTCAGACGTCTTCTCAGTTTGGGATGAAAAAGGGCCTCCATCAATCTGTCACTGATTGAGATAGTACAGATGGAGGTTTGGGGCTCACTGATGCTCTGTGCTGTCCGGCAGGGTGTAAATTATTGCCCCGTCTCACTGTGTGGGACGCCTGTGTCTGACCTGCAGCTCTGGACTCTCTCACTTCAAAACCGCCATTTTTCTGCAATCGAGATCAAACAGAGCTAAAGTTAGGGGATACTCTGCAACTAAATGATTTATCCCAACGAGACTTCACTCTCCATTCCTCCCCCCCTCGGGTCTTGTGCCCTTTTGCTTACACAATTTCCCTGTTCACACACATACGGATGGGCGCATAGACTCTAAAACTCTTTGATTGTGACAGGGTAAGTGTGCGGAGCCATTAATATGTCCATCAGGGTGAAATGCCTTCTTGTGCAGTGAGTGTAAATTATCAACTTAGCCCCTATGTCAACATAGTGTCCCCTGTCTCTTAATCACTGTGTAAGGAAGGGAAGTGACAGGGAGGTTACATAGTTAACTCCCCATACCGAGTGTCTGCGGCCCTCTTGACAACCAACGTGTAAATCCTGATGGTGTCATTATGAAAAACACTCGGCTTCATAAATCTGTGAAAATAGGCTCCTTCCTCGATCGTGCATGAAACGCAGCAGACATAGGGGGCTCCACTGCTCCCCCAATCTAATGTTTATTTGTAAGTGTTGAAGCATCACATTTCTGTTAAATCACCTCTTCTTCCTCTTTGTGCATTGACCCCAGGAGTAAAACGACTTGGAAATGTTCCTTAAGCTTTTCTTTGAAATTTAAAGAATAGGTAAGAACAAAGGAACTCGTTAAACCCTAGATGTTTAAAAGGAGAGGGAAAGAGAGGTGACATCAGTTGTCTTGTTGATTCATGACAGTCGGCTTTAGCTCTGAGTCTAGTCTTTAACCTTTTGGACAATATGTTTTCTCCTTCTTCTGTTCTATTCTCTGGGCCTACATTTGACATTTTTGTGCAACCTTATTACAGATGGGTTACAAAGAATGGTCCACATGGGAATGTCCACAGAACCTTGCAAATGAGTTAAATCAGTCTTACGTACATTTACAATGTTCTCGCACGGCTCTGACAAGCATGCAAAAGATAACGTTAGATAATATCATGTTTGCTAATAAAATGAAGACAGACCAACACCATATTTAAAAAGTTGGGACAACAACATGTATTATTTCAGATATAAAAGATCCATGCTTAGCTGTATCAAAAAGCTCCTATATCTTACAATGGGATCGAGCTGCAATTACTAAGAATGCCATATTTTTACTAAGCATTGGTAAAAGTAAAAATGCTGCAAAGCTGAACAATATTTTGTACGATGTTTAATGTTCCATATCCCTGCTCAGCTAAATGAGTACTTGAATGTTTTGGATGTGACATTTGTTGTGGTTGTTGTAATCATGCTAAGTCGGCACCAGGCCACACACCAAACACACAGTGAGGGAGGCTTTGTCTGGAACCGTGCGTGTGAAAAACATGGTTAGTTTGTAGTGTCCGACATGAGGGCCGGCTCCCCTCTTTCACATACTCCCCAATAGAAGCTATCGGTACTAATTATGAAAGCTTGTTGAGTGATGTCCAGACGAACAAAGAGAGGTCCTACGATAGCACTGAGCATATGAAACGTCTATGGCCTAGAGTCGCAGGTGTTCTGTTGTGTAAATGTATAATTTCTATATCAGAAAGACCCCTCCTCCACCTCCTGCTTTTTCCCACACTAAAAAGAGGCTAATGCATTACATATTCTTCAGCTGCAAGCTTGTAATCTGTGAAAGCACCGTGCCAACCAGTTTGTGTGTGTTTTGCACCTTCTGCACTCACTGTTCGCTTATACATGAAACTTGGTATGCAAAAGATAAAAAGTAGAACTCTATTTTGATAAATGCGGCACGATGTGGTCAGATTTGTTCGGAAATTGTTACTTTTACAAGACTCTTTTCTTTGGAAAAAGTTTTTGTCTTTATGCAAAAATAAAGTTATCCCAGCTTTAAGTGGTTGTATCCCTGTGGTTGATGTAAAATACTGCATTATGTGCAGATTGAGAGATGTTTTATTTTGGGGGGGGGTTACTAAATGTTTGCAGCTGCTCTGGCTTTGCAGTTTTGACGTAGACTCCTAAGTGTGTAAGTCGTTGACGTCAGACCTCCTCAGGCGGCCGCACCACAACCCTCACGTCACTATAATCTTTTATTTTGTGTTTGTGAAATGTAGTTATACATAATTCATCCATATGACATTATATGACGTAATTTAAATATTAGAAAAATGTAAGTGTTAAAACCTTTGATGAAAACTGGACTGAGAGTTTTTGAAACATGAGAGTGTCTCGCAGGGAGTGGGAGAGAACCTGATTTGTCATTGTTTAATTATTATTCCAAATGTTCCTAAAAGCAATTTTTATTTTAAGTAACTTCAAGAATTGATTTACGATAATGTCCTGTCATCTTAATCAAGCTTCTCAATGGGAGAAAACAAAAGTGTAGCATCGTTGCTGGCGTAGATGAGGGTGATCCAAACGGCAGCTGACACTTGTCCTTTTCTGGCTGTGATTTAGGACGCCGCCTGCCCCAGTGTTCTGCCTCAGCAGCGGCCCGTGAGAGGGGTTACACCAAACATAAAGCTACAGCCGCATTCTTGCCTCCACTGTTGCGGCTGTCAGGGGCTGCTCTGATTTAGGGTGCCCCACATCAGTGGCCCCTATAAATTTAAAAACTAATTCAGTGCTCTACGGGACTTTCTGTTTTTGTAACTGCCCTTCGGCTCTTGTCGTTACTGACAATTTTATGGAGTGCTCTTAATGAGCTGCAGATTAAAGGTGCATGAGAAGACCCAGAGCGGTGTGTCTGCCCAATGTGAGAACAAAAACATCTTCAGAATTTATCCACTCCAGGCCAGTGATTCTCAAACTGTAGTGCAAGTCCAGGTAGTTCACAGATTCCACTATTTATAGTTCATATAAATCAAGGTGTAATTTTATTATTTGGTATTATTAGTGACACATTTAACAACTTTTGAGTCTAACATTGTTTTGTATCATGTCCAGCTTATAATAATAAAACAAAAATAACTGGCATTTAATAAACCTTTATGCTTGATATAAAAAAGTACAAATATTTAGATGAATGTAAAGGCAGACTGTGAGAATACTGGGCCTTACAGCAAGGTCCAGGCCATGATCCATGGTCCTGGTCCTGGTCCTGCTGGTCTGTGGGCCTCAGAAGGAACTTTTCCACTGCTATTTTACTGATCAGAAGTGAACCGAAAATTGAATTTCCACAAAAGAACCTGCACCATTGTTTAGAAGCATAACAAGAAACGCCAAGAATGATATTATGATATTATCACAACATCAGTTTCATTGTATTACACAATCCTCATGTATTTTCTCTCTGCAAAAAGTGCTGCATATGGCAGTCTGATTCTCAAATGTTCACTGACAGAATTACAGTATTTTGATAAATAAATCCAGGAATTGGATTTTGCAACATCAACATTTGCAACATCAAATATGGTTCAGTGGGAGGTGCCACAGCATCTGGATGGTTTTTCTTCAATGGAACAATAGAGCTCCAGGTTGTGCAGGGCCGTCAAAAGGTGGCTGGCCATGGGGACATGTTGGGGGGGTCTCAATGAGGACTGAGGACCCTCATCTGTGACCGGATCAGGAACACTACAGTTCACAGTGTGTCGGACTTCTTTCCTGCGTGTTCTTCTGATCTAAATCCAACTAAGAGCATTTGGTTGCCTTGGAGGTTCAGGATTCCCTCCTGAATATTGCTCTGGAAATAGCTCAACTGGCGAGTCATGACTCAGTCATTTTTATTTCAATTCACTGGTGTTTTCAATACGTTGCTTGTTCTCTTGTCTCTTTTTGTCTTGTCTCTTGTCTATTTTTTTAAAACTATTTTTCTTGAGAAAACCACTGCATAATGTATTCTAGTTCAGTCTAAGCATATAATCTAAAACTTATTTACAATATTTTTGGTCTTAAAAACTACGTAATGAAGTAAAGCAATGATAATCAAATGCAGCTGAAAATGTTCTTGGTAGAACAGCGTAAAATAAAGTTGTAGCCTCCAATAAATCTTTTTTAATCTGACTCCAACCAAAATGAGTGACAGACGTGAGGTACATGAAAGGGAATTCTTACACTCTGTCTGTGCTGGCATGGGGTACACATGGCAAAAAAGATTGGGAACCACTGGTTTTAATGAATAAAAATGCAGGTGTAATCGGCAGTCTATGTTACTCTAAAACTTATTTGAAACTTATTTGAAAAGATATGAGCAGTGAGCCATTGAAAACACTGAGGGCCTAAGAACGTCAGCTATTTCAAATCACACCTTAATCGTTTTATTTTTCACTATCTACCAAGGGATAGATAGTGAACATCTATGGTTTTGCAGCTCTGTAAACATTTATTTTTCCGCAGAAGAAAATGTGGACAATGTGGAATATGTCCTGTTTGGAATCCCAGGCGGTTGTTTAACGGAAGACTTGCTTTAACGCATCACAGAGACCAAGCACGGCACGTGTTTTATGATCTCGTAAACGAGCAGTGATTTTGTGAAACGTGTGTGTGGAAGGGGTGTCTGATAGCGATTTATCTGCCACACACACAAACCCTGCACCCTTTTGTCTGGATGTCCAAGCGCTCCCCAGAGAGTTGTGTTGGACAGGCTGGAATCTGCACATTTCCAGAGATTGTCCCATATCCCTTACACAAGACCACTTGGGACAGCTGCCTCAGGCCTGTTTGTCTTTCTCATCCTACAAGCCTGGAAATCCAGCCAACATGATTACTTAACTCTGTATAAATATTTAAAAATCTCCAAAACATGAAAAAGATGTCTGATGCACATCTTGTAGTTGCCTAATCTCACATGTTATTCAAGGCAAATGTATAATGACCATGTAAGTCTTCATCTGTGCAATATTTACTGTTGTTTGTGAATTTTATATAGACCTGGTACCTGCTACATTCCTTATTCAGTTAGCACTCCCAAGCAGCTCTACTTAAAGCTGGGTTACATAATGTCCAAAACACACAAAAAAGAACTATATCATAAAAACCATATAACTAGTGCCTGGCTCTCACGTGCATGTGAGGGCTCTTGACCTCTGCATGTGAGACCTCCTTAGATAAGCATTTTCAGACAAGGAGTCAAAGTGATAAAAGTGAGCTTTGACTTAGTCTTTGAGTTAAGACACACAAAAAGTATTATTCATGACTCCTGCTTTATATCAAATTATTTCTATCTTATTTCTTATCTCTAAGATGATTATTTCACATTTGGGCTTGGCTTTCAAGTTGCCTGGAAGAATGTTCAACAAAAGATACATGTCACATGATGTACAGACCACATGGCATCACTGATTACATATATACTACTTTGTATTTCTTGACAGATTTTCATTAACAATGAGTGGCATGACTCTGTCAGTGGGAAGGTGTTTCCAACATACAACCCAGCAACAGGAGAACAGGTCTGTGAGGTCCAGGAAGCAGATAAGGTAATTGGCAAGCCATTTGTTCTCCATTACGGCTGTTTTCAGTCACTATAGCTATAATTGACTACATGATAAAAAATTCAATATTGACACCTGTATTATCTTGTCCAGGCTGATGTAGACAAAGCAGTTCAGGCGGCCCGTCACGCTTTTTCTCTCGGTTCTGTTTGGAGAAAAATGGATGCGTCCCAGAGAGGCAGACATCTGGCCAAACTGGCGGACCTGGTGGAGAGGGACAGCATCTATCTTGCTGTAAGTGGAGCTGAAGCCGGATACCTTTGTATTCAATTCAATGCATTCAAGTTTAATAAAATGCAGTTTGATTCCATAACATTATTTTATTATCTTCCTATCTAGACCCTTGAGTCTCTGAACAGTGGGAAGCCCTTTCTTCCCACTCTGTTTGTTGATCTTCAAGGAACTATAAAGACATTGAGGTACTTTGCTGGATACGCAGACAAGATCCATGGCATATCTATCCCAATGGGTAAGTCTCAGCACTATCACACAAGAGACATTTTTATTGAATTTGAGTTCAGTCTGAAGGTATAGGCAGGTAAACCTGGCAGTCTTATTTGAATAGGAAGTAAAAAAAGGACATGAAAGTGAGAGTGCACAGGGGAGCCCCTCTGATACCACTGCATTGTCTCTGTCAAAGCTCCTCTTGTGAGCTGCTGCCAAATGGACCACAGCAAGCTTTTCTCCCCCTAAGACTTTTGCTATAGATTTGCTTCCTCTAATACACTTTAATCAACATAACTACAATGTTAGATTGCATATCTAAAATCAACAAATGCGTTATATGTAAGCAATTCAATATGAAGTACTGATTTTCCTTTTTAGAGTATGCATCAGCTGTTATTCATTTACTATCATCCAGTGAGTGCCATTGTCTCCCTTTTCATCACTGATTAATCCACTTTGACTCTGTAATGTTTAATTTACTGAGGAAACATATGACACATGATGTGACATAATTTCAATGATTTTGCAGACAATGAAAAGCATGGCACACCCTTAGGAAGTACATCCTTTCTCATCTAATGCAAGAAGAATGAGCAAATCTTTCCAGAATAACACCCATCTCTGACCTCAAACAGCTACACACAGATGATAATCTAAGTGGGAATCCACCATGTTTGGATTTACAGATTAACATGTCCAGTCAACAAAATATGCTTTTGAAACAGATCTGCTAAAATCAAAACCATGTTTTTGTTCAGATGGAGAATACCTCACGTTCACCAGATATGAGCCAATTGGAGTGTGTGGACAAATTATTCCTGTGAGTATGGATCATATGAATTATTCAAATGTGAGACCAATAAGCCAAAAGTGAATAACTGTGAAGTCAGATTTTGAGTGATTTATCTTTATCACACCCATTGTTTTTTCTAATGACTTTGTAAATACTAATAGATGATTCTGGCTAAACAAGAATCAGTGATTTACTTGCTCACTTTGACTTACTTACTCTCATGTGTTACTTACCAAACATTCCCTCCTCATGGCTTCTGTGTTTTTCAGAAATAACAGTGTTTTGTGCATTGATACAAAACAATATTGCATCACATCTGTGTCACAATATTCCCATGTATTCGCAATATTTTGTTAAAACAGAAATAAAGCACACAGTTCACAGATACTCAAGAAAAGGGACTTAATAGTAATGCGCCTTTGCGTTCAGATGTGAGCACTGCCCACCCATTGAGTCTGAAACACAACTGTTGTTATAGTGGAACTTTCCTCTGATGATGACGGCCTGGAAGCTGGGCCCAGCTTTGGCCTGTGGGAACACTGTGGTCCTGAAGCCTGCAGAGCAAACCCCACTCACCTGCCTCCACATCGCAGCCCTGGTTAAAGAGGTAACAACACTGTCCATCCAAACTACATCCTGTACTTATTTGTTTAGATATTTTTTAAATAGTGTCTTACAAGACCCAGAGCAATTCTCTTTGTATTTTTAACATAAAAGTAAATTATTAAACAACAAAAATAACACATTAAAACAGGGTAGCCTCAAATTTTATCCATATTATGATTTTAAAAAGGAAGGCAATATTCAAAGTTAAGATTGTCCACTAAAAGTGTTATCGCGAATGCAACCACATAAGAAACTTTTCATGCTCAGTACAATGGCACAATGTGAATAGCTGAGTTTCGAATCCAGCACAGATCAGATGACATCAAATACAATGGCACGTAGCTGTTGGGCACTGCATTCCTGTTGTTGTTGCAAGTTAATATCATGAGTAAGTTGAGGAAGATAGGAACACTGCAGTGTCCTGTGGCACCGTATGTCTATAACACATTATAAATCCCATTGTCCACCCAGGGCTGGTCTCTGCAGAGCCCTCTCTTCTTTTGTTCAGTTTAGAGATAGTCTGCTACTTTTTGATGTTCCCCTACTTCTGGACTGGTGGGGAGGTTGGGTTGGGTTTTGGTTTTGCTTGGCACTGTTGTCATCTGCTCTAAAGTTTGCTTCCTCTCATATTGTTTTGACAGGCTGGGTTTCCTCCGGGAGTCGTCAATATTTTACCAGGATTTGGGCCAACCGCAGGAGCTGCAATTGCTTCACACATGGGCATAGACAAAGTGGCTTTTACAGGATCAACTGAGGTATTCTTCTGATCAACACTATACCTTTTTACAGATTGTGGGATCAACAAGTGCATAACATAGGAGAGACAAGATACTGCCAGTAATTAGTATACTACACATGACCTGCTAAAAGATGAAAGGTCCAGTGCCTCAAATTATAGTTGCAGACAAAAAAGTGAGACAGCTTTATTCTCTGAATTAATTTCTCTACTTTTAACACAGTATATTTGAATAGAACGCCTGTTAAACTAATGAACTCTAAAGCACTATATAAATGCCAAGCTTACATACTTACCAAATCAATATATTAAATCTGACACTGACACATAATTAAGCTTTATTAAGCATCAGACAGCAAACTTCTTCTTTTTATCTGTTCATCCTGATTAATTGCTTCCCTTTGCAAGTGCCCCATTTCTTTTACTAGTTTGCCTGTTGTTTCCTGTAATCTGGAGTCAATTTGCGTGGTTGCTGCTAGCCAGACAGTGACTCACAATGAGGCTGTAGTAGCTGAAGCCCCTTTGTGTGATGTGGAGGCGGGAACACAGGTGCATTGAGTCTCTTCGGCACATGATATTGTGGAGATCAGGATCAAAGACAAACACTCTTCTAGCTAAATAACTATGAACACTGAGCACGGTTTTATTCAGACTGTCAACTTCTTTGTAGTCATGAATTCATAGTTTAAACAGTTCACCAACCAAGTATAAAACTATGGTTTCCGATTAAGTGGAGAGAATAGTCAGATGTTGCCAGATGAAGAGATATAGTAATATTACTCACAATATTATTGCTGTGGATATATTTTTCTTTCTTTTGCAGCTAACAAACTGCATCTTTTAGGAAAAATGTATCAAGACAAGCTCTCTTTAGAAAGAGAGGGACTTTTCTATTTATCTTGTCTGCTCTCTGGAAAGTAAAACAGACTGTATGAGTAACAGGAAGATGGATACTTACAGGGTGTAAGGTTATGAAGGGAGGCACATGGATTTTCCACACTCCAGTTATCTACTGAGTTTCATTTTTCATGTATGTAAAAGTTGATGTGATAGTGTTATGGTTGACCGAGTCAAAATTAAACATTGAAACTATTGCTCTCTTATCTTTTTTCTTTTGAAAGACCCTGATATCTTCTGTTGTGTTCATTAGTCCTTGAGTTACATTGTAAAATCAGTCTTGATAAGATAATGAAGTGGAAATAGGACAAGCGTTTTTTTCCTGAACACATTGTCATTATCTTTGAGTTAGATCACAACCCATCGCCCACACACCTTGTGGTCAGCTCTTCCTGCCCTCTCCTCGGCCCAGTGTTTTCAGCTCCTATCTGCTCAGTGGTAACAGATATTGGTGTGCGTGTATTTGAAGAACTTGTGCTTCAGATGTTTGGAGCTGACCAGCTCTTAAAGCTGTTTAATGGCTGCTGTGATTTACTGATCTGGCAACAGGCCTGCATTGCCGTGAGTAAAGTCCTGCTTTGTTTCTCACCAGGTTGGCAAGTTGATCCAAGAAGCAGCTGGGAAAAGTAACCTGAAGAGAGTGACGCTAGAGCTGGGAGGGAAGAATCCCAACATCATATTTGCAGATGCTGATTGTGAGTATATTCCCCTTCAATTCATTTGCACCACATTCAGTCAGCAATACTGGGTGGTCCGCCACAAGCCCTGTTAGCTGAGATTTTTTACTCAATGTTTGAAAAATTAATGCATAACATTATTCTTAAAAGTGTTATAGACAAGCACAGGCTGTAGCTGTATGAGTGTCTCTCAAACTGGGGCTTTCAAATGCTTTCAGCAGCCGTGAGAGGGGCTCTCTACGGCCTGTAAATCAACAGAATGGACCCTGTTCCAGTCGGGTGCTTCATTTGAGACCTATAAATCACATGGGTCTGTTAACCCGGGGTCCTTTCCCCCAGGTGTCAGCTATCATATTTGCTAAAAAAACTGTGACATGATAACAAATTTAGATCATGATAGACTGACCTTTTAAAAAAGAAACAATAGGTTTCCCCCTTTTTTAGCAAGACAGATTTAATTGATCAGAAAATGTATGTTTCAGTGGATTTGGCTGTAGAACAAGCCCACCAAGGAGTCTTCTTCAATGCGGGACAGTGCTGCACGGCCGGCTCACGCATCTTTGTGGAAGAGCCCATATATGATGAGTTTGTGCGCAGGAGTGTGGAGAGAGCCAAGAGGAGGACTGTGGGCAGTCCTTTCGACCCCACCACTGAGCAGGGACCTCAGGTAAGTGGCACACAGATTTTCTTGTGGGCAACAAGGTTTAATTGCTGTAATAACTGTGCCTTTTAATCATTTCAGATTAGCCGCGAGCAGCAGAATCGCGTGTTGGAATATATCCAGAGCGGGATCAGTGAAGGCGCTAAACTGGAGTGTGGAGGAAAAGCACTTGGTGTAAAAGGATTTTTCCTCGAACCAACCGTTTTTTCTAATGTCAGGGATGATATGAGGATTGCAAAAGAAGAGGTACAAAATTATTCTCACATAAAACAATGAGACAAAGAAAGTCAATCCTAATGTGTCTTGTCTGTTAGATTTTTGGGCCCGTTCAGCAGATCATGAAGTTCAAGAGCATCGACGAGGTCATAGAGCGAGCGAACAACACAGAATATGGCTTAACTGGTGCTGTCTTCACCACTGACATAAACAAGGCCTTGACTATATCCACCGCCATGCAGGCTGGCACTGTCTGGTGAGTGAAATCACCGCAATCACTCATTCACTTCGTATGGGAAATATCTACTATCTGAGATCTGGCACAAAAACACGGCCTGGACACTTGCCATTAGACTTTCATTATACAAACCACAACGGCGTATTTCCTATTCACTTTTTTGTCCACAAGTTAGATGTTACAGATAAAGCAAACCCTCTGAAAGCAAGCAATGAAGAACATAAACATTAGCTGTAAATGGAAACCATAATTTTATTTTTTGAATAAATAAAATGGATATAAAACAATACTTGTAGATCTGGGCTTTAACCCACAATGTTTTGTTTCTTTTGTAATTAGTTGCAGCTGGGTACAGTTACAGCTTAACATCAACATCTGCCAGAGATTTTTAGCACTCTGCAATTCTCTCGATGCTGCACAATCACTTTGGTTTTCTTAGACTTCTCAAATTCTTTGTCATAAAAAAATAAAAGATTGTTTTTAGATTTGCATTTGTCATGGAATAATAAATAAGACAATTGATAGGACTAAAGTACACCATACCATACGCTTCTAACTTTACTTTTTCTTTTCTAAATCTATTCTTTTTCCAGGATAAACTGTTTCAATGCTTTGAGCACACAGTGTCCTTTCGGAGGATATAAAATGTCTGGCAATGGACGTGAATTGTGAGTATTTTGATTAACTTTTTACTGAATATAAAAAATAAACCTATTTTACTCGGATATCTGATGGTATCTTCTTTTTTTCCAGAGGAGAGTGTGGTCTAAGGGAGTACTCAGAGGTGAAGACCATCACGATGAGAATGGTGAACAAGAACTCTTAAGACGACTTACATTTTATTTAGAGGAATGTAGCATCAACCCAAGTCACTGCTGGTCTTATGGTGCTGCAATAACTTCTTGTGTTTGTAACCACCCCGCTGCTGCCTTCTAAAAGCAACTCTACAACTAAAGCCGACCTCCTTTTAGACTGACACCTCCAGAGCTAGCCGATATTTGATATATATACTTGGTATATATATATATATATATACTTTATATATACACACCACACACTCACGAAAGCACTCGCAGTCCTACCGCAGGGAAAGACCCTGTCGACCTGCCACACTCTGCTGATGCTGGAAGCTCAAAGACTCAGTCCCCGCACTTGCTATCAGCCCTTTACTCGAAACTTGTCACAAAGCCTTGTGCTTGTAGTGAGTGGAATGTAATTAAAAAAAGAAAATGGGAAGTAAAAATGTTTTTGGCTCATTCAAGACCACTGTCGCAGATATGAATGAAAAATTATTTTGATTCCTAATTGTCTATTGTTTATATTTTAGCTTGTTTGACTTAACACTGTTTGTTGACCTGTTAAAATGTTTAACCTCTCTTTAAGGCATTTTACTCTTAAAGCTAAAAGAAGAGTAGAAGTATCTTAAACATTATGTAACTGATTTGTCATTGATGTGTATCTATGTTATGTGTATATGATTATATGCCATAAAATTATACTATTTCAAAATGAGAAAAGCTATTTTTTTTACACACTTTGTTACACGCTTTTGTTCCCTATATGTCTATAGCTAAATAATCTGAATCTTGGAAAACCAGCCAGATCAAAGGTTGATTTCATTAGTGCTCAAGGTCTTGGAAATTACAGATAAAATGCGTCTAAAAACACGTTTGAGGGTTACGTCACATCAGTTGATACTCGTTGCTTGGTACAGAAGTGACAGGTTGGAAGCAAACGAGCCAGAATCCTCAGATATTTCTCAGACAAATATTGTGCAAGGCTCGGTGAACATGCCTCTCATTCCACTTAAGATTAAGTGAGTGAGTCTTTCTGAGAGAAGAACTCCTCCATAAAGCTGCTGAAAGATGCACTTGACATGAACATAAACCCAAAGATTTCACGTCTCTAGGGAGCATTCTCTGCCTTCTTTGATTTCTCCTCTGTATTTTCTGGGAGCATTCAGGTACATTTTGCCACGTCACAAATAAGGGTCACACATTTGAACCACAGTAAACAGATGGAAAACTCATTTGTGTGACTGGTTAAATACAAGTATAGTACAAATGATCATAATAAACTTTCTAAGTTTTAATTCTAGTTCTCTCTCTTTATAAGGAACATAAGGATGAGCTGTATCGCCTCTGAAGGCACCCACTGGTACTGGCTTGATAAAGTGCAGAGGCAGCCTTAAAGGATATAATAAAGATATGTGTTTGATATGATTAAAAACTTTCACCTCTGTTGATCTGGGATGCTCTGGGTAAAAAAAAAAAATCACAAATCCGTTCAAAAGATGTAAACCAGCACTTCAAAATTTTCAGGAGGATTTTCCCAAATTTTAGGAAAGAACCACCCTCTCCCTTTTTTGAACAAAACTTTCTGGTCCTGTTTGACGAGCATGTACAATTCTAGTTTTGTTCTAAATCACAACAGAAGTAATCTCAGAGGACTTAACACAACCATTGAAATCACCAACACAGATCAGAGAATCAACAGTTAAGACACAAAAAAGGAATATGGAACACATGTTGATAAATATCCATAAATGTTGTAGAATGTTAAAGTGTCCTGGATCATAACCACAGTCCTTTTTGTTAGACACTAACTGTCCAACAGACCCTCCTGCATCGGCAAGGAAAAACTCAGAAGAAAAAGTGAGAAAGCTCGGGGAGACCCATATTGAGAAAGGGATCCACTCCCACAGACAGACGGGCTATAGATCCAAGACCTAAGCTACAGAACGAGGACCAACGGCCACGAAGCGGCCACAGAACGTGGACGGTGCAGGACTGAAACAGCTCCCAGGCGGGTCGGGCAGGGCAGTCCGCAGGTGTAGATGGAGGAGGCCAGGTTCAGAGGTCCTGTCGTCGCGCCATGAAACAGACAATGGAACAATGGGGGAATAGCAATGAATAGACTACAGTCAAAATCCTACTAATGCAATAATGCAGACAGATAAAGTAGGAAGGGGGAGAGTATTACTAGAATAATTGACAATTGGGAGGACCAATAGTCTTATTAATCTTATATACCTTTAAGTGACTTGGTGATTTCCCCGAGTGAACCTGCAATGGCACAAAGTGAACCAGACCATCAATTAAGTAAAGTGGGTAAGTAAGTGAGTAATCTTTATTTGTATAGTGCATTTCACAAACAAATATCATACAAACCACTTTACAAGGTTTTGGAGTACAGATATTTTTCTATCCACTCCACACATGATGCTGACAGAAGCGAGACGACAAACATCGAAGCACCATCTGTTCACTCACTCACATTCAGACCTATTGTACATGATTTTTTTGTAATGGGGGAAACCAGAGCACCCGGAGGAAACCTACGCAGACATGGGGAGGACATGACAAATCCACACAGAAAGGTCTGGAGGTGGAACCGAACTCCGGAAGCATGCGTACTAACAGTATACAGATTATCCATTATAACGCAGAGTGACCGATGGATCTCACATTAAGGAAGTAAAATCAGCCGTGGATAATCAGAAGCATGATTAACCGAGCACATTGATTCAAAATGTGTATTGTCCATGTTGTAAAAAGAACAAAAGAACAGCAGCGACCAGAAATGAGCTCTTTCTGCAGGTAGGACATTCATTAAGACATAACCGTAGATGTTTCTGTGCTGGTCTGTTTTTTAAATGTTTTATATGGACCTTTTTATGTGTCTGAATGAAAGATTATCACATATTCACATAACAGGTGAAAACTCAGACAGTTTGAATATCATATACAGTATTACATTATTCAATTCTGTAATTCAACTGTATTTGTTATAATTTTGTTGCTCACAGATTGTAAAACATCTTAGAAATTAGAATATTTTGAAAATGGTCTGTAAGCCAAACTCATCCAACAAATTCAATTCAATTTATTCTTGTATAGCCCCAAATCACATAACTTTACTCTTAGATAATACCAACAGTTGCGTATTATTGGCCTGTGCGTTGTCCGAAGACATTCTGGGTTGTGATGTCACACATTGTCTGTGACATTATCTTCCATTTCTGAGGGCGTCTCATGAAACAGCAGCATACAACATAAATAATCCCATAAAAGCCATAAACTGTGGTGATTATATGTGAGGTGCAATGCATAAAGACAAGACATTGAAAGGGGCCTTAAAAATAACGAACAGAATTGTGTTTTCATCAGTTCATCAAAGTGACGGATCGGCCACTCACACCTTGAGTTAGATGCTTCACATAAAACACTGTGTGCATTAAGAGGTGCTATGCTTAAAGCCCAGTCGCCCCGTTATCGGAGACATAATGTATGAGATGATTGAGGAGGTGTCTTGGAATGTCTCCAAGGTTAAGTGGTTATCCAATATCCATCAACCGTCCAGTCGTAATACAAATGACCTGGACCATGTATTTATTGGAAGGTGCACTTATAGCTTGATAAGTATTATTCACTGGTAATTACCCTATGCTCAGAAATGTGATTCATAGCAGCTATATCCATGCTAATCTCTTCATCTGCTCAATGGCTTCCAACTATTCAACTTTCCACTGTCTCTTGTTGGCGATGAAATACAAAATTATGTGATCAATCGGTTTTGAAGTCAATTATGCGACTAATGGTAGCTCAGTTATCGCAGATATATTAAAAGACATTGTGACATTGGAGCGTCGAAGCATTGACGAGAGGTGATATTCTCCCAACCAATTTTCAGAAAAAGAATGAAACTTATTTTTCACGTCAGGCTTTTGGTTATTTTTGACTATAGGATGTCTGCTTTCACAAAGGATATCCAAAAATAACTGCAAGTAGTGTCCAGAATGATGTCAGTACGTGATGTTCATAACAGTCACTAATGATGTTGAAATGGTTTCCATCTGTCCATATGACCAATGGAGAATGTAAGAAACGCCTCTGTATCAGTGTTTCCATACGTTTATGAAACAGTTGTGTCTATCCTAAGATTAACTTTAACCTAAAATCTGCAAAAGATTACAGAAGGAAAAGATGTGATCTGTGATGATCAAAAATACTGCATCATGGGATTTAAAGTATTAGTCTCCAAAGGTAATTAACATTTGGGTATTTCAAAGTCCGACAGAGAGTCATCTGATCAAATACATATGCAATGTCCTATCTTTTTATAATTTTTTTTTTTTTTTGATTTCCTGTATAAAAAGGGAAACAGAAACTTTCTGATTATATATACTCAAAGGGGGAATTATTTATTGTTTATTACAATAATACAATACAATGGAAGTTGTTAACACAATTTTTCATTTCCCTTTTGCGTAGAATTTGACTTATTTTTTTTAACAGCATGGTTCCATTGAATAAAATAAAAATTATTCCTGAAGGATGAGTGTTTTTTTGTGGCCGTGGCCATAATTCACAGTAATAACACAGATCCTGTTGTATGGCATTAATACAGTGCGCCCTTTGATGCATTTTGAAGAATAGTGTTAAAATTCTATATTGACTGAAAGCTTTGGTGTGTAGCAGCCACCAGCTACAGCAGCACATAAAAATTGAACTCACGGATGAAGGTTGGCAAGATTCAAATTATGCATTTTCAATCAAATATACATGCTGGAAAAGCACATTATCACCTCAGAAAGAAAAAACTTATGTGTAAAACTTTTCTGTTAAAACTGAGAATGTATAAATGCAACTTTACAGCCTGTGGTTTGCCCTGAGAAATTCAATGATTATTAGAAATAGAAGCTGCTTATGCATGCATTGGGACGAGAAAATACACCTTGTGAGTATTTTTGTCAGATAATGCGTCCCAGATGTGGGCAGAAGGACCATGGGAACAGGTGATGATAGCTATATGCTGTGATTGCAA